GCAAAGTAGCCGCAAGGCAAGACTCGTCAACAAGCCTAACTCCAGGGGACGCGTCGGCACGGCGGCATGGCGGCACGGCACTGCAAGGCAAGGCGCCGGCGACGTGCAACACAAGAGTGAAGCGCCAGGCGCGTCGTGGCGGCGTATCCGGTAGCCTCCAGAACTTGAGACCGCCACCCCGCGCGGCCCTGCAGGCCCTCCTCCAGGCGGCAGGCGGGCGGGCCCTTCCAGAAGGGTGTCCTGGAACGCGTCCAAACCGAAGCCACCACCCCTCTCTCCCTCCCCGAGCTGCGTTCGGGATGGTTCGGGATGGTTCGGGATGGTTCGGCGGCGCGAGGTCCTTCCGCCGGATACGGCCATATTCCCCGAGGGAGACACGAAGCGAGATGGAGCCCCGGACGGCCTGGACGACGTGGACGACGTGCTGGGGGCGTGGCGACGGCGACGGCGCCGCGCCCGGGGAATGTGTTTACTGCCGGCCGCTCAAAACAAACGAAAATGTTGGAAACCGCGGGGACGCTATGGGGACGCCATGCGGACGCTATGGGGACGGCTTGGCGCTCCCTTCGGCCCGTCCGGAGTGAGGGAAGATCGCAGGACAAGTTGGGCCTGTTTCCCCTCAACTCACTAACTAGCGCCCTCCGCCCTCCGCCCGGGCGCGCCCCCTGGGAGTGAAGGGCCAGGGCAGGGCAAGCCGGGTACGGCGGCACGGCCAAGCAGGGCTGCTTCGGGGAGCAATTCAAGACGAACACAAAGACAGCGATCGGGGAGATATATGTGACCGGCCGGCCCGGCCGGCCCGCCCAACCCCGAGCCCCACGAGCACTCGCCCTCCGCCCTCCACGTCCCGAGCGCAAGTTTGGGAGCCGGGGTGGGGTGGGGTGGGTCGCCGCCACCGCCGCCTGGAAGCGCTGCGAGCGCAGCAACCCGCCGTCTGCTGCACTGGCCGAAAGCTGCACCGATAATTCCGTCGGTTGGCAATGCCCCTCCCGCTGCCGCCCCCGCTGCCGCGCCCCCGCTGCCGCCCCCGCTGCCCGCTTTACGCCCCCCGAGCGGCCCTATTCACTGCCGCGCCACTCCATATCCTTTCCCTTCTGGTAATTCTATCTCGATCTCGCCACCTGTTACCCCTTTGTTTGAGCCCGCCGCACAAATCTGCGGAGACTGGGGGGCCGACCGGATTCGGCGCCGTGGCTGGCTGCTGGCTGGCTGGCTGGCTGGCAGGCCGGCTGGCTGGCTGGCTGGCTGGCTGCTGGCTGGCTGGCTGGCTGGCGGCTGTTGGTTGGGGCGCGTGAATGGCCTGCGGCACTGTGGCGCACCAGAAAATTGCCCCTCCAATCCATTTACGCCTTGCAGGGGCCTGGGGCCGCACTGCTGCGCAGCACTGCGCACTACTGCACCGCAAAGGCCGTTCTGTTCCATTCTGTCCCCGCTCTCCATCAAGCAGTGCGTCGCGTCGGACTGCGCCCCGTTCTGCGATTCTGCGGGGCCTTTTATTATTTTAGTGTCGTCCCGGCGGCGCGGCGGCGCGGCCAAAGCCAGCCAAGCCGAGGACGCCGCCGGTCCCCTTGCCAGGCTATGCCAGTCCCCGGGGGCCGGTCGCGAAGAGGGCGGCGAGTCGTTCATTGACGGGCTTCCGGCACGCAAACAGTCCGAGATGATCCTGCAGCCGCACTGCCAAAAACAAAAACCCTCACACTGGAGAAAAGGCAAGGGAATCCCACAGGGTACCGGCGTGCTCCCCTTTTCGCTCCAGGACCGCGCGTGAGGGCAGTGAAAAACAAAAACAGTTTAAAGACTCGACGTCGTTTCGAGCCGGCAGGTCCTGCCCCGCCACGCCCCGCCCGCGGCCGGTGGGCAGAATACATAAACAAGGCGACAAACGTGGAAATGGCACGAATGAATGGCGTCGACTCGTCGGCTCGCCCCGAGCAGCCCGAAGGTGCACGCTGGTGCGGCTGGCTGCACCGGATGGCATCGGACCGCTGGAGGGTCACTTGGCGGAGGCGGGGCTATGGTAATTGCCCCGATAGGGGGAATGCCAAAGAACAGCGAGACGGAATACGCAGATGGCAGGAGGGGAAGTGGTCGAAGCGTCCCGCTCAGAGTTGCCACACGAGTGGGCGAAAATTCACCTCAGTAGTATAGACGCCCCATTCGGACATACCGCCATCCTGGATGGGGCATCTATACTATGTACCTCAGCCTGCACTTTGCAATATCAGGGCTTTGCCGTCGAAAAGTTTCAGCCTGGTAGGCGGGCTGAGGTTGGCAACCCTTTCGACACTGTTGCATCGTGGGAATTTTCGCTCACGTGTGTGGCAACACTGCGTCGAATCAACACAGACGGCGGGCCTGGCGAGACGAGCAGATTGCCACAACAACACCGCCGAAATGAAAGCAAAGACAACAGCGGCCTTAAGTGAGCCGCTCGCGGTGTTTATCCTCGATTTGTATTCGGCGTGCAATGGCGGCAATGGTGCGGAAGCGACGCTGGGGCACGCCTGAAACGCCACGGCGGCCGTTAGTCTCGGACCGCGTTGTCGCTCTTTCTGTCTTTCGAGGGCCGGCCGGGAATCGATCCCGGGCCGTGTCTAAATTGTCGTGCCGCTGAATATGCATGAGTCGCGCGGCGCGAAGCGAGAACGCGAACCAAGTTCGGTTATTAACATGTTTGATAAATGATGGTGTCCGCCGCGGCCACACTTTTGCCAATCTTTCACCGCCCCGAATGACAAACAAAAGAGGGGGGGCCTTTTCAATTTGCAGTTCGGATCCGCGACGGTACCGCTCGGGGTGTTTTGTGTGTCAGTGTTGCCCAACTGGGTAGGCGGAATGGCCGCTCGGTGCGCGTCTGTGTTGTGCGTAGGTTACCGTTGGTAGGCAACCCGTTTGGCTCGGATGCGCCGTAGTTTTGCCCGCCCAGTTGTGCGTAGCACTGCGTAGCGGCGGTGTCCGTCCAGCGCCGCGCGGTGACCAGGGCCACCAGGGCCACCAGGGCGTGCCGAGGGTGCGCGCAGAATGTACGACCATTGTTTATGACAGGCTAAACTATGCAGGGCTCATGTACTCAAAGATGCGGCCGCCTCGCTGGAGCGACGCAGGAGCAAAGCAAGGCAGAGCGGTGGGTGCGGTGCTGGGAGGAGCAGGGCGGAGCAGGGCGGAGACCGCCACGACCACACCGCAGCAAGGCAAGCAAGGCAAGCAAGGCAAGCAAGGCAAGCAAGGCAAGCGCAAGGGTCGCCGCCGCCGGCTGGACTGGACCAACCCCGGACAGCCCGGCCAGCCCGGCCATCCCCTGCCGGCAGAAGCAAGGCAAGAATGTCCCGACATTCATCGCAGCCGAAAAACGTCCCGCGGGGGAGCTCAAGTTGTGTCCGGCTAGGCGGGCGCGGCGTTTCGAGGAATGTGCGCCAAGTTTCTGGATTCTTCAGCGTTGGCCTTGGCGTGGTGCGCCGGCCTCGTGAGCCTCGTGAGGCGTCTCTAGTCTCTAGTTTCTAGTGCGAGGGGTATTGGCGGCGGGTCGTTGATGGCACTCTGCTCCCTCTGCTGGTTGGCGTCGTGCTCGCGCCGCGCAACGCCACGCCGCGACCCCGTAACTTGGAACATGCCGGCAGGTTGATTCCAAACTTGGTCGCCCCGTCTCCCTCGCACCCTCCGGGACGGCCCGTGAGTGCGAAAGAGACGGAGCGACGAACGCATTGTTCGGAATCGGCCTGCTGGCCGCCATTACGTGGACGTGAAATATTTGCGCAGGAGCAGGCGGCCAAATAGGTCACAGGCGCCGCCCTCTCCCGCCCCGCCTCGCCCGCCGCGCCCGCCGCGCCCTGTCCATATCCAAATTATGTGCAGTCTCCTTCACGGACGAGATACGATTCCTTCGTCCAGCGAATCTGTCCAGTCCACGGGGCCCAGGGTCCAGGGCCCAGGGCTCGGGGTCCGGGGTCGCACTTACTCCGATCGAGTCCGCTGGAGCCCGCTGGAGTCCGCTGGAGTCTCGAGACGACTGCGTGCTTGGCCTGCTGCCACACACTGCCTCCAGCGCCTCCAGCAATGGCCTCCAGCGCCGCTGGCTCCATATGCACATTAGCAAACGAGACTGCTGCCAGCGGAGGCGGAACGGCGGAACGGCGCGGTGAAGCGCGCACAGCGCGCCCGCCGGAGAGAAGCCTCCAAATCTTCTTCCCCGGACCCAAAGTCTCTCCCCCCCCCCCTCGATCTTGCCCGACGGGCCTCTGTCTCCAAAATATTGCTAAATGATATTTTATAAAAGGAAATTGAGCAATTTCCGACGGGCAAGTTGAACCGCCGCGGGCTGTTCCGGCGCCCCAAGAGGGGTAGCCTGACCCCACCACCCTCACACTGCTCCGCCGCGCCCCGCCGCGCCCCGACCGGGCAGACCGTCTTGTTTATTTGGACAAATCTCGCGCAGAGTTTGGCTTTTTCCGCCGTCCGTTCAGCCGCAGGAATGGATGTGGCTCGGTGTAGCCGCACGCGTCTGTTCATGCGGCGAGGTGCGCACAATGGACGGAACTCCAACTTTCGGGAGATGACGTCACAACGCTGCACTTTTCCGCGCGATAATCCAGCCAGCCAGCCGCAGAGTCGTCACGCCGTCGGGGCAGCGCGTGCGGGCCGTGCCACCGGTGCCGGCTATATCGGACGGCCAAAATGATAAAAGGGTACATTCGGACGTGAGTGTGGTTTCAAGTCGATTCGGGCGCTCACTTTCAAAAAAAACTACACTCGTGTTTTCTAACTGTGCGCTGTGCACGAAACAACCTCTGTCTCTCTTTCTTTCGGTGGTCAATTGCGTCACCGGCGACCATGTGAATGGCGGAACTAGCTAAAACTGTCCATGCAGATTTAGAAAGGGTCATCAATGCGCCTTGATAGCCGCAGCAGGGAGGGCTAACGACCGAAATGGTCGGCTTGGCCGTTATAAAACGCGGCGGCGCGCGCATAGCGCGACACACGGTGACACACCGCCCGCCGCCACCATGCGCCACACCGTCTTGGCGCTGAGCACGGCCCTGTGCCTCACGGCGGCCCTCGCCGTGCCGCTGGAGGTCGTCCACCCCGGCGCCCAGGACGCCGTCATCCCCGCCGCCCAGCAGGCCGTCACCGCTGCGGATGACACCACGCGGCAACAAACCGGCGCCGAGACCACGGCAGCCGCCATCGAGGCCGTCCAGCACGAAGAGGTCGCCGCCATGGAGCCGCAAGGCTTCGTAAAGCGCGCCGCAGTCCCTCTCCAGGACCAAGGCCTTGTCGACCTGGCACAGCTTGGCGCCCATGCCGTGGGACAGGGTGTGGAGAACGGGGCTCACAAGTTCAACGCGGTGTTCGACGAGGGCATCATCAAGAATCAAGCGTCGCGGCGCGGCCTGATCGACGTGCTGGACCTCGAGGCCACCGCCATTGGTAGCGGAGTCCTCAGCGGGATCAATACCTTCAACAATGTGATCAACAATGGCATCAACAAGCGGAAGCACCACCCAGTCCAGGCCATGATCCAGCCCCAGGGTGTTCAGCAGCCCGAGATCCAACCTGACGTTGTTCAGCAGCACTCTCAGTTTGTCCAGCAGCAGCCTCAGATCATACAGCAGCAGCAGCCTCAGATCATACGGCAGCAGCAGCCTCAGTTCATACAGCAGCAGCAGCAGCCTCAGATCATACAGCAGCAGCAGCCTCAGTTCATGCAGCAGCCTCAGTTCATGCAGCAGCAGCCTCAGTTCATGCCGCAACAGCCTCAGATCGTTCGGCAGCCCGTGTTCCAGCCTCAGATCATTCCACAGGGTGGCATCCCCTACGAGGTGGTGCAGCAGCCCGCAATTCAGCGGTACGCGTTCCAGCCAGAGGTCACCCCTCAGGTCCCTCAGATCCAGACTGAGGTCTATCCTGAAGCGGGCACACACCTCGCCCTCGCTGACCCCAGGAACCAGCGCGGCCTTTTCGACGTGTTTGACATCGGGGCCGCCATAGGCTCGGGCGTGCTCAGCGGAATCAACACCTTCGGCAACGTGATCGGGGCTGGGCTCAACAAGCGTCCGGTCCAGCAGACTGTGGTGCAGCCTCAGGTAGTTCCACAGGCCGCTTATCACCCTGAGATTGCTCAGCAGCAAACCACATTCCAGACTCAAAACTTCCCGCAGTCCCAACCTCAGTATTTCCAACAGTCCGGGTTCCAGCCTCAGAACTTCCAACAGTCAGCGATACAGTCTCAGATTACTCCAGGGAGCACCTTCTACGAGACGACTCAGCAGTCCGGACTCCAGCCGACCACGGTTCAGCATGTCACGACGTTTCAGCCTCAGATGATTAGCCAGCCTGAGGTCCAGCCTGAGGTTCTCCAACCACAGGGGCAGCCACAGATGCCTCAGATCCATCCTGAGGCCCATCCTGAGGCCCATCCTGAAGCAGCCGATCAGATCGGAGACCCCCGGACCCAGCGAGGACTGCTCGACGTGTTCAACGTTGGGGCCAACGCTGTTGGAACAAGCGTTCTCAGCGGGATCAACTCCATCAACGCTGTGCTCGGGAATGGTCTCAACAAGCGCCCGGAGACGGTTCAGCAGTCTGCGTTCCATCCCGAAATCATTCAGAGTCAGCAGACCTCGTTTCAGTCTCAGAATTTTCAACAGCCCGGATCCCAGCCCCAGGATTTCCAACAGTCAACAATCCAGACTCAGACTCCGGAGAACGGATTCAGCTATGAGATGGTTCAGCAGCAGCAGCCCGGACAGAAACCGACTACAGTTCAGCAGTTCACGACGCTCCATCCCGAGATGGTTCAGCACCCTGAGGTCCAGCATCAGATTCCCCAAGGACAGACTGATGCCCATCCCGAAGTTCAGCACCCTGAGGAGGAGCATCCGATTGAAGTCCAGCACCCAGAGATCCAGTCCCCGATTCCCCAGGCCCAGACTGACGTCCAGCCCGAGATGGTTCAGCACCCCGAGGCCTCCCACGTCAAGTCCGAGCCTGAGACGATGCAGGACCTTGTGCGGCCTGACATCTCCCAGGACGAGGCCCATCCCGAAGCAACTCGTGAACTGCCCGATGCCGCCAGGCCAGACCGCAGCTTGGTCGAGGGCCTCGACAAGGAGGCTGCAAAGGCCCAGGTTGAAGCGGCCGAGGCGGCTGAAGCTGCCGTCGAGAACGTCCAGCCCGCTGGAAAAAGCGAAGAGGCCATCAAGGCCTGAGTGAGCGAGAAGAACATCAACCCACCCCTAAGAATACGAAATGCACAACATGACCTCACTGGACGAAAAACCACTTTGTTTTTGACTTCTTTGACTGCTACTTCATGAGTGTTTCGTGTCCTTGGGGCTTTGGGGCCAGCCGCCTCCGAACCTCTCCTCGGTTTGGCGATTCCGGTTTTTAGGATATGTCTAGTAGGGTCTGTACTGCGTCAAAATAAACTGTACAATATTTCCCCGCGTTTCGTTTGGGCGTGCTTTCTTTCCCCTGGCCGGCATTACCTCTTTACATCGGCGGAGACGAAGCCACGCTCGCCAGATAGCAGTAACGACTTGGCATGATAGCGGGAATGGACGTCGTAGAGCTTCAGTTCGACTGTTCGTCTACTTTCACCTCAGCTACCATGCCGCTACAAATTGTGATAATTTTCAGAAAAGAAAACAACATGACTCTGAACTTGGCGTTTATTTTCTCGTATCTGATAAACTGGCACAGAAACAGTGCAAGTAGCTTCCTCTAGAGTTTTCTCCAATCTGTCACACGACCGCTCACTAGGCGGAGCGGTATTCCGTCGGCTCGTCGTCCACGTCGGCCTGGGCCTTGATGGAGTCGACGGGGTAGGGCGGCACTTCGCCCTCCAGGGCGTCGGCGCTCATCGCGAACCTCGCGGCGCCCTGGAGGAGGTGATGCAGGTCTTCGTCCTGCACGTCCACGCCCGCCTCCTCCTTGAAGCGGCTGCGTAAGAAGCTGATCTCGTCCGGGTGCGCGGGGTCCACGGCGGCCTCTGCCGGGGTCTTCTCGGCCTTTGTGGCGAGGGAGTCAACGTCGTCGAGAGGCGCGGCGAGGGCCGCCGCGAGGCACAGGGCGCCCAGGGCGGCGGACAGCGCGAAGACAGCGGGGCGCATGGTGGCGAAGGCGGCTGGCGGGTCTGGCGGTGCGCAGACCGCCCCTGTGTTTATATACCGAACCGTGTGCCACTTTGAACTGACTCATGCTGTCGTCGCTCCGTCTCTCTCGCACTCACGCGCGAGACAGCAGACTGATTCCGAGAGTCGTTTTCGTCGCTCTATCTCTTTCGTACTCATGCAGTGTATCGTATAGGTGCGAGAGAGACAGAGCGACGAAAACGACTCTGGGAATCAGTCTACAGAGCGGCCCGCTGATTAAGCCAGCCACCGCAAAATGCAGCGATCAGCTCGAGGCTGCGATGACACGAATGCAAAGAGGGTGCCTATGGAAAAGTGAGGGCTGGGAGCAGGAGCACGCTCAGCGAGCGCAAATGATAGAAAAAGCGTCGAGAATACGGCAGAGCGAGAGCGGCCCATCTTGAATCCCGCGCGAGTCGCCGTACGACTTCGGGTGGCGTGATTTCTCATAGTGTGTTTGTCACCGATGACAGTATGAGAAATAAAACGTCAGGCGCATAGCCGCAGCGCGCGAAACCCGAGCGTTTGTGTTGGTGTTCATTGTGATGGGGTAAACTTGTGACTCGACGTAAGTGATTAATTGTTGTTTACCTTTAGCTCATTGCGTGATTCACGTCCTCTTTACGGAGTGGAAGTGCGACGCATTAGAAGCACTGGCCCAAGGTTGCCTGTGCTTTTGTGTATTACCGTAGGGAACATAACCTACCGCAACTGAAAGCGGAGTGCCCTCTGGTTTGAAGTCGTTTAAATATATTATACCACTATTGTCACGATGTCATCCCGGGTTTTATGTTTGAATTTATAGAATGGAATCCGGTTCAAAACCACCTCTTGAAGTATGGGAACTTCTGAGGGACCCTATTCTTACCTTTTATCAAGAGGGTATGGAGAGCAGGAAGAAAATAGAGGGGTTCATTGCTGTTATTAACAACAGCTGCAGATTCAAAAAGAATTGGTACATCCCTGCACCGAAAGCCAGCTGTGACCAAGAATCATATACATTGTTAGAAGAGCAGTACACTGGTGAGTTGCTGTTCGAGTGTTCTAAGTGTGTTGAGTGTCCTTTAAATCGCTTTCCATGTTTCAATCTGTTGCTTTCTTTCAGCATTTTGCACCTGGCTATTAGGACGTCTTTTTTGTATTCTTGGAAGAGACTCTCTGATGGATATTCATCCATCATGTGTCAAAGCTCAGATTGAAATACTAGATGTTTGTGCTGAAAATCGATTCATGACTCGGTTCTTCTTCATGGAATATGTATCATGCATAACTGGTAAAAGCTCAAAACTAGTCTGTCTGGCCAACCAATCATTTAAACAAAGAGATATGTTTTGAGATAACTTTACCTCGCTACTCTGTCCACAGACCTGTTAACTCTACAAACTTCTGAACCTTTGCTGAATAATAGATCTCATCTACTTAAGAGATTCACTCCATTGCCAGAGAAACTAGACAAACTAAACCTGACAGCTAAGTATATTCTGCTTCAGTCACAATCTATGATAAACAATTTACAGAAATATTCAGTGCAGGTAAGAGTTACTCCTCCAATTTTGAGATAATTTCCAATAATTTCATTTATACTTCAAGAGAAAATATTCACAGATTTTAGACTCATGGTTCCCAATGTACAAATGTATGAAGATCTATTAAATGAATATTGGTTGGTCCTTTGTAAGTTGTTGCAAGTTGCAAAACTTCCTCTAAAACTAGATGTCCTCAAATCGTTGTCTAAAATAATTTCTATTGATGGTTGCTACAACAGAATGGTGAGTATGAAAAGAGGTATTGATTTATGAATGCCAATTGCTTTATTCATTTCAACCCTTTATTTTTTTGCTGCCTCTAGGCCTTAGCAGAATTGTGCAATACGCTAAAGTGTGTGACCAAGTCTGTGTCCACTCAACTCAAAGTTGACAATGATTCTGAAATTATGCATAATGTGTTAAGTAGTGTTGTGGATCTCGTCAATCAAGTATCAAGTAAATGTTGTCTACGTGATGTTTTTAGAAGCAAAGACTTACTAACGAGCCTACTCTCTGTGATATGTCATTTGAGTGCAGATAATGGAGGCAAGCTTTTCAAATTTTCTTTTTAATACCTGTAGACAGAATTTTGGTTGTGACATTATTTTTTAATTTGTGGTAAAGGAACCTGCCTGGAAACTGCTTGTAAAAATGTTGTCCTGCTGCTGGATACTCTACCTCATGACTCAATGAACCCTGAAAATTTCTGCTTCTTAATAAACAAATATGAAACACAGGAGGTATGTTCTTAGGCACATTTACTCTGATATCATTTTTCTTCTATATAATATCTCAGATGTCTCTTCCTGTAGTTTGCTGTGAAGTTTTTAGCAAAATATCTCTGTGATAAATTAGTAGCTTATGTTGAGACAACTCAAGAATACCAAACATCATTGAAATTTGAGAAGATAGATAGGACAGAGAACACAATGTAAGTTATCTTTTTATTTCTTTATCTTGTGACTCCTATGCTATTATTTTATTGTCATTGTACTCTTATTTTATTTTTCAGTCCACCTCTTAATATTGATGCAGTTGCCAAGCTACCACTCTGGACTGCTCTTCACTGTCAGGTGTTAGAAGAAATAAATTCAATTCAATCCAATTTCCCTTCGGAGCCAACCAAACAAATTCTTCAAGAAATAAACGACATAGTTGCAAAGTTAAAGGTTTTCAAATTTTAACCTTTTCGACCATTTTGTTCTGTTGCATGTCTCAGTAATTACTAATTCTAATTTACCTTTTCTTTGTCACTCAGTCATTAGTGGAGTGTGCAGTGAAAGTGAATATGATGTATTCAAAAAGCAGAAGCAAAAAAGCTTCCAATTGGGATTGTTTTCTTTCCAGAAGAGGTCTGTTTTATTTTTTTATCTAAAATAACCCATTAAAGTTCTGCTCATTTTTTTTTTATTGAAACAATTTTACAGTATGCTCTTTTGTTCTGCTGAAGATGAACACTCTGATTGTTGCAGGTTGAGCTATTGGTCTCATTCCTATACTTCCTGATTCAACAGCTTGTTTCCATAAAATCTTCTGGGTCAACAGTGTTTTTTTCTGACACAATTTTCAAGTCTGTGATTTTGACTGTGAGATACCTGTTTCTGCTGCCAGAAGTTTATTCAAAAGAGTTGACTTGTGCAGATCAAGCCTTTTCTGTATTAGCTCTGCCATGGATTGAAAATAATGATGAAAGTGTTGTGGGCAAAACCCTGGCCCAGGTCCCTGAGTTGTTTCCAGAGGTTACATGTGAGTACTCTAGTCAAATCACCCCATTGACAATACTAAAAGTGGAAAAAGAAGAGGTAAAGGTTGAGTTGACACTGATCTGTTTCTAGCTAATGAAATGAAAATCAAAAGCTTGCATGCTTTGGCTAATATTCCTTGCTCATTTCAAGCAAATGATTGGAAACATTCAATTTTTAGTGGAATCATTCATACATTTCAAGAGCACAGCAATACGCAATTAGTGGTTGAAGTTATTCAATCGGTGCCAGCACTGCTTTTAGACTCAAGCCAGCCTTCATCCATCCTACAAAGTATCCTTTTGCCCTCTCTTGAATCCAATAGTGAAGAAATTTTAACAGCAGTCTCTGAGGTGTTTGCAACAATTGTTTGCGTTTTATCAGGGGATGTAGCAGTAACAAGGTATAAATCTAGTCTCTAAAAATCAAATTATTTGTTTTTGTGGAAGTTCTGACCTTGGTTGGTGTTAATTCAGCTTGGAGAGACCTGGAAACAACATACAGAGAAGTTATGTTTGCTTGACATGCTGCAAAGATTTCTTAGGGCCTTCAGTCAATTCAGGAAATATTCTACCTGGATCTCAAACTGTTGTCAACAAATTTATGTCTTTATTGACTTGTCCTGTGATCGCTGTGAGAAGAAACATGGCTGCTTCACTTGGCTCTTTAGTCTTACATCTCCCTTCAATGTACAAATCAGACACCGTTCAGACACTGATGAAATATGCTGAGTATGTGCAGTGTATTTTGTTTGTTTTTTATCTGTGTAGTACCTTTAGTGCTTTGTAATAAAAAATGAATTTTCTTTTTAACAGAGATGATGACCGTCAAGTGAGGATAATCTTTTCTGGAATGGTGAAATTTTTAATATTTTCACGGGACTGGATGGAAGGAAAAGGTGTTGAATCTGAGGTTTTGCGCGAGGAGCACATACCTTTAACTCAAGCTGATCGAGTAGAACTGTCACATTCTCGACCGAGGATGGAGCTTGTACTTCAAATGCTATTTAAGTCAATATATTCAAGATTGAATGACAAATGTAACCCAGACTCAGATGTACAGGGGACTTTATTGTCAACAATTGTTGATATTGGCTGGTAAGTTTTAAATCAGGTAAAATTTACTTACCTTAAATGTAGGATTTTACCGATGTATTCCTTGTTTCTTTTATTTGGTAGTGTACCGTTAGATTGTGTCTTGCTGCCTGTTTTGAAATTATTGTTGGCATGTGTGGGACATCCAGCATGTAGTCAACCCTCATTGGGCGAGGTGTATTTGAAACAAATTGCTGTTGCCCACAATACCAATGTGGGTAAATTGTACTTTCGGTTTCAGTCTGATATATGCCAAGTAAGTTTTTATTATGATTATCAATACATAAATGTTCAATAACTTATAAAAAGGTTTCAGTATTTTTTTTTTATTTTTTTTTCAAATAATGTTTTCCAGGTTTTGATAAATATGATGGGAATGAATCTTCATGCCTCACGTTCATGGATAAAAGTTATGGATAAAGTTGTGTATGGCTTTGGTTTTGAGTCAACTATTGCTTGGTTAAGACAGTCCATGAAATGTGTGTTACCGAGCCTTTTGGTGTTAGTTGTGAAATTCAAAGATCAAGGCTTCCTTGCAAAAATTGTTGAACTTTTGTCATGCAATGCAGCTTCTTTGATCAAGGACTCCTTCCAAGTGATTATTTAATTTTTATTGTCTTTTTAACTTAAAGCTTTAATACTGCAATTCTCCTCTTTTTCTTTTATTTATGTTTTTGTGTTTGTTTTTCAGTATATATATCCTTATGCTTTTCTGAATGAATCTGATCAAGTTGTTGACGAATGTGTCAGAATGATGGAAGAAATGTCTGGAACAAGTGCTCAAGAGCTTGTAATTGTGTCATTCAAGGTATGAAGAGAAGTCAGTTTGTTTTAAAATTGTAATAAAGTAGTAGCTTTTAAAGGAAAAAGATCATTTTCCCTTTTCAGACTTTGCACAATCAACTGCTTCTTCATTATGATTGCAAGCCAGAGCGTGTTGAGGAAGGAATATGCCAATTAATTGATGTCCTAGAAAATAAGAGCAAACCAAAAAAGTTGGAGAAACCACCAAGCAAAGCTGACATTGTGAGAGATTTCATTTAAATGCAGCTCATTTATCGAGCTATTGGTGTTACTGGACTTCAATTGATTATCTACAATTCTTTACTTATAGGCAAAACACTTGGAAAAACGTTTTCTCGGAGTTCTTGTACATTTTGACTCTCTGCTTGAATGTTCAAGTTCTGAAGAGAGTGATAAAATTAAAGCTCTCCAATCATTACCCAGAATTATTCGCCTGATGGGGTCGAAGTACATCACCCCAGTTCGGCTCAAGGTGATTCTTTTCTTTTCCACAACCATTAATCAAGGGGAATGCACATCTCACACCTTTCCTTGATGAATTTTCTTGTCTCTTGTTCTTATTAGGTTCTTTCTACATTAAGAACAGCACTTCGCCTCACACATTGTGATTTTCCCCATTTGAGTTGTGGGGCTTGGGAGGCTTTCACTCAAAGGTACTTCCATAATTCAATTTGTGTTAGCTGCTTTAGGAATTCTTCTCTGATTCGTCTTGTTTTTCAGTGTTGATATTCCTGAGCTGGGACCTCTTCTTGGAACAGTAGCAGCATCACTTTTACCTCTGCTGGATCAGTTTCCAGATAAGATTTCTTCAATGCTTGAGTGGGTCGTTTTAAGACATGAGCGTGAGCTTGCAGAACATATACCTGATCTTTTTTTTCTACCAAATATTCCAGCTCTACAGAAACTCTATCAAGTAGTTCAACGTCATGTTAAAAACAAAAGAAGCACATTCAAAGACAGTCTGAGGTATGTTGAAAATTACACTGAGATACACTAGCTGGTCCGTCCCAATGTCTAAAGTCTAAATGTGTTGTTGCAGTCTAGCAGACTACCTTCAACAGCCATTACGTTTCATAAAGCATGACAATGTAGATGTGCGTCTGCATGGATTGCAATATCTTCTGTCCCTCCTTAAGGAAAAGCAAATTCAGTTTACCAAGTCGTTGCTTCTAGAGGAAGTTGTTCATGAAGATGTTGCAAAGGTGTGCCTTATCTGTGGTTTGCAAGTTGTGTCTTTGTTTTGATGGAAAGGTAACTTATTTTTCTGTCTATATTAGCTTTTAAACCTTTTAGTTGAGGGCTGTCGAGATACTGACCAAAGTATTCAGTTGCTTTGTGTTGAAAACCTGGGCATGCTTGGAGCCTTGGATCCAGGCCATCTACCCCACAAGAAGCCTGAAGAAGGTAGTGTAACAGTTTGTATCTCCGCTTAAAGTAACAGCATCACTTTGGCTTACCACCCTGTATGTATAGGTATACCCCAAATCTTTTCGGTGGACGATGATCAGTTTGCTGTTCAAGCATTGACTACTCTGGCAAAGGCATACCAAGCAGCAAGAAATACTCGTTACCTTGATTCTTTTGCTGTTGCAATTCAAGTAGGTTTCACTGTTAAAGTCAGTTCCTTTTATTTTTTAAGGTAATCTATATCACTGATTTTTAAAATTTTATTCTAGGATTTCTTATGTCGATACAAGATATCTTCTCAACCTAGCCCAGGTCAAAAAAATTTGTGGGATCTCTTTCCAGTTAATATTCAACAAGTAATGGCTCCACTAGAAGATTCATCATATTACATGACTTCTCTGCAAGCAAATCTTGTGTGGCCACATCCTGTGTTCGGGTGTGTAAATTTTGTTGGGATGATCAAAATCAATTCTTAATCTGCCTCAGTGCGCGAAACTTTTGTCCTTGATTTTTTTTTTACAGTACCCGACATGCTTCAACTTTGTCAAACTGGGCTCATACCTGGGCTTGTCGTCTTGTTACATTCATTACTGATACAAATGCCAAGGATCTGTTTACATTATGTATTCCAAGCTTGAAGAGAGATATCAACTGTGTCCTTTTCTTTCTTCCATTTATATTGTGTTCGTATGTTTTTATGTATTTTGGCAAAGAGTATTGTTCTTCAAACATGCCCTAAATTATTATTATTATTTGTTTACAGTGTATGCTGTTACTTCAGGAAATGAGGAACAGCACAAAATGATGATAGAGGAGATGATTTACATAATACAGCAGCGTTCACTTCAAGAAAAAGACATTGAGGAAAGGGATGTTCCTAGAACATATGAAAAGTATCAAGTTGGTTTCAATCGGTCTGTTGATCTTCCTGGAGCCACTGATTCAGATAGCACCACACATGCTCTCTGTGCCAAAACTGTGTTCTCTCTGCTTGATTTTTTGGAGAAGTGGGTGGGATGTTCAAGAAAGAAGAAGGAAGAACCACATAATGAAAATTACCAGCCTATGAATGTGCCAAATGTGCGAAGTAAGTTTCATTGTAATTTGTCTATGATTGGTCCTTTCTTCAATTTGCCATCTTTAACCATTTTCTTCCTCCCAACTTCCTCAGAATTTTTGAGCCAGTTTTCAAAATTGGATTTAGCATATGGAAATTATGGGGTAAATGAATATGCTAGAGCATTAATGTATTTGGAAGACTTCTTAATGGATCAGAAGGATATAATGAAAAATGAAGACCACCTTGGCTTCTTAGAGGTTCAATTTACTCTTACAAACTGATGCTTAAGTTTTAGTGTCCTCTTTTTATTATTTACACCAGTTGTAATCCTTCCTTTTCCTACTGTCTGTTTTTAGAATATCTATTGTCAGCTGAAGGAACCTGATGGAATCAAGGGAGTACTTGCTATCCAATGCACTCAACCAAAACTACTGGACACTCTAGTTTACCACGAAGTTGCTGGACAGCACCAGGTTAGTTCTTTCATATGCTGTAAATGTAATTTACTATCTTGTTTTCATTTTACTACACAAATGTGTTCAATATGTTAATAAACTTGTGTTTTCTTTTATTATCTTTTCATTTAGGAAGCTCTTGCTTGCTATGAACTTCTCGCAAAAGAGTTCAGCAATGATGATCTGGGCTCTGAATTGGTCCAAATGAGTATGATACGATGCTGCCTGAGCCTTGATCAACCATGTGCAGCTCTACACATTGCAGAAGGCGCCATTTTTAAGAAGTAATATGTCCTTTTACTACATGTTGTACGCTATGATGTAGGTCTCCTTCGTGTTGGAACAGCTTCTCTAAATCAGATTTGCCTTTTGTATTTTAGGGCTAAATATTCCTCAACTTTTTTAGAGGCTCAAGCTGAATGCTTTTGGAGATTAAATAACTTTGAGAGTTTAGAGGCTGCCCTCCAAAATCCTCAGTTTCAAGATTCTACTGCATGGGGTGTCAGCATTGGAAGAGGTCTTGTAGACATTCGCCATGATAACAAAGACTCACTTAAAGAGGCCCTGTACTCTACTAGAAGCTACTTAAGTAAAGTCCTAAGCTCTGCTAGTCTTGAAAATGGAAGCTATTTACAGGGATACCCTCATGTTATCAAGTAAGCCTTTGTACTTTTTAACTGTACTGTTGTAACTTATTTTTATTCTTGCTATTACAATACCATTTATTCAGGCTTCATATGCTGCAAGAGTTAGAAGAAGCCAGTAAAGTAATTTCTATGTTGCGTTCTTCGAATGCATCCGAGGTACCGTGCATCAATGCAATGAACAATCTAGTCCAAGTGTGGGACAATCGTTTAGAACTTGTCCAAGCCTCTTCTTCATTTCAAGAACCCCTCTTAAGATTGCGCCGCTGCTTATTACAACTAGCCTCTTCCTTTGTCAGAGAAAGTCATTACACTCTAGCTCAATTGTTACGTCAGGAACTAGGAACAAGCTGGCTCAAGAGTGCAGAAGTTGCTCGCATGTGAGTGCACCCTTAAAAAAACCTTCCTGAGGATATCCCAAATAGATGGTACAACTTTCAAAATTAATTCCTGTTTTGGTTTTTCCTTGTAGAGGGAAACAATACCAACAATCCTACATTTACCTTCTGAATGCTGAAAAGTATAAACCTAAAAGACACTTCATTGAGTTAGCAAAGTTACATTGGGCAAAGAATGAACAAGACCATGCTTTGGCTACTCTTCGCAGAGGTTTGGATGAACATTTTCCTAAAAGCAAAGAATATAAAAAGATGGGTCCAGAGTGTCAGGTAGAAGACCGTAAAATATGTGCTGAGGTTTGTTAATAGATTTTTCCACTGATTTAGTGTAAGTTTTGTTTCTGTTCTCAGGAAGACTAAATTCATTTTGTACTCTTACCCTTTCAGGCAAAACTGTTGGTCGCAGTTTATAATGACGAAAGTATGAATGTAGATGTTGATGTGAATGTTTATAACTATAAAGATGCTGTGGAGGTCTATGCTCAGTGGGAAAATAGTCATGCCTCATTAGCAAAGTATTATGATACTATTTCACTCAAGAAAAATACAAGTAGTCACTCTGCTGGGTAAGGATGGCATCGGACTTAAGGTATGTTGCTTTTTATGCAACTTTCTGACTCATTGTTTGTGTTTAGTGAGTTCCAGATGTGGGCGATCCGCTCATACACCAAATCCTTAAGATACGGATGTAATAAGATTTATCATAGTATGTCACGGATGTTGACATTATGGTTGGACTATGGGAAAAGATATCATAGTGCATCTTTGCTTTGTGCCAGGACAAAGCCATCAAATGAGTCATCTGAGATGGCTGAACAGAGAAATTTTCTAGCCAAAATGAATCAGTTCATAGGTTTGCATTAATGTGCAATTTAACTTGACAGTATTAATAACGACTCTTTTCTTATTGACACTCTTTTGTTTTTCGGCAGAGGGACATGTAAATGTGCTCCCATCCTACATGTTTATGACAGGGTTTTCACAACTGGTTTCTCGACTTTGTCATCCTGTGTTAGAAGTCTATTGTGTAATCAAGACAATTATTGTTCAGCTTCTTATATCTTTTCCTCAACAAACGTTATGGATGCTGGTGGCCCTAAAAAGAGTATGCATATTTTGATTTAAATTAAAGAATGTGTACTTTTTGAAAAGAAATGTTATGTGTTGCTGCGAATGATTTTGTTCTAGTCTTCATATGCCCAAAGGCGGACTCGCTGTGAGCAAGTATTCGGGGACTCACAAGTAAGCCGCAATCCTTCCCTGGTGCGTTTGACATCAGATTTTGATAAATTAGGCCAACTGCTTGCAGATCTGTGTCAAAAACCTGTTGGTAAGGTAAGTAAAATTTTAATGAACCTTAGTTCAGACATGACCTGGGTTGAGGCCTAAAAAGTGATGCATTACAATTTATATCTCTTGCATTTGCAGAACGTCCGTCAGACAAGTGTGAACGCTTTATGTAAGCTTTTGCCAAAGCTCTTGGCCGCTCCTTCTTTCAGTGAGATCATGATGCCTTTGCAGCACTGCCGCACATTAACACTACCACAAAAAGAACTAAGTTCTGTGGGGAACCATCTTCCTTTTCCATTGTAAGTTTTCTCACTTTTGTGGAATTTTTTTGACCTGTACTTATTATTTGTAAGACTCATTTCTTTTATAGAAATGTACCCACCATCACTGGAATCAGAAATGAAGTGATCATTCTTCAATCATTACAAAAACCCAAAAAAGTAACCTTAAGGGGATCAGATGGAAAGGACTACGATATGATGTGTAAAGACAAGGTATATTTTTTAGGAGTCCATTACCTTTTGCAAATTATGCTTTAAAATCAAGTTCCAGTATTTTATATCTTATCTACATTTATGTACCTCTATGGTTGCTTTAAAGGATGATCTGAGATTAGATGCTCGAGTTATGGAGTTCAACAGCCTCATCAATAAGTGCTTGCAGAAAGACCCTGCATCACGTTCACGGGGGCTTAACATAAGAACATATGTAAGGAAGTTTGACTTAAAAATGTACTTTTATTGCAGCTACAGCAGTACAGTGACGACATGCATTGTTTAGTATTCTTTGATTAACTAATTTGTTTTTTTTCTTTTTTGTTTTTCTTTCTTAGAGTGTTGTTCCCTTGAATGAGGAAACAGGACTAATTGAATGGGTACCAAATCTGTGTACATTCCGAACGATAGTTTCAAATCTGTACAAAGAATTAGGGTGTAACGTACCACAAGCAGAATTACGGAAGTTCGTAGTTGGTCGGTGTTTGTTTCTTACAGTTCGTGTTATCCTCTTTTGAATTTATTTGTTGCTTATATGTTCTTCCATTTGACAGAGAAGGATGCCAGACTCCAAGAATTTAAAAATATGTTTGTAAATCATTTGTTACCCATGCATCCTCCCGTCTTCAGACTCTGGTTTAGGAATAGTTTCACTGACAGCCGCAGCTGGTAATAAACGAAAACTATGACAATACCGTAGTTATTTTGTTGCAAATATTTTATGGGTGTAGACACTAATAATTTTGTTTTTGTAGGTTTGAAGCCAGAAATTCCTATGTTCATACAACTGCTGTAATGAGCATAGTTGGTTATATTTTAGGTCTCGGAGACCGACATGGTGAAAATATTCTCCTTGATACAACATGTGGTGATGTTGTACATGTGGATTTTAACTGCCTTTTCAATAAGGTTTGTGTTTCTAAGTAAGTGAAATTAATTGATTTATGTGTAGTTACTTTCCCTTTGTTATTTCTTGTAGGGTGAACGATTTGATTACCCAGAGAGAGTACCATTCCGATTAACACACAACATGGTTTCTGCAATGGGACCCACAAAAGTAGAGGGATCATTCCGCACCACTTGTGAAATAACTCTTCACATGTTGAGAGAAATGAGGGAAACTCTTTTATCTGTGTTGCAACCATTTGTGTACGACCCAAAGGTGGATGATGTGATTCATAAAAGAAATATTAAGCATAATGCCAATCAACCTGAAGTAACAAATGACTTAGTAAGTTAAATTGTACCATGTGGTTATCTCTAGATGTTTTTCAGCCTGGTTTTCATATTCTATTCTTTTAATAATTGCAGGCAGTTGAAAATGTCAAGAACATTGAACACCGTCTGAATGGAATTATGAAACAACAGAAATGCACACTTCAGTTGTCTGTTGAAGGACAAACTCACCTTCTCATACAAGAGGCTACGAGTATTGACAACTTGAGCCAAATGTACATTGGCTGGGGAGCATACATCTAACTTTGTTCCATCCTGTATGTATTTTATTCATTTTGTTTGTTAGTTTTATCAACAAGTAGACAAATCTGATTTCAGGAGAACAGTAAAGAAGACTAATTAATCAGTTCATTTTTCTTTCTTTTTTTTTTTGTGCGTTTAAAATTTTTATTTATTTAACAAGGAGCTTATTGTGGTTGTTAGGGGAAACAGTTAAGTTTTACTTCAAAAGGCACTACAGCATTTCTTACAGGTGCATTTAACAAGTGTAGTAGTTTAGGGGTCTTGGAGGGAAGTCGTCACGCGGGCCAAGAGGGATCTCTCCTTGCTTGCACTTTGCACTCCTCCTAACATCATCTCTTTGCCGCTGGAGGTGATCCGGCCCGCCTGAGTCGTGTTGTTGAAATCCCTGCACTATTTCATGAATTACAACAAAACATAAAAAATGAATTTGTGAATCAAATAGCCACATAGATAGCAAAGCAAGAGCTTTACATTTATTAAATAAATAAAACATTACACTTAAACAACCATGTCTTAATCCACTTGCACTTGGGTAACAAAATACATATCACATAAACTTCTGTTTTTAAAACAAAAAGAGTTAGCAGAACATAATTTTTAAAAATCTTTAAGGCCAAACAATACAAACCAGACTGCCACGAGAAACATAGGTATGAAATTAATTACGTAAATTTGAGACATGTTTCTGTGGGTGGCATCATGCAGTGAAATAATTACAGGTCTGTACTGGAGGCCCTTCATTCAAAACAGTTGCTTTTAAAAAAATTGGTTAGAGGAAAGGATTAAGCTTAAAAATTGGTTCTCATTTAGTTCCCATTACAATGTTACACAGCACAACCTGTTAATTTAGAATCATTTGCAAGGACTCTGTTTCTGCTAAATTCAAATAAGAAACAACGGTACTCAATTTCAGACCCGACCAAAAACAAAACAGTCAGTGACCAAGTCCATGGAATGCCTTGAAAAAATTGTGCATTAAATTGCCAAACCAAACACAGACACAATACAATACATGCTTTTATTCTCCCAGCGAACTGTGCAGCTTCCATCTGATGTGTTGTCCCAGTAGCAGGATGAAGCAGTGTGTAGACCTGCCCCATTCTTCTGCATTATTGTGCAAGTAACTGCAATTAAGAAGAAAAATAAATTAGTTCATAAATTTTTCCAATCAAATTCACAAAAGGAAATAAAACCAAAAGAAATTACCGATATATTTGAAAGGCTTTTGCTGTTTTGTGAGGGTGCCCAACAATGTTTCAACTACAGATGATGTCCATTGATTCACTTTGTTATGTTGATAAGCATTGCCACCAATGGTGCTTTCCACAGCTTCCTTTATTATCGTGCTAACTTCATCGACAACAAACTGGCTCTGAAAAAGAAATGAATGATTTAAAAAACAGCATTGTTCATTCCCAACAATGGGGAAAGTAGTGTCGTAGTTACAGCTGTAGGGTAATATAAACATACAGCGGTGATCAAGAATGATGGTTCCAAAATTACGGACACTTAAGAAACAGTTTGGCGTGCAGGGGCAAGAAACTTTTGAAACAAAATAATTATGTCATTTAATGAATGGAACCTTGGTTGAAACTAACCTCTTGATATGTAACAACAACACACAAGAAACACCCACATATTCTATGTACATAAAAAGTTAATTACATTCTTACCTCTTCACCGACGTCATCCATATTGGTTACGAGATTAAATACACAGCAGCGCGCAGAAGACGACAAAAGAGAAGGGCTGAAGGGACTTCACCAGGAAAAATCAACAAACTGTCACTGGTTGGTTTGGAAACGAACGTTATCCGCCCCCTCAGATTCTCATACTCCCCACCCCACCACTGTTGTCGACCTTCAATTGTCGACTTCCCTCCGCTGTCCGCTGGGGGCGGGGAGTTGCCCGGCTTCGAAATGGGGCGCGCAATGAGCTTTGCCGGTACTCCGGCAACCTTTGTTGGCCGCGCCGCTGAACCGGGCTGAACGGGAGAGCAGCTTTACGGTGTGGGTGCGGTCGAGTAGGATGGCGGGGCGATGGCGCTGGACCCGCAGCTTTTCCGCCTCAAGTTGACGGTGAAGGAGCTCCGCCGCGAGCGCGCGCTGTGCGCGGCCGAGGAGGCGGCCGCCAGGGCGCGCTGCCGCGCCAGTCTGCGGGCCGGCGACGACGCCGAGGCCCGCTGCCACGCGGAGGCCGCCGTCCGGAGTCGAACCCGGGCCGACGAGCTGCGCAGGTGGATGTTTGCGAGTGTTGCGGGTACGGGGCTCAGGGAAGTTGGCAGGGCTGCGTCCCAGAGTGCCCACATTGACGGCAAGGGAGGGTGGAGGGTGGTTCCGGACGCAGTGCAAGTCCAGGCCAGGACATCGCCAACCTCCTCGCTGCACTCGGTCCAGGCTTTGCTGCGGCCTCGACGCCGTGGCGCGCTCCATGCAGAGCGCGCTGGCGCTGGGCCGCGTCTGCCCGTCCATGGAGGGGCTAGCGCAGGCCCTGGACACGGCGGCGCAGCGGCGCGACGCGACCGGCGTGCAGGCCATGCAGGCCCTCGTGGACAGGTACGCGGTGGCCTTCCCTCGGCACGACCTCGACAACCACACCCCCGGGTCGGGCCTGGCCGGCCTGGCCCCGTCTCCGAACGCCAACGCAAGCCACAGCCAAGACCAGAGCCCCGAAGGCGGCCGTCGAGGCCCGGAAGTGCCCCCAGACCGAGTCACGTCCCTCCTGCAGCACGAGGAGGACGGAGAGGATGCGCGGACGCCAAGCAGAGAGTCGTGCTAAAGCCGACCCTGATGAGACACAATTAATAAAGACAAAAGCCCAATTATATTCCATAAAATTTGGACTGTTTCATTCATCATCCTGCCAAGCCAAGAGGGACTTCTAACGGTGTGCATGCCCACGTGCTCACATCGAGACAAGGAGTCGGATACACCCTCGCGCGCGCACGCTCATTCTGCGACCACCTTATTGCTGTCAAGCCACGTATAACAAGGAGGTCAGGAATAGAACCGCTTCATAGACCAACCAGCAGAGCGATTCCGAACATCGCGTTGTCTCACTCGCACTCGTGGGGCATTCCGTGTCGGTGCGAGAGGGACAGAGCGACGAGACGCCGAGCGGAGTCAGTGTCAGAAAGCACGTGTGGGAACGGGATTAGGCTGATGCGGAGGAGGGGAGGGGGCTGTCGCAGCTGATCGTCGCGCTTGTCAACTTACGAGCGGGCCCGCCGAGATTTCGTTCGGAAGGGGGATGGTGACCCGAGACCGCGCCGCGGGGTCGGCGGCGGCGGCGCCTGTCTGGGCGGGGCAGCACCGCGGCGGGCGGGGTGTGGCGTACACTGCGACCGGCGTGCTCTGCCAGTGCGTGCTCGCGCCCGCACGCCAACACACGCCAGGGAGTGCCGGCTCCACTTCACGCGCGGCGCGGGCTATGGACGACGCGGACCCCCGTCGCGAAGAGGAAGACGACCAGGACGAGGACGACGAGGACAGCGACGATGACTACGACTTCGGCGGCGGCGACGACGACGTGGACGACGTGGGACCGGCCGTGGACGGGTACGGTGGGTGGCTTTGCCTCCAGACGGTGTAGCGGCCGAGAAGCCCCTGGACGCGGACAGTGCTGCCACACTCCAGTGCCGAGCGGGACTGCCTATCCCGCCGTTGGCAGGCTGATTGCTCCCAGAGCGTCAAACTATCTTTGCGTTCGCCCCCAATTCACGTATTTCCGCAATTCTTCAATGCATACGTGCCGCCAAACAGGGCAGCCAATAAATGGCAGCGGACAGCCAATTAATTTTCTGTCGCGGCCGCACCTCCAGACGTCAAAGCAGTGACTTGGCCAAGCCCGATTTCGAGGGATCCGCGCCGGTAAATGGTAAACAAACAAAGGGCGGCGTTTGCGGTGACGCGCGGGGTCGTGCCAAGACTGCGCGGGGAGGCAAGCTGTGGACAGTGTAGGCGGAGAGAAAAGAGTAGAACCCTTGCTACCGTGCGCCGTGTGTCTGCCAGAGTGCCAGCGGCACTCCACTGGGCACTCTTGAGTCTCAGCAGAGCCTGCTGTGCTCTTGGACGACCAAATCGGTCCACTCAAGAGCTATGAAACACCGGACATAAGGTTCAAAGCCATCATTCCCCGTGCCTCACCCTCACGGGCGACAGAGAAGCTGGGAGGGGAATGCAAGCTGCAGGCGGCGTGGCGGCATGCTGCAGGAGCCGGAAGGGAAGGTGTGGATGAATGGACGATGGGTGTGCCGTGCCGGCGTGCCGCGCCTGCCACCCCCACCGCTATTTCGGTCGCTGAGGCTGAGAGGAAGGGAGCGGAGGGAGTGGAGCCGAGGTGCCGGCGAAGACGGCGAAGCAAAGCAGGAACCGGGACAGCTCGTCGGCCGCGCGGCCAAGGCCTCGGGGAAGTCCATCATCGACACTTTCGGTGCCGGGGCGGGGTAGCGGGGTAGACGTGCCGGGCGGGGCGAGGGTGGGGGCGGCGGCCAGCCTGGTCCCGGACGTTGACTTTGATGTCAGAGGATCAAAACCATACTCCGATCGTAAATTTTCTTTTTTAAAAAATGGCACAGCAAAAAAAGAAGAGGGAAGGACGCAGGGAAGGTAAACAACGCGCAATGCAGCGTCCACTGACAGAGTTAAGCCCGCCCCGGCGTTTCGTGAATGGACGTCGAATCCAAGTGATGCTGTCATGCTTGGCGCTTGCTGGCCGTTTTCTGAGGCAACGTATGTTGTTTTCGCAGCCCGTCCTCGAGAGTGCGGCGCGCGCCGTGCTGGCCCCCGCCGCCTACACAACAGCGCCCCGGCGGCGGTCCGGTGTGGTCGCCCCTGTTCCGGGTGCAGCCTCCTGCCGGGCGAGCCGCCGCGAGGCAGCCCCAGCCGGGGCCTCCTGGGCCGTCTGGCCCCGCGAGACAGCCGCAGCCTCCGCGGCCAGCACGAGGGCCAGCACCACCTCGCGCGGCGCCACCGCCACCCCGCCTGGGGCCGTGGACAGCCACGCCCAACCCGGTGTACGGCCACCGCATGAAGCTCTTCTGCCGCACAGGCTTCCACCTGGCCATCGGGCCCAAGGGGCGGGTCACGGGCACCGAGAACCCCAACGACAAGTACGGTGAGTACCGCACCCCCTCGTTTGGGCTTGACAGGAATGAGATTCTTCTCTACGAGCCGGTGATCTAAGTTGTCGATATGTTCCAGCTGTGCTGGAGTTCAGTTCAGTGACTAATGGAGAAGTGCGAATCCGTGGTGTTGAGGCCAACCTTTTCCTTGCCATGAATCGGCAAGGTAAACTCTACGGTCAGGTGAGTGCTGTGTACAGCAGATGGACCGCTTATTAAATTATTTGAAAAACATTTTTCGTTTCTTTCTTTGTAGGCAAACATTCGTCAAGAAGGGACAGTGTTTGTTGAGATGATGTTGGGTCGGTATAATACATATCTCTCGCGGAAATTCGCTCACATCGGCTGGTACGTGGGCATAAAAAAGAATGGCAAACAGAAACCAGGCCAGAAGACAGCATGGGGACAAAAGGCTATCCAGTTCCTGCCCATCAGGGTGGCTAGGTGAACTGTTGTTCTCAGTATTTTGGAATCAAAACCAAGATATGTTCATGGAGACTCCGGTAATCAGAAGGCTCTCGATTCTGCAGTCACATTCATGGAGAAAAAACGGGGCAAAGATCAGAAAAAAATGATCAGTATAAGAAGCTTCCTTTTATCATTGTCAACTAAGCATACAGATATTTTACGAAGAAGCAAATTAATACTTGAGATTAAAAAACAAGGACTGTTAACAGATAATTTCTAGTGCATACCTTAGCAACAATCATAGATGAATACATAAATACAACATTCAATAACCTCTTGGGGTAGTTAAAAAGGGAACAAGGGGAAAGTGCAAATTATTTATATCACAAGAAAATAATAAAGTACAAGTGTAAAGTTTAAGATAACCGCTAACAACAAATCCTTTCATTGTTGGTGTGCTTCTTTACTTCCCAACATTCAATTTAAAATGCCTCACCCAGAGCAGAGTATCTCAACTACAGTATTTCACTAGAATTTTTTCCCTGGACTAAGAAAGAGAAGTCTGAAAGCACCACCTACAAAGTATATCATTACAGAAGAAAAAAAATGCAGCAAGGTGCGTTGTGTGCCGGCCCGGGACACCACAGGGTCCCTCCACATAATCCCTCATTCACCTGAGGCTGTGTCCTGTGACAGTCCACATAAATGGAAGACTGTTGTCTCATGGGAATAATTTATCCATGTAACTTGTGAAGCAAATAAACTAGCACAAAGCAAAACACTGGAAATGGAATGTATGTCCTAAGATAGATTTTACTGTTCAGACTTTTTGTTTTGTCACTCTCCACAAATTAAATTTCATTATTGCACCTTAATGTTCATTTAAGACATGCCTATTCTGCTGTTGTCATGGAAGAAAAGAATCATATCTCCAAATGGCAATTGGTGGCTAACTAATAATAAAAATCAATCAAAAGTTCTCTTCTTGTCTTCAGATTCAGAGGAGCAATCAACCATTATTCTGCTTCTGATATGCTGGGATAAAAAACAGCACACTAAGATAGCTTTAGTTGCCTTGATGTGCCACATTAATTAATTAATTAATTAATCAATTTTATAATTATTATTATGACCAAAAGAAATCAAAAACATTGCAAGTGTAAGATAAACTGCACTTATTTTTATCTTTCCAAGGTTATTATTGAAGGCACAATGCTATCTGCTCCAAAAGTAATGGTCCACAATAAGGCTTCTCTACCAAAACTACCACCACAATACAAGCAAAATGAGAAGAATAGAATAAGAAACATCCAAAGCAAAATTTAGGGTCCTCTTCTTGGGGCTGACAAAGCAAACCAAAGCAAAAGGAAAAATGGCTTAGCATTAGGATTGTGGTTAAGCAATCGTCATGGATTTCCAAATAAGGAGAGAACAGAATTAACCAAGTATGTAGAACACAATTATGCCTGGTGGTGATCTCCGTTTAAATCACTTCTTACTTCCTTTTGGTTCCGCAGATTGGAAAACACTAGATGCAGCCATTAAATTTTCAATGTACTGTCCAAGAACTTGATTTTCAGATCGTAGTTTTAAATTTTCTTCTTTTACACTATCTACTCTCTGAGAAAGATCTGTAAAATAAAAAGCACTGCAGTCAGTCCAAAATACATAACATTTGTTGGTTAAAATGAAAGGGGTGCAGAGTGATAGATTGTTACTCTAATTTTTTACTAACCATCCAGTGTATTTTGGAGTTCCAGAACCTGCGAGATAAGACGAGCCTTCTCTTCCTGTTCATCAGGGCTAACGTCTGGATCTAGACCTAAAAGATACAAGTAAAAGGCAGTGATTAAGCAATAAATCAGGCCCTCTTTGGTTTCGGGCTTTACTTTTTTAGAAGTAATAACTTACTGTTGGGCCCTGGACTGCTACTGCCGTTGGTGAAAGTGGAGGGGATAGAATCCATACTTCGGCCTCGCATGAAAGCATCAGAACTCTGGGACATGTCTCCTACTTCACTCTCGTCTTGAATAATGTCTGCAACAAAATAACAGAGAGATTGATAAAGGGTATGGAGTAGAGCAGTAAAGTCTTAAATTAAGAGGTTATGCAAACACACAGCTGAGTTAAGTTTAAAGGGATGTCAAAAGTTCCACAAACTAAAAATTAAGTAAAGTACCTTGCGGATCGCCATCTGCCAAAGGGATACTATTCATTTCTTCCTGAATGTTCCCAGAAACAGGTTTCAGAGCCATTTTCACTAACTTAAGGTACTTCTTGAAAGAACGTTTTAAGTACAACTATTATTACGGAAATGCATGCGAATTCACAACGCTCTAGACGAGAACTAAATGTTCGGTTGCTAATAAATGTAGAGATCAACTGCAGAATCGCGTCAAATACTTAGTTTGCAAATGACATTTTAAGCAATTTAAGGTTAGAGACGCCCTCATAAACCCACCAAAGACCGAGTGATTTTCTTTTGTTTCTTAAAAGGCTGCACAACATTCAACTAAAAAATAACTATTTTATCTAAAGTTTAAACGCGTCCTTTCTGTTATGTCTTTCAATCTATTAAAGGATCCTCTTTTAACTTTATAGCCAACATTATTCCGTCAAACAGACTACGATTTGATATAAAAGTATGTACATTTGAATTGTTTTGATCACTCAGCTGAGCCAAGCAGCCGAAACTGCAGACGACAGTGGGGGTGAGGGGGAAGCGGGTAGGTAGGGGGTTCTATATGTCAACATGGCTGACTTCGATGCGATCTACGAAGAGGGAGAGGAAAATGAAGAGCAAATCCCAGACTCATTTGTATCGTTGGTCCCAGACCCGATTGTTATTAGAGGAGCAGGAAACATGACTATGTGAGAAAACTCATCATTTGCCCGTGTGATCGTCTGACTTGGTGTTTAGGCTGTCGACTTAGTAGCCCCCCCTCTCGCCTTCGCTTTGCTAAACAAAGACTTTGTGTAGTCTTCCCTAATCTACAATTTCGCTGCCTTTCATACATTTGACCACCACAGTTTTCTATTCTTTGACTCTGAGATTTTATGGCAATTTCATGTTGTCAATCCTGTTTTCATATCTCCCTCCCAAGTCTTTGTATTTGTCACTGTGACTTCTGTAACCTCTACAATTAAAGCAGTTTTCATTTATTAAACCTGCTATTTCTCTTGCATTTTATTCCATTGTTTTGTGGTTTTGCACTTGCATTCAATGGGACCTCTATATTTGCATCATATTCAGAAGCTTTTAGTGCTTCTTCAACATTTGTGCGGTCAAAGTTTCTAGTATAAAAGTCTGCAGCGTCGTTAATTATTGCCTTTCTTTTAACAGATTTGGTTTAAGTAATCGGTTTGAATGTGATTTTCCAAATGGCCTTGTTTCTCGTGTTGCTCCAGAAGAGTACAAAGCAACAATAATGAGAGCAAATAGTGTACTCAAGAAAACACTCCCCGTTAATGTTAAATGGCTATTCTGCGGATGTGTTTGCTGCTGTTGCACACTTGGATGTTCACTGTGGCCTGTCATTTGTCTCAGTAAAAGGGTAAGATTGCAAAGTTGACCAGCTCTGTTGAATTTTTCAAAACATATACATGAGTGGTGCTAATTTAAAAATTCTTTTTCAGACGCAGCACTCAATAAATAAACTTCTGGAGTGGGAAAACAGCAGACTCTATCACAAACTTGGCCTTCATTGGAGACTCACAAAGCAGAGATGTGATTCGTCTTCCATGATGGAATATGTGAGTTCATTATATATGTATATATATATATATATTGCACATGTTTGGATGTGGTTGCAGGGTACTATCGGACCTATACCATGCAGATATCATTAAGTCTTTATGTCTAAATATATTTTTTCTATTTCTCCTTTCAGGTTTTGCAAGTTGAGTTCATTCCCAAGATACCAATATATAAACCAGATTGAGATCAATAGCAAGCAGGTGGTTTTCACTGGATGCCACTCAATTTGAGTGTCTGGCAGCTGAGAAGCTTTGTGTTGGGTCCACTTATTCCATAGTCACAAAGTAGGATATAATGAATTTTATGAATTGTTATTTTATCGCTTGTGAAAGATGGATTTTTGGAAAGGATCTATTTTGATTTAGAGCTGGGGATGCAGTTATAAATTGACTCTATAACTGTTCCCCTTAGTGTAAAATTGTGAAAGGGAAATGGTTGTTTGGAAGATGATTGTGTGATGTAACTTCTTCAATCTTAGTGTGTGTCTGCCAAGTCATGTGTTCCAGCATAAGGGTTCAGCTGACTTTGATAAAAGACGACACTATGATGTATTAGACTGTTACCAATGTTTGTAAGAAGGAGTTTAAGTGATGATTGTTCGTACTGGTGCTGATGTAGACTAGAATTTGGAAATATTCCAAATGAAATGAAAGTTGACTGATTCTTAAATGTTTGGGCTGTATGCTTGTTTATTTTGTGGATGTATGCTCATTGTAGTTATGCTGTTAAATATCTTTCGCAAATTTAAATGTAAAGTAAGCACAAGCTGATCCCCCCTCCCCCGCCCCCTTTTTCTTTTAGTAAGTAAGCATGATTGATGTATCACTTGAGTTATATATTCTCCTATAAACCAGAGAGGCCTTATTTCAGTGTCATCTAAAATTGATTTCTTAGTGTAACTTATGGAAATGCCGCAGCTCACCTGTTTTCCGTTTTTTTGTTTTTTTTTTGGGAGCCACTTAAATTGTTTTTACAGAACAAATTTCTTTGACCTTTTCTTCCTGGTGATTGAATCCTCTTGTACAGTATTTAGCCGTATCATAAAACAAAAGTGGTTTGTAGACCCAGACCCTATTGTTTGAAAGGAGCTTTCACTGTATACGCCGCATGTTTCATTTGATGAGGGATGAGTATTAATGAGTTGTAGCTGTTTTAAATCAAGCAAGATAAATTTGTGTAAATTTTAATCTTTTATGAGCACTTATTCAGTGCATATCGTGTTGGTGTGATAAGGATGTATTCATCAGTAGATGTGCAAGAATTATTTATCAAATATACCTATGGATAAGTTAAAAGCTCTAGAGTAAGCTTTTAAGTTCTCTGTTTGAAGGCAGGACAGTTTGAAATTATCCAGTGACACAAGTACTGTCTCATGATTTAATCTTGTTATTACGGAAGTATCTCTACCACTGTACTAAAAAATGTCCGTCCTGACAGGACATGAGGTGCCCCCCAGAAGGGTACGAGAGCTGCAGGTTGTGACCTGTGAGCTTGCTCTCTCACAGCATCTCCATTTAATATATCCTACCTCTCTCGCACACTTCTGGGTTCATTTGCACCTGTACATATTAGTTAACTATGATTGCAGTGGCAAATAGCTTAAAGTCTTAGTGTCATAACATGATTTTGGGATGTTAAGATCACAATACCTCATATTGATTAAAATTTGAGACCAACCATTGTGCTGTGGTGTAAGATTTTCTGGGACCAGTGTTGGATCAGAAACAAGGAAAATCTGAGGTCAAGTTCTGCTACTTTACCAAAATTTTTTGTTTCATCTGGTGAAGAGAATGGCTTATTTTTAGGACAAAATTGTATTCTAGTTATTTATCTTCTCAGCCATGGTTGAAATGCTTAAGGTAAGGATACTAGCAAATCCCTTGTGAGTGGATAATTTCAAATTATGATCAAGAGAGTCTTCAATGCTCACATTTATTGTATTTATCTGCCCTGGCTATCGAGCTATGACAGTGCAGGGACAGGTTGTTATGTGATTGTATCTGTTACTCAGATAATTAACACAATTCTGAAATTTTAGTACTTGTTGATAATTTTAGAAAGCTGGGAATTTGATTGTTGTGTCTGAATGAACTCTTGATTATGTATTTTAATTTCCATTTTCCAAAACATAAATTCAGGCTGGTTTTTTTAATTAGTCAAAATAGGGACTTAATTGTGTTAGTTTCTGCAAGAAGTCCCCCTCTACAGAAGTATTCTTCTGTCTTCAATTTAAAAGACATGATTTGAAAGTAAGTGGGCAGCCTCATTAGTGCTATTATTATGTACTTCCATATCCGTGGTTAAAGAAACATGTTGTTCTTGCCTCTTCTTTCTCACTCATGAGCTTTCTTCTACAACCAGTTTTGTTTCATTTCCTTTCACTGTTTTCTTCTTTCACCGTAAATCAATGCTCAGTCACATTTCTGTAGCTTTCACTGTAGATTTCCTGCCTTTAATATTTCAAACCATTATTATGTCACTCAATTGGAATTCAATTCTATGCAAGATAAGGGGACTGATGTGCACACTCAATTTTGCTCATGCTCTGTGAGGGTGACTATTAATAGGATTGCTCCTTGCGGCTCTTCTCTGGACCCACCACACCTCAGAACTCATTGTTCATTTTTTCATTTAAAATGAGAGGAAGGAAGCAAATGAAATCTGCCATCTAAGCATTTAGAATGAGTGGAGAGAATTAGAAATTAGTGAAAAGAAGAGCATGAATTATTTCATCAGAAAATTAGAGAATTTTACTGTGCATACCGGCTTTGTAACTGTACAAAACTGTTTTTCTTTATAATTTTTCAATTAATAGGCACACTCTTGTTCATTTTTTAGCGTGAATGGTTAGTTCAGTTTCTGTCTCAAGTTGAGGGTGGTTACACTTCATTCTTTGCACTTTACTCTTAACGGATAGGTCCAGGGGGTGAGGTAGGGAACTGTTTAGAGTGAAGAATGAATGACTTCTCCCCTCATCCCGAGTTCCAAGTGTGAAGTGTAAAGATCCTAACTTGATACTGCCAGTTATTTTATGAAAGTAGAGTAGTTAAGTGTTAGGTCGTTGATCTAATGCACTAACTCATATTTTTGACACAAAATATCTTTTGTAAGGAAGAAACTTAAAGCTATGTGATATTCGTTAAGCAAGCCACCTTAGAAGCTTTAGTTTGCTGTGTGATAGGGTTAGATCTGCTAATTCATTCTTTGCTGTGTTAAGGATAAGTCGTTCTGCCTTCTAAAACATACACACATATGTGTCACCAATTAAGAGAAACAAAAGTGAGAAAACAAAGTTGAATCTCTTGATACTCTCAGTGTGTCTGTCTACTTGAATGGATGGTTTTGAAATCTTGCTGTTGTTGCTATTACACTGTTAATATATGGCAACAACCCAAATTGATCCTTAGTAACAGTACCTTCTTCAGAGTGCTTTAATTAAAATATCAGTCATTTTTTTCTCTGAACAGTTGTTGTTCCTCTCAATAAGGCTATTATTTTTCATTTTTTTAGTATACAATAAATATACTATACGAATTTTTTGAAGCTTTAAACCTAGATTGTGACTAAAGTTGTATGCTTGGGTTTCGATGTGGTCTGGATTGGTATATCTGAATCTATGTTGGTAAGCCTTCAGCTGTTTTCAGACTTTATTAGAAATGCTATTTTTTTCCTTTTCTAAGCAGACTTCTCTTGTCAACAACCCCCTAAGAATAGAAAAAACAAAAACAAAAAGAAACTGATTTCTCACTGCATGGATTGAAAAATTTCTACCACCCATACCAAAATGATTGTCTTGTTTCACGATCAGGATGAATCCTAGTAAATGGGTTGACTTTGGAGGGCAATGGGACCTTTTGGGTGCCTTTGGGCTTCAACAGTTTTTGTCTGCCTTACTAAATCAATCCCAGCCCCTCCCCTTTTTAAAACTTTCATGTAGCATAATTAATGATCTTTCAAATCATAATTCTATCAACCTATCCAAGGCATGAAATCTACTAGTCATCTTGTAATTACCAATCAAGCTACTATGACTGAAAAATGCTGTTAGCTTAGATATTTTGATTACTGTTTCACTTTGCGGTTTATGCAAGAGGACATGTCTGATCTATCTATCACTAAGCCTTCACAGGAAAATAAAAATTGTTTTATAAGTTTGAAGGTATTTAATTTCTCTTTAAAATACATGTTGAGTTTTGTCTTTGACGATAATACATTTGGGTAAATTTTAAAACCATAATATTAAAATTTTACTCATGACACTAATGGAATAAGGGACACATCTTAACTGAACATGCAGCCTTAACATCAAACGCTGATGCAATAAATAGCACTCTAATTCACTATGGGAAATAAAAAAATTCAAAACCTGGTCAGATCTTTGACTTAAGTCTGACAATTATAGCACCACACATTACTTTCTCCACTCAAAGGATGGCAGCATAAAACCTAATTCAGACCCGTATGAGTGAGGAATTCAGACCTACTACAATGTGGATTACATCAGTAATTCAACACGTTTCCTAAGAAAAGGAAAAAAAAACAATGGTGCAAGATGCTTAAGTACTGGGGAAACAGCACAAGGAAAGCAACAAAGTATGCGGAGAGCTGCCCACAAAACTTTGTTTTAGAGCACAATGCCGTTGCAGAGTTAATCCATATGATCCTTTTGTTTCCTTTCCATGAACATTGAACCATTTACAAAGGTCTTGTAAATTTCTGATGTTCATACGAGATCTGAACACTTGACATGAAACAACTAAGTGGTCCAAGTGGGCGTAGTATAGAAGCATCTTTTTTTTTTTTCTATCAATACAGAACTAAACGAAACAAAAATGTGACTGCAGAAATGTCACATATACATGCAAATTCTTCGAAGGGTATAAAAATGCTCAAAATACAATTCAAAAATATTTCTTCATCAGGCAAGGGACTTCATTTAACAATAATAGTACAAAAACAGTAAAAGAACTTGTGCAAAAAGCAAATCACAGCACATAACATAGACCATACACACAAATTATGTTAGCAACAACCATATTTTACCTAAAGCATTTGCAGACCAAATGTGTAAGGCACAAGTTAGTGAAATTCATGTTTTCAAATGAGAGGGCACAAGCCAATACACAGATCATTTGTAAATAATTGAACAAGTGAATGTATTCTAATGTCCACAAAAGATATCATTCAGAGAGCAAAAAGCTCAATGGACCTCAGAAGCATTAAAAAAGGGGAGGTGGGTGATGCATAAGAAACTTATGACACCAAGGCGAGGAGGACCTTTTTGTAGTCTCCAGAGGTATCAGCCTGTAAAGAACAAATCAGTTTACATCTGCATCATATCGCCACAAGAATGAGTATTAAAAATCAAATAAAAAAACAGGTGTTACTTACAGCAATGAAATCTTCCAGAGACTTTCCATACTTGTCCTGGAAAGCATTTTTGATGTCACCAAGGTCAATTTCAGAACGTGAAACCACAATACGAATCAAGGTCTTGTCTTTAGTTCCAAGCCCCTTCATACTAGCATGGAGACGTTCCGCAAAGAAGCCAACTTTGCTTTTCACACACTTTGCTGCAAAGATTATAAAAATAATTAGGAGTTTAGCTTACAACACATTACTTAGTGTTTTCGACAACATGCAGTATTTACCAATAGCAAGAAGACCCTTCTCGATGTTTCCAGAGAATTCCTTCTTGATAGCTGTTTCAATGTCATGTCCAGCCAGTTGTTCATACTCAGCAAAAGTTTGACGGAGCTGCTGGTAGCTGCGTGAAATCAGAATTGAGTTGAACACTGATTCCTCAGTGCCCCACTGCTTTTCTCCTAGATAACAAGATGTTTGTTTTAAAAATACACAAAAGCACCCACATTATCCCCCAATTACGTGTTGCCTACTCTTGCAGCATACCTGCATTGTACAGTGCTTCAGCTTCCTGTCTAGCCAATGCCTGGTCAACATTGGGATTCTCATCGCGGTTGCCCTGAGGGAATTTTTCGATTATAGGTTACTTGTATTAAGACAATACCTTAACAAGATAACAATATTCAGACCAAAAGTGCTATTTACCTGGCACAGGGAGACACAAAGCCGCTTGAAATGTCCTGAGGTGTCTCCTTTCAGGTCACTCTCCAGCTTCTTCCCATATACTGCCAGGAACAGTTTATAAATCAGTACGCATACGGCACGGAAAATAAGATGAAATAGAAGAAGCAGAAAAATTACTCACAGTCCTCGTAGAATTTAGCAATAGTCTTGATGCCGTAGTTACTTAAAGTGCACAAGATCTCAATGATTGCAGACTCGTCAGTGCCAAGCCCACTCACGGCATCATGCAGCTCCTTGGCGTAGAACTGGGGCAGTGGGGTCATCAAGGCCACAATCACATCCTCCAGCTTCCCACTAAGTTCTCCCTTGAGATCAGAGGTCAAGTCTTTTCCATACTGAGTCTTGTAAGAATCAGCAATCTCCAAACGCTGAACGATACCCCTCCTTGCGAGCACGTCAATAATTGCCTTCTCATCGGTTCCAAAGCCTTTCATGGCTTTCCTGAGGGTTTCCGCATCCTTGAGAGCATCGAAAGGCTCTGCGGGGAACACGGTGGGTGTGCACTGAAATAAACAAAAGCACCTGTTGAACAGACTGAAAGAATGATAGAGGGGCAGAAGTGGTCAGGAAGGGACGATCATGATTATGGCTCCTTGAAGAAAATGAGCATTTACCTTGAATGGGTAGTATTGGGTAGACATGGTTTCTGAAATCAAAGGAAACAGAAGTGAGAAAACATTTAACTCAGACAACAGAAGCTGTTGTTTGAAACAGGGAATTCCCTCAAAGATCTGCACCTCAGCCTGCCGACTAGGCAACCGCTGCAACCGCACAACAGGTGTGACAAGAAGTTGCCTGGTGGCAGACACTAGAAAGGCTCGAGGCAGGAAGAGGCAGACTGAGGCGCCACGGTAGGCGTGTAGGACTATTTACGCGTTCCGCCTATTTCTCGCAACATTGGAAGTAGTCTACGCCGCCCCTCTCCTCCCCGGGGAATGCCATGCCCCCTTTTCCGGCATAAAAACTCCACTTATTCACATGCACCACGGAGACCTTGGCGGCCAGGCCGGCCAGGCGGCCGGGCTGGCTAGGGCCCGTCGGTCAAGGACGCTCGGCGTCGCCGCGGCGCCACCGCGGCGCCAATCGTAAAGCCCCCCCCCCCCTTCCGCCTCCCCTTGACCAGTCCCACCGGCCGCCCCACCCCTTCCAACCCCCGTGACCTGGGCGTAGCAGGCGTAGCGTGGCGAGCCGCACTAGAAGCGCGGTGGAGGTAGGTAACTCGGGCAGGTGCGGCCTGCAGTGGCCCGGTTCGTCGCAAGCCCGAGTGATCGTCACACAGTCTGTGTCTCACTCACGGGGCGCTCCGTAAGGGTGCGACAGAGGCAGAGCGAGAACCGATCACGCACCGCCAGCTGAACGGGCCGTGATCGTCGGCGTGGAGACGATCGCGCTTTGACACCGAGCCCCGATATACGACCCCGGCAGACCTCACTCGAACGCCATTCTCCGGAAAACATGTGATAAAGCAGCCCTCAGGGCGAAGCAAGCCATCTCGAAACTGGGGCTGGAGACTGGGGCCACGACGGGCCACGCCACGCCACGCCGAGGCTAACTAATCCAAGTAGACGACAAAGCGGTGATCGGGGCCGGCTCTAGCCATGGCTTCAGCCTCGATGGGAATGAGCGCCCCAAGGCCTCCCCCCCCCCTCCCCTCCCTCGCGTCTACACTGTCTACACCGGCCGCGCCCCTTCCAGCCTTCCAGGTTCGCGGCCCCGCGGTGGGCCCCGCGGTGGGCCTGTGCGTCGCCCCATTAAAAGTGTGCCAAGGATAGCCAAGGATGAGATCATCGTCCAGAGCCCGCAGGATGCAGGATCCCGCAGGGTCTGCATCGAGTCGTTTGACGAGCCGGGAGCATGTCGCGGTCGCGCTGACTCACCCGTCTCACTTGCTCTTTATCGGCATACCCTCTGTCACCCGGCTAATCTTTCTTTGCCTGATGCTGCGGGCCGATTCGGGACAGTAACTCGTCGCCGCCTCTCTCGCACTTCAGCGAAGCGCCTCGCGTGTGCGAGAGAGGCAGAGCGACGAAGCCCTTCTCGTCGCTTCTTATTTTTGACTAACTACAGACGGGCGCGGAGGGCGGACAGGCCAGAACAGATTCGACATCAGAGGGACCGGGACCGGTCTGAGACTAGAACCAATTTGGACTCCCCCTCTCGGCCGCGCCATGGGGCCATGGGGCCGCGCACGCCCCCGACTGCCCCCACCGACGCGGAGCACGCCAAGCACGCCTTGGTTCTCGTCCTTCGCTTTCCGGGCCGGCTCAGCCTGCGCCGCGGCGTCGCGGACAGGCCGACACCTCGGTACCCGCAGACCGGGCCTCCGGTTCGGGTCCGGGCCGAACGCGCTAGAGTGGGCGGGGCCCCGCGCCCCCCGCCAGGTCGAGCAGAGCGAGCAGAGCCAGCGTGCCACAGGTGAGGCGCGGGGCCCACCAAGGATGCGCGGAAGGACGCCGGAAGCACCCGCCTCTCATCGCGCAAGTGTCGGGCATGGCGCCAGCGTGCTCGTGGTTATTGTTTTCGTTACCGCCGGGTACCTGCCAGGTGCTCGCCTGGCACCCGCTGCCGGCGAAGCGTGGCGGTACAGTCGCAGTACAGTGTGTCGAACGTGACTCAATGCAGTGGTTGCCAACTGCCGGCAAAGGCATGCTCGCACTGCGACCGTAAAACTGTGAAGCCACCACACTGCACCTACGCTATCCTGCATCCTGGCGCCCCTCCCCCCACGCGCATCTACACCGCACACGGTGTCAAGGTGGGGCAGGGCAGGCGGCCTGGCGTGGCTTGGCGGGGCGCGCGAGGGAAGGACTCATCTCCACGCCCAGATACCGCGAGGCGTTTCGTTCACTTGCCCCGTGAGAGTTGAGAAGCGGGTCGATTCCGAGCAGTTCGTTCGTCGCGCTGTCTCTCTCGCGCCCCTGTGGGCTGCCGCCCGCTGATGGTACGCAGACAACCTCAGGGAATGCCGGGCCGGGCATAACGTCTGGCGCCAACGCGTTCGACCCGCCGCAGCGGGCCAGAGGCTCTGAGTGGGAAGCGAAGCGGACGGCAGAGCCTGGCCTGGCCAGTCGTCTCGTCTCAGCGGCGGCTCGGCTACGGCTTGGCGTACCGCAACGAGACGGACGAGACGCTAACCCGAAGCCCTTGAAGCCGGCAGCGGCCGGCAGCGCCTTTAGCAGCGCCGCACCGCACCGAGCGAGCACCACCACGTCTGCGTGTGCCGGGACGTCGCGTCCGCGTCGCGGCGGCCTGGGCTGGGCTTGAGTCTAGGCTGCCGGGCCCCAAACCGCCGCACACATCCGCGTAGCGTCCACGCCGCGCCGGTCCGCCACTATAACGCCGCGGCCGTGTGCGAATCCTTCCGCCATCTCCGTCGCACCTCCGCGACTTGGCGGTCCGCGAGGCTGAGGCGGCGACAAGGACGGAACACGGAGCCGCGCGGAGCCCACACCGAAACGCAACGCACGGCCGCCAGGGCCGCCGCAGCCATGGACACGGAGGAGAAGGGGAACAGAAAGGGAAGGGGAGCCCAAGGACCGCGTCCAGGACGACGTGACGGGAGGAAGGGGGCTGTCTGTCCTTTTCTCACGCGTCGCGGGAAGGGATGAGGGAAGGAAGGGGCGCGATCGTAAAGTACTTGGTTTCTCAAGGTCTCCCCCCCCCCTTTCCGCGCTTCTGCTGCCAGTCCGTCCTCTTCCGCAGGGCAGGCCGGACGGCCGGACCCGCACCGCGGTAGACAGACTGGCGGGCCGTGCCGCCGTGCCGTGGCCTGCCTCGCGGACCTCGCGGTGACGTCATGTCAAATAAAGGAGCTGACCAGGCGGCACCGCGGCACCAGGCGGCCTCTGACTGCACTGAATCACTCATAGGCGATGGCATTCCACGCAGGCACGCAGGATGACATCACTGGCCGCGGCCACCAGGCTGGCTGGAGGCTGGTGACAGTCAGCGGGGCAGCCGCACAGCAACAGTTGCTGGATCGGCCAGCTGGCCCTACTCCGGGCCTCCGGGAACACGCCCTGCCCCTGTCCGGGAAGGAAAGCGGCAAGCCGACTCGCGAGCGACACGGGAGCGACACGGCAACGGCAGCATGTTTGCCGATGTCTCCCCTCGGCCTTCCCGCCGGCAGCGACAGCCAACGCGCTAACGCGTAGCTAAAGCACCCTAAGGTCCCTAGGGCAGACAGGCCTGGCTTCTTTCTGTACTGCGAGTCGAGTCCGTTTACCCAAGATAAGCAAACGGTGCGGAGAGAGGCCACACGGCGGAGACAAAACGGGAGGCGGCCGAGGCGGCTCGACACGACACGCCCACCAGGGAACCCGCTCAGCTCCAAGTACCCCGAGTTCCGAGTGGACAGGCACGCGTCCGGGCGCAACGAAGACACACCACACGACGGACACGCGTGGTGCGCGCGTGTCTGCGTATGTCAGTGACACTTTACCTGTTTTCGGCTAGTCGGCGAGCGCGGAGGAACGTAAAGAGCCCTGGTGCACGTCTGCTGCAAGTGGGTCCGGGACTGCGAGTGAGCAGGAGCAGAGCAGAGCAGGGGCAGGGCGAGTGAAACAGCAGACAGGCGACTTGGACGCGATGACGAAAGCATCCGAAAAATGCGGGGCGTAGTCCACCGCCCGCAACAAAACGCGCAGGCCGTTTCCGGCCAGTACACGCGCTGCCACGCGGCCGGTAATGAACGCTCCGACTTCTTGACAGCGATTCGCTTGCGTAAAATTCATCGACGATGCGAGAATATTCCTTGCTAGGAGCCGTTGACTTGCTCTGAAAAGAAAAACGACCAAATATTTCCCTCTTTGTCACAAAAGTCAGCCGTTTGAGGGACATGTCAGCCCACACAAGGTGGTATGCTTGCGCTCTGACAAGAAGAACACAAATAAGCAGAAGCATCATGATGATGGAAGTGCGAGCGAGGACTTAGCGTTAAGATACGACGAAGACATCAAGACATGAAAGATTTTCCTTGAAACTGACTGTTTCTGTTTACTCACAACATGCGTTAATGCTGATCTTTCTGTAGGAAACGTAGAAACGTAGTTGTCTTTAACACTCACGCCAAGATGCCGTCGCCACACGAGAAGCTGGGCAGGGGAAGGTCCTGGATGTGGTGTGTCAAGACTGTGAAATGGTTCCCAGTCATCTTTATAGTGTCTGTGATTCTGTGGTCTTACTACGCTTATGTCATCCAGTTATGTTTTTGTAAGTATTTTGTTCTTTAGCCATTGGCAAAGTACCTTAATGGTGTTGATTTCTGGCTATATAGTGATGGGGTTAGCTTAGGTGGGCCATAATGGTTTCATTTGAATTTACAGTTTGTTGATGTACTTATTCATTTTGTATCTTCTTTCTTTCCCCAGTCGTTATTCCATTTGGTCTCCAGAAAGGTGAATAGAATTAAAATTAAATCTGTTAGTTTCAATTTGTTTATCTAATCAATCAATCAATCTAAATTTGGTTTCATTTAATTCCCAGCTCTTTACATAATCCTGTATCATGGTTTCCTCTTCTTCTTCTTGTGGTCATATTTTCAAACCATCTTTACATCGAACGGGAGAGTTCCAGTGCAGGTAGGCAATGCTGTCAGTTCCAGTGTTCCTGAATTTAAAACATTCCACACAATTGTTAATCTGTTTGATTGTTGCTCATTTCAGTTTCGTCTTCCTGCCACAGAGCTTGATAGATTAATGCAGGCTGAAAGTGATGAAGCCAAGATCCAAGTCGTCAAAAGATTCGCTCAGAACCTGCCTGTCAGCAACAGAACTACCACTGGTGGTACGTTTTATGAAATATTTATGCTTGAAAATAATGTTGAAATATAAACCACATTAAGATTTTCATAATATTTATTTCAGCCATACGCTTTTGTGAAGTATGTCAACATGTAAAGCCGGATCGAGCTCATCATTGCAGTGTTTGTGGTGATTGTGTTCTGAAGATGGATCATCATTGTCCTTGGGTTAACAATTGTGTATCTTTCAGCAATTACAAGTTTTTCATACTATTTCTTGGCTATGCCTTGATTTATTGCCTTTTCATAGCTTTAACAACGCTCCAGTTCTTCATTAAGTTTTGGAAGGTGGGTTGTGCACTTTAAACAAGAATAAAGATTTAGCCCTGCATTTATTGATATTGGTATTTGCTCTTTTACAGGGTGAGATGGATGGAGTAAGTCACTTCCACATCCTCTTACTGTTCTTTGTATCGATCATGTTTGCATTGAGTTTGGTGTCTCTGTTTGGATATCATCTGTACCTTGTTGCCCACAACAGAACTACTCTTGGTATGTACTCTGAAACAAATTGCCTGTTGACCCTTGTTAGCCTGTATGCCATGTTCAGTTTTATTGCTAGCACTAGTTTAAAGTTTCAATGCTCCTGTTAATCTTATTAAATATTTTTTTCCAGAATCATTCCGTCCACCTGTTTTCCAAATTGGACCAGACAAAAATGGATTTAGCTTGGGCAAGTTCAACAACTTCCAAGAAGTGTTTGGAGACAATAAGAAGACCTGGCTTCTTCCTGTCTATTCGAGGTAAGATTTGGATGATGAAGTATTACCATTGCTGGAGACCACATTGCTTCACTTGAAAAGGGTAGGGGATTCGTAAAAGGACCTTTTGTTCAAAAGCTTTGTAGTATTGATTTATTTCTTCATTGCTTGTATATTTGTTTACTTCTGGAGATGTTTTAATTTGTGTATTTTCATCATTTAGTCTTTATGGCATGGTTTTTAAAAGTTAATTTAGGTAATGCTGCTCTGGTTCATGTGAGATTTGCATCCTGTTTTCTGTTGTAACTTCGAAATCCTTTTGTTGTTTTTTTTCAGCAAGTGAACACAAGGACAACAATTAATTTATCTGTTTCAGCTTGTTCCTCACCTTTCTTAGCTGTGTTGGTAAATGCAGATGAAAGCTACAGTATATACACCATAATTAATTCAGTCAAAGATAGAAGCTGCTTTGAACACATTTTCTTGTTTTCCCTTTGTATTTTATAGGTGCAGACAAATCTTGTGGACCGAACTGTGCTACTGATGTTCTGCTTTTGGTTACAATTTTCTATCTCCTGCATAACATACTTTACTTAATTACAACTCTGAACAAGCTGTTGCATATTTTGTTCTCAGTTTGGGCGACGGTGTGGTGTTTCCCGCGAGGGCGCAGCACCAGTCTAACTTGTACAGCTCAATGGGCAGTACCCACAACAGGTCAGATGAGTTCAAGGTTGTGCCCTTAGAACCACCTGAGCAGGACTCAATCGTACAGGTTGTCTAACATGCATGTTGTGCTACGAGTACATCATCTAACAGACACTAGCACTAAAACTGGTACCATAATGTATGTTGTCTAAAAATGTAACATCAGCCATTGTCCTGATTTTCTTAGTGTTACTTGACGTGGACTGTCAAGAATCTTTTAATTTGACAGTCAACTTTGGAAAATTTTCTCTGAATAGATTTTTAGGAGAAAAAAAATGCTCAAAATTTACCACAGTATTCTAGAATATGTTTTTCTACCCCTTTTTTAAGCATTGAATGGTGGGGACTTGGTTGATCTTGAAAGATTTATTTTGTATCTGAGTTACTGTCACTTTTTCCTACTACCACCACAAGCCAGTATATTAAAGTTGATTTAGAAAGAAGCTTCTTATCTTTGGCCTCTTTAGTTACTAGCTTCTAGTTAAAATCAATGCTTTACGGTGAGCCAAATTATGAGCTAGATCATTCAATTGAGATTTTCTGGAGAAATGTGGAGTGACGGAATAGCATCAAAAACAGTGAAATATACTGCACCTCTTATTCGGGGTGCAGTCGGGCCTACTGTAACTTCTTCTAGACAATTTTTCTTTTCTGAATTTGGAAATATTTGTTTGGAAAACAAATATTTTATCTGTCCTTTAATTTTTTAAATAAGTAACTGTCATAACTTAAGTTTGAAACTGAATGTCCCTTGTTTTCATGCACAACTTGTGCTCTTTACCCCATTGACATCCCCAGACTTTGCTCCATCTGACAAAAATGAGCTTGTGCAAAGTAATTGCCCACATTTTACTGACCTTGTGCAGGTAAAGTGCTTGTTAATATGTTATTTTAGTGTATCTTACAATTTTTTAAGGAAGTATTTATCAATTGCTTGTTGTTTTATGAATTAAGTGTGCTGTGTTGTCATAAAATTTAAATCTAACAAATTTTTATTTTAAAAAAGGAGATGATAAAAAGATTTGGAATGGGACCACTTGAATCTGTGTTGTGTTCTCTAAATTTCTATCAGATCTTGTTTGAATTCCTTGCCTGTTTTCTTGTTTTTTATGTTTTATTTGTGAGAACACTGCCTCTGAAAAGTATTGAAGTTTTATGGTACTGGAGTATGAAATTGACTTTAGCCTCCTAACATATTCATTAGCATTTCCATCTTTTTGGAAACGTAATTACTTTAGTGCCTTCAAACTTCAAGTGAAAATCTAGTCGCAAGTAGTCACCTTAATCTGGCAGGACAATATTAATGAAAACATTCTTTTTACTTAAGATTATAGTTTAGCCTTAGCCGCATATGTTAGCCACCCTCCTCTGCTACGTTTTCTCCTTCTCCTAGCTCTCTGACGCCTACATCTGCTTACACACACTCCATAAATATTCTTGATTAGAATTCATGTTGAATTTGATACATTGGCGCTCACAAGTACTTACCGAATAATAGAAACTTAAAATTAACTTCCAGTATTCAACATTTTCTCCGTGCCGAAGCAGGCAGTTTGGAAATAAACAGTCAGTTGAGAGAGTTTCTTTGGGGGTATTTAAATGCTTGCTTGGTGATTGACTTATTGATTAGACTGAGAAACAATATTCCTTCAGTCTTTCAGTTTAGGTTGCATTTGATATTGTATCTTTTTAACTGCATAATTTGAGAGTAAGACTGTGAAATAATTCTTAGTTATCATCACTCCGACTTAATTTTGTGTTTAATGGCATCTAGTGCATCTTGCATCCATGTTTGTTTATAGGGCGCCTACATGACTAGGGGAGGACATGGCTCATGTCATATCTCCAAATAAATGGTGATGTGAATCATTTATTAGTGATAACTTTAATTATTCAGCTTTGTTCCCTGTGATAAACTTTATTCATTTAGAAGTAGAAGTTTTGATCAACTTAATGCCGGCATTCGAATTATTCCATCTTTGGACGTAAACCGTCTTTAGTTTTGAGTGTGCTTTACCAAACAGTGTTATGACATTGGTAGCACTTTCATTGAATTTCTAATCAGTGTTGGAGTTTAAAAATAATAAATTTAGGTGTTACTTGCTGTGTGGGCAGTGCAAGCAAGCCAGCCCTGTGACAGACACTCATCAAAGCTAAGTTAGGCATGGATTCATTGAGCCCTCCAGTGAAAAGGCAACTTTTTTTTATCTATTGCACAGCTGCTTCTGGATCCACACCTTGTTCCTTGTGTGGAATATGTAAGCCCTACATTGTAAATTGTTCCCACAATAGAATGCTCATCCATTTCCAAGTTGTTTTAACTTATACATAGTATTAAGCATAGTACCAAGTGTTATTGTCTGCCTTTTTTTAACATGGGAATTCATTTTTAATCTATGTGGTTGCCATGCATTTAAAGTTGTTTGTTATTACTGATTAGCAAAGAAGATAATATTAAATGTCTTGTCATTTCAATCTTTTTCACTTGACAAGTGTTCAGGGGGAAAAAGATGGGCCCTAACTGTCTTCTAATAGTAACAGAAGTGATTGTCTCTTAATCAACTCTTTCTATTATAGAAAAACATTCAGTGGATAAACTCTGTTTGTTTTATGTGCACTTTTGTACGCTTCTTTTTTGTTATTTTTTATGATTTTGTGAGTATTACAGAAAATAGCCTTATTGCCTGGTGGTGTTGGTGAACTGACAAGAGATTAAAACAGTCTCATGTTATATAAAATTATTAAGTCCTTTCTCCTTGTTTTTCCTCTTCTCGTCTTGGTGTGCCTATTATTGAAGTGTTGTAGGTAGACTATTTGATGTAACATCACTTACATAATGAATCTTCCATTGGACTTCCAATGCAGTATTTGTTTCAGAGGAAGTCTTATGTACCTAAGAAGGATGGGAAATAAATTTACAAATCTACTTTAATGCTTTGTCTTAGTTGTGCTTATGTTCACTTCCAACCTTTTTCCTTTAATCAAAATAAAGCATACCACATCCCAGTCTACACTTTAATGGATTGGATTACCTCTCACCAATCAGATGCCATTATCCTCTCCATGCACCGCAAAAGCATGTAGCTTCTTTACAGCTAAGTAGTGTTAGTCTGTTGGTGCGCTTTCAGTACCCTTCTTGATTTAAGCAGTATAAACTGGAAATTTTGGCATCCTATGCCTCAATTCCAACATACAAATATAAAATGTAGCTTACATACATTGTACAGTTTATCAATTAAAAAGAATTTTGAAAAGGAACAGAAGTCAAAAAATTGATTCGGTTACAGAGCTTACTTTGATTCAATGATTTTCCCCTTGGTTGATATTGTTAGATAAGAGGAACAGAAAAATCAAATCGAGTGATGAACCAAAATTTAGGGGGTATATTCTTCCAGTTACTTCTAATTTTTACCATTCCCAAGACAATTAATTTTTCTACCTAACTTCAAGGCATCAAGACGAGATTGCGCAGTTACTAAAAGACAAAGTTTGGCTGGCTATGCCTACATGAACAGAATGAACCCCTGCCTTCAAAATTTCTTGGTAATATTTAAAATTTTGATTTTCTTTTATGTTAACAGCCTAGGTGATGGTGTGACATATCCCCAGCGCTGCATTGATGAAGACACAGATACACTTCTTGGAGGGTGCCAGAGATGGGATGATCAGGAAAATGGCTGCTCAAGATGGAATGATCCAGAAGAAGCATTCAGCAGAATAGCATTCAGTGAGCATGCTGATTCTGATTCATCAACGGTCCATCCAGAGATTATGATTGTGGATTGAAACTTTGTCATCTTATGAGTGCATTACTTATCTCCAATGGAGATGAAGAGTATCTTCCCATTACTTTATGCGACCACCTTATTGGGTTAACGAGGACAAAATTGAGTTAAATATTTTTCAGTTCTGTTGTGACTAACAATGTTGCATCTAAGGTTTCCAATGCTTTAGATCAAAGATTTTTTTTGGTAAACTATCTAAAATAGATGCCCATTGCCTGATCTCTTCCCACAAACATTAGAATACTATGGGATCATTTCCCTGTATTTTAGAATCTCACAACAGAACCAGAATGACATACTGAGGCTGCACAGTATGATTTTCTTGTACCTTATAACACAGCTAAATATGCAGGCCTTTCACAGTTTAAGTTATGTGTTATTTTTCACCTCAGCCTGATGCAAGCAAATCAGGCTGCCACCCACCAATAGACTAGTCTAGCCACAGACAATACACAAAGACTGATAAAAATTGTGTGCATTGCCTAAAATTATCCTAAACAATATTTATCTTGATTAAAAAAACGTGCGCATATACCACTGACTTCTTACTTTACCTCCTTAAAAGAAATGTATTTTGCATCAGTTTGGACTTGTTGAAGCACTGAACACTTCTGCACCAAACACTAGAGGTCTCTAATGCCTTCTTTGGTGATCTGCAAAATGTAAATTTTCAATTAGCATCCATAGACAAACACAAGAGAGGTTGGAACCATTTTTCTACAACCTTAAATTTTGCACTTGCACAATGTTGGTTATTTCCTTTTAACAATACTGCAGCAATAACATTGCCTGGAATGCGTCCGAGCAACAGCCTTTGGGTGACTCTGTGGCCCATACTTTCACCAAGTGCAGGAGATAACTCACTTTTGACAGAATTCATTTTGATCAAACGCGTTGTAAGCTGATTGGTTACTACAACCTGAAAAAACAAAGCAAAAAAAAAACAAAACACAAGATTAACCAAATTAATTTATTTAAACAAAAATAAAGTGATTCCGAAGTACTTACAGCAAGGCTTCTCTCTAAGGCAAGCTTTTGCATATCTGACAAAATGCGATACACATAACTTGTGCGATCAATGGTGGAGCATGAATCTCCAGAATTGAAAGGAAATGCTAGATTATCAATCACAATTAATCGAACCTGAGAAGTAGGAAAAACAGGCTTGATCCAAGATATATAATTGCTGGCTCATGGACTAACAACAAAAATCACACAAATCACCTTTGGATTTTTTTCAAGGGTTTTTGGTAATAGTTTTATTGCTGCAAGTAATTGGGTGATCCCATGGGTAGATACACAATGAATACCTTTTAGTACAGAATCTGAGCAAAAATCTTCTGAAATATCACTTTGGTTTTTCATAGATGAATTTAATAGCTGATGACAATGTATGCAATATGCATCAGCCATTTCTGCAAAGGAGAAAAAGAATAAAACAAACACTATTAATGTTGAAAAAGAAGAATTGTACTAAAATAATTAAAACATGCAATTAAAACTTTCTATGAATCACGTGCCTCTTACTCGGTGAGGTGAAAAGTTGCTTGCAGTATCGATAAAAACAGCTTGTCCACTTAGGCCTCCAAGACCAACAGGTATCTGCACATCTACACACAACTGAAGGCTAAATAGTGGGCAAACACAAAATGAAAAGACAATTGATACTGAGATTGTGTCTGATAATTGGTATTTTGGCGCGAAAGAAGCTATTAGACAGAAAACTTACCACAACTGAGTTTTCCCTGAACCAGGAGCACCGCAAAATTCAGTAATAGCATGAAGAGGAATTCCACCCCCTAGCATGGAGTCAACCTGCTCACTCCAAGTGACGATTCCAGGAGTGGTGCATTCTTCCTAAAGGAACAAAACATGTGATCAGAAAGCAAAATTGCTCTCTGATTTTGCTAACTATTAACTTTTTTATCAAGTGAGACACATACCTGCCACATGTCAAGGGAATTCTGAGTTGTAGGAATAGAAGTAAGGGAATGCCAAGACTCATTACTATGAAGATTCCACTGGTGTAGTAAATTGCGAGCTTCTGGATTGACCCCTGCAAATAAAATGGTTGAGGCAAATATGGACACATATTCCTAAACAAAAGAGATGATGTGAGTAGTATTGATTCACAAATTGACATCAACAATGTCAAAATGGGGGAATTATTACCTCTATGACTCAATACATCTTCACAATAGACAAACCCATTTTCTTTCAGACAATGTTGAGCAGTAGCTGGAAGAGGAACTGTCGACAATGGTCGGAACATGACTTCTACGACAACGTAATCAAACCTTTAAAAAGTTAATACAGCCTAGAATGTAGCAGGGAGTGACATTAGTTCAGAAGAGTAAAATCGACAGAGGAATTGGACGATAATGCAAATAACCTAACAGTATAATAATTGAAACCCGTTCGAATTGAGCGCGAAGTGGTAGTTGGGGGTTTGCGAGACAATCTAGAAGGCAGTAATTTATCCAACCTTGATTAAAAAAAAACCATTCTCTTGTACCGCGAATGTCTTTAGACAGCAATAAATGCTATAAAAGTCAATTCAGTTTGAAAAATCAATAAACTCGCAGTAAATATATTTTATGATGCAATTGTTTTTGGAAGCCACTACTTTGCGTATCTTATTTGTGTTGGTTGGTCAAACTGGTTTTGGTTGTTGCCTGGTCTGGCGCGCAATTCAACCTGGGCTTGATGGGTCTCAGTGTTTTTGTGCCTTGGAAAGTCATTACCGATGATGTATAGAGCCCTATAGGCCCCTTGGGCATTGGTATTAAGGACTCTAATGATGTACAAAGGTTTCCTCAATGTGTTATACTCCTCCAGAAAATAAAGTCCAACTCAGCATTTGTTCTGAGATTTGATTCAAATGTGTCAGCACCTCAGGTGCTTCTGTCAAAATGAAACAATTTATAACAATTACTAGAAATATTTATTGGGTTTCCTTTTTCGTTGCTCTTTAAAGGACATAGCAGAATCAATTAAATTACTCTAAAACAATGTCAGCTCATTTCTAAAACTCAAAGAAATAATTTTAGATTTATTCCTTGCTGGAAACTAGTTCAAACCACTGTCTTAAAGCATCACTTAAAACAGCTGGCAGATTAGCAATATCACGCAAGATAAGATAAAATGGGAAAGGGAAAGTATCCATGTAAGATGAAATCCCCAAAAGTTTTCCTCCACTAAATATAGGGGTGCGGATGTCTAATATGGAATCCTGAAAAAAGACAAATACAAAAAAGTTAGTAAGATAAGATGCATTATTATTATTTATCCATAATACCACTCCAGCATAATCATTGACTTACTTTAGTTTCAGGGTTATCTATGATAACAAATATCATAAAAATGCCAGCTAGCCTTGCTCTTCTCACACAATCGCACACCTTTTCTTGCCCTTCACTGAAAACACCTCGGCCGTCCGATATGACGACCAAAAGCTGTGCATGCTCAGCAGATGTTTGAGCTTTACTGGTTGAAAATAGGGCTGTAGCATATTCAACAAGTACACCAATTTGTGTTTTTCTTTGATCAAAAGAAAACTGTTGCAAAAGCCTAGAACAAGCAATTCGGATGAAATAAATATACAATATACATCAGTAATAAGAACACAGCAGAAAATGATAAGCAATCCAAAGTCAGCTTACCTTGCACCACTGTGCTGTGTGAAAGGTTCACCCAATCTATGCAACACTTTGACAGCCTCTCCAAAGCTTAAGACACCTAATTCACCTGCCTCCAACAAGGTCAGAGCTTGACTAACTAAAGCAAGAGACTCAAACGCTAATTCTTTTGATCTATTGTCTGCCATACTCGAAGAGTCATCAATTGCAAGCATAATCTGATACTCTCTTTTAGATGGCTTTGTGCGCCTCATCCATATTTTATCTTTACGGAATTGACTAGCTATGTATGGTATTACTTTTCTCATATTAATTCTTCGGCCAGTTCGGAAATCACCCTTCATTTGAGTGGCCTGAGTAGGCTCAAGGACCAATCGTAGCTGTTCACTTAGGTTGCGGGCAAGGGAATTTGTCAAGGAACTAAGGGCCTGCCATCCTTGAGTTGCTTCTTCACCAGCGTGTTCCAAGTTCCAGGAAGTAAGTTGGTTTTGGATGTCCTTGCGGACAGCCTCAGACTGTTCCTCAACATCAGCAAGAGTAACGACAGTTGGTAAGGACAAATCATCGAAACGAGTGTGGAATGTTGTTTCAGGAGCACGAGAAACACCAAGTGTGTCTACTCTCTCCCCGTCTATCTCAACATCTTGTCTTTCTGCATCAGCTTCATTTTGAAGTGGCAGCTTTCCCTTTTCTTTCTTTTGCTTTTCATTTTTGCTTCCCGACACAGCTTCTTCCTTCTGCTTTTCACTTTCCACATCATCCACTGGCATTTCTTCAACTTCCATAACATCATCATCATCAGGTGGTGATGCTCCTTCCTCCTCCTTGTTGGGGATTGGTTGCTCCTCAGCCTGTTCTTTGGTTGCAGCATCCAGAGTTTGTGTTGATGACTGCTCCTTCACGTCCTTGATATGCTGGTATAAATCAGCCATGGCTTCAGCTTCATTAGGCTCATCCTCTGGCTGTCCCTCATCTTTCTCCTCCTGTGTCTCTTTCACATCAACTGTCTTAAGTCGTTTTCTCATGGGCTCATTCACATCTCCCAATGATCGCTGGCTGTCACTATGTCCAGGAGGCTGTTGCTTTTCTTCTGATTCTGGCTGGTCCTTGAACTGGTCTTGCTGCGGACGTTTTCCTGATCGATCTGAATGATGGCCTCTGAGCTCCTGATTGGGTGCCTGCCCAACAGAATCCTTCTCCTCTCCACCAGGATCACCATCAGCTTCTTGTGGAGGCTGTTCACCAGAAACATCTTCAGTGTCTTTAGGTAGTGCAGCCACCTGGTCTTTAGATCCCTGTTGATTGTCTTCTGATGCCTCGGTTTGTGCAGCAGAAGGATCATCTTTGGAGGGGTTCCTTTCATCTGCATCGGGCTTCTCTTCCTCAGGTTTTTCATCTTCAGGTGCATCATTTTCGTCTTCAATATCTTCTTGTTTCTGACCACTTTTTCTCTCATCTGCCTGAGGTGGTTCTTCTAGCTCCTCTTCAGTTGGAGTTGGTTCTTCAAAGGGATTTTCCTCCACTTTGTCACCGTCTGCATCGTCATTTTCGTCATCGTCACTTGCATCGCCATCAGCTTTGTCCTCTTCAGTTTTCTTATCATCCTCATTTTCGCCCTCTTTATCTTCCTCTTGAGGTTCTGGAGGCATTGTCTCTTTCATTTGGTCAATATCAAACGGATCCTCTTCTCCCTTTTCTTCTTGATCTTTACCTTCTCCATCATCGAGCTGTAGGTCATCAGGCAAATCCATAGCCTCGGGTTCAGCTTCTGGCTGCTGTTTACCTGAGGTTGGATGGATTTAACAAATATATTAACTTTTGACAAACAAAATAAAAGCCACAGAAAACAAAATAAAAACATTAATTATTTAAAATTACATACCATGGTAAGGGTCAACCTGATCGTCATCAACCTCTGGCTCATCCATTTCATTGATCTCCGGTTTATTTTCCTGCTTTCTTTCATCACTTTTGTCATCAGATTCCTTGTCATTAGGATCTCCTTCACGCTCTCGAGCGCCAACTTCCTTTTCTCCACTCTCTTCTCGAGACTGGCCTTCTTCTTCCTTTTTGTTGTCTTCTTCATCACCTTCTTCCTCAGAATCACTTCCCCAAATCTAAGCAGAAGATTAAGATAAAATATTTAACATACTCAACAGTATTTCATGGATGAGTGACTGAATGTGTCACTAAAAGGTGACAAACCTGTTGATCTAATTGCTCTGCTTCCTTTTCTGTGTCGCCCATTTCTTTCTCAGCGTCGTCATTATCATCATCCTCCTTATCTGAATCATCTTCGTCATCACCTTTGGGATCTACATCCTGAAGCTTTCCATCAAAGTTGTCAGACATTTCAATACCTTTTTCCTCTTCCTACATGAGAAACATTTTGAAAAAGTTAGTTTGGCACTTGAGTACTTACAAATTAGTCCCAAGGAGTGAGTCACTTACCTTGCAATCTTTGTCCTCATCCTTCTTCTCCTCACCAGCTGGGCGAGCATCATCCAATTGATCCTCAGTTTCAATACGTTCTGACATGTCTTTCTCTCCTTCACCATCTCCAAGCCCCATGGCTCCTTCCCCTTTGCTCTCAGACTCCTCACCTTCACCCGCTTCTTCTTCAGACAACAAGCCTTCTGGTGTGCAGAACCCCTGTAGTTTAGAAAGTAACAGCAAGTTCTATAAAAAATCTATTTATGATTTAGGAATGATGAGAAAATAAAGTGATACTAACCTTCACAGCTAAATCACCAAAGACAGCTAATACAGTTGAAGCAAGTTTACAAGTAGCTCGATATGCAGCTACTTGTTGCTGCACAACAAATTGGAATAGGAGTAGCCATTGTTGAAGCAAAGGAAGTGAATGCAAGGCAATCCTGAAATAATAATAATAAAATAACAACAAAATTGCATAGTAGTTCTAGCATTTGATACTAGAAAATTAACCACAAGAATGATTTTTTTAAAAAAGGAAACACAAAAAAAAAACTGTTCACCACACCTGATACTTCTCTCTGCTTGAGAGGAGAGGCAATTTCCATTGATTGTAGACATTAAGTTGTTCAGAAGGCTTTCAAGACATTGGCTAATTTCCACAGCATTCAAATTAGACAAATCGGAAGCAAGTGACTTGAGAATACCATCAGTTAAATGTTTATCTTGGATGAGATCATCATCAGTTTCCTCAACCTGAAAAAGAAAAACATAGTTAAAAAATAAGAATTCCTCAAATGGTATATAAAGAAACAAAACAGACAAGTCATTGGTTCTCAAGAATACCTTCTGGTCTCCTTCAATTGTATCCATCTCAAGTGTTGACTGATCTGGTTCTGGCTCATCCAGAGTTGTGTGGTCTTTGTATAGCTTTTGAATTGCCAGCAATATGTTTTGCACCAAATCAATGACTTGGATCGAGGGTTGAGTACATGAAGCCCCATCTTCAGCTGTAGTTTCTGCGCTCACTAGGTTATCTTTGCAGATATCAGAGAATGAGTGGTATTCAGAAACCATATGGTCCCTCAGCCACTTCAGACTTCGAATGCATGGATTCAGGCAGGAGTCATCACCAAAGATGGTCAAGATTTCAGAGATTCTACTTGTGACAACTGAAATGTCACTGAAACACTGGGCCATCTTCTTGTAATAGCTTATGGTAATAACGTTCGGACAGACAGAGGAAAAACTGTTATCTGTGAAAATATTTTTCTTGCACTTATTGAATGTTGAAAGAGCTTCATCAATGATGAGGATTGCTTTCTGCCATGTACCATCTCCTTTGATAAGGCCTGATAAACCAGATAATTGTGTTCCTTCATATGCAACCACAGGTATGCTATAAAAAAATGATGAAACAAGATTATTAAGGTTTTGCTTCCGCAAACAATTTTGACACAGAACTCAGCACAGATGTAACATACTTGTCTTCAATGTTCTCTCCACTCTCGGGGCAACAGTTAAGTAGTATCCGGGACTGTTGCAAAGTGGCCAATGCAGACACAAGCAAAGATTCAAGCCTTTTTTTCCACTCACAAAGAGTTGATTGAGATGGCATCTGATTAGTAAGAATTTCTTGAAGTGACTTCAGCTGGAATAACTGTATACGCACTTTTGCCATTAGGGTTGTATTCCTCTCAACACATCTTTGTTGGCTGTGTGCAAGGGTCTGAAAATTAAGTTTAAAAAAAAAATAAAAACAACATAATTCTCAAAAAATTATAAATTTTGATGCTTAACATAAAGTTGAAGAAAAAGGCAATAATTTGAAAATTACCAGAAGATGTGTAGGGAACCCTTTAAGTCTGTCTATGTTAGGTGGACCATGGTCCTTGTGGGGACTGCGGAGAGCTATACTCAATTGAGCATAGCGGACCCATGATCGCATCAAGTATGCGTCACATCCATCCCATGAACTGAGAATCTCTTTATCGGCAGCACTGCAAGGAGAATTAATGAAAATGTGAGCATATTTTTTAAAATTATTACAATAGTTTAAAAAAAAATTAATTCATTAACTTCTTGTTTCAAATTTATCCATTTAGAGTACATATTATACCTTGTAGGTTCACTAGCATTGCTCAGGGCCTCAAAGTAAGCATTTAAATCTAACGGAGGCAGCTGAGTGAACTCATGTTTTACATCTTTCTCCTCGTAAGTTAAGCCTGTGTGGTGTGATAAACCAACACGTTGCAACATGCGGAACAGGTCAGCTAATGCCTTGCGCTTCATCTGAAGTTGGTTCTTTGCTTGGGATTTCTGCTTGGCTTTAGGTGCAGTTTGATCCACCTGACAAAAATTTGACATTAAAATAAATCTTACAATTATATTATGCACTTAAAACTTACAAAATGCACGGTAATTACATCAAGAGACGCAAGTTGTTGCACAGATTCAGCAATGTCATTTGAAAGCTCATTCAAAGCGGCAACTAGGCCAGGACATGTAGAAGACAAGATAATTTCTTTTGACAATTTCTTTGAGCGGCTGAATAGTGATCCAGCACGATACAGCACTGATGTGGGATCCAGATCCAGCTCAGATAGATCTTTAAATATCTGGCAGAGAAGAAAGGACCATAAGCAAACAAAAATAATTTAACGATAAGTCAATAGCTGCAATGTCAACAGAAAATCTCTTACCTCAGGATCAGCATTTGCAATGTACAATTTAGGATTGAGCTGTGTGGGCATTTTACGTTGTGATTTGCCTTCAAGGCGAGAAGAAAGCATAGTCATTTTGGCAGCCAGCCGAAGGGCCTTCTCAAACTCCTTCACATGCTTGTGTAAGGTTCGTTGAGTCTTGGCAACTGTTGCTTTCACAGACCAGTAATTAATGTCATTCCAACGAGCTATTTTAACATAGTCCTTCAGTTTTTTTTCAATTGGTTTTTTCAGGTCAATGATTCTGTTAGCTATCAAATCTTTAAATTGATGGTAGAAGTTGTACAAATTCCACAAAACTGAAAGCAGTTCGTTCCTTTGACGAGAAGCAGGAAGGTTTATGACATGGCAATGGAAGGCCAAAATCATGTCTAGTCTTACATGGAATTCACCCAGAGGGGCATCCTCCATAAACTTCTCAAGTGAGGATACTATTTCCTTCTCACTCATGGATTCCTTTTCAGATGGATGTATATAAGAATCAATCAGTGAGAAAATATAAAACCACCAGCGAGAAGCTCTCTTCTCCATTCGGATAGCTGCAGCATGAAGGCATCCTTTCCACCCTGACAACTCAAGCCGCCTCCATTGAATAACAAGATTTGTGACAACACCTGATTGGTGTAATAGACTAACACCTGAGTGAGCATTGTCTTCCCATTCTTTCATCTTGGTCAAGAGTATTTCAAGTCCTGTGAGAAATCTTGCCAGAGGACTTTCAATAGGAAAAGAATTGATACGATTAATCACAACAGCAATTTGATTTAGAGTTGGATGTTCCGGCCATTCACTCAACAATTCACTGATTCTTTTGAAAACTCCATCAAGAACTGGTTTACACTGTCTTGCTTCACTCATACAAGGGCTTCGATAAAAATCAAATGTAGGATCCTCTGGGTTAGTACCAGCATCATCAGAAACTGACAAGTTTGGAGATGCTTGAAATGAGGCTAAGATCCAGCTTGGCAGAAGATGATTGTCCACAGTCTCATCAAACATGTACCCACAAGATGAAATGAGACGGGCTGCAACAGCAGATCGCTGTAGCCATGGAGTCAAGTAATCAGTGCTGATGGAAGAAGAGTTACTTGGAGAGCAGCTTATCCAGGAAGATTTGGTGAATGCCAAGGCCAGAGAAACATGAATCGAGCTCACAAGAGCCATATCTTCTTCATCTAACATTCCATTCAATGCCATTCCATTCAGGTTGTCAGATACTTTAAGAGGTTCGTCATCCAAACTATTTTGGGGCTCTAAGTCTCCAAAATCTTTCTCCCTATTGGATGGGAACATTTCAGCTATCTCCTTCAGCGCTTCTTCATCATCGGTAACATCCTCACACCTCAAAGCTCCACGGGACTTGTAAAGGCTCTCATTATCCTGCTCCATTTCACGCCGCTCAGCTTCCTGCTTCTCCCAGATGTGCATGAAGGATCTCAGCACTTGAACCAGAGCATCCCATTCTTCATTCTTCACAGATTGAGATACACATATAGCATTTTTTAACTCCAGAACCGAACTTTTCAACAACCTGGAAAATAAAAACAGCATGACATGTGAACCAAATGGAGGTAAGAATTAATTGTGTTACATTATGTTTTGATAACTCACCAATACGCTTCCAGTTGTGATTGCACAGCAACAGGTAGATCCTCATTATCACCAACAAGAGCAAGCAACATCTTCTCAATAATAGATGGCATATGTCTATTTGCCAGATGAGAAATAAGATTCAGCAAAGAGGGTTGTTCAGAATGCAGGGTGGGGAAAATGCCAATTGAGCACACAAGTTTGCCAAGGTTAACATGATCAGGACCATTCAAACCCTTGAGGAAGATTTTCCTTGAAACACCAATCATCAGTTCTACTCCACGGATGAGCTGAAAATTTATCATTCTAGTTTCAAGAGACTATTGTAAAATATTGGACAGAATAGCAATCAAGATAAGATACCCACCTTTGCACTTGCAGCCAGAAGAGGTCCCACTATGTCTGGGTACCATAAACCAAACCTTCTTTCCAGCATGGTTGAAAAGCTGCGCTGAGATCGCAACCAAGTCTGAGCCTCATTCAAAACTGTTTGATAATCTTGAGTGGATGTACTAGTATGAATGGACAATAAACGTTTTGTTACTTTAGTAACAACAGCTTCTGAGCTAAGGCTTCTTGCAAGGTGCTCTAGTTCCTAAACAAAGTAAAATAGGGATATAAGCACTATAACAGGGTGTGTTATTTTACCTACAGTTCACTTTGTTCCAAAACCTTACCTTGGTCAGTGCAGTGTACAAAGGGGGATCAGGTCTTGTGGCCACTTGCCGATTCAGCACACTTAATTCATGTTCCAAAGAAACAGTGTGACTGCTAAGAACTTTAAGATGTGGATGAGTAGGCAAGGCATCAGATTTGTTACCCTTGACAGATCCAACAATTTTAGCTGAAAGTAGTTCACTCCTTGTCAAGAGAAGCTGAAAGAGTAAAAGACAAATAATTATTAGATGGTACACACTACCAAATTACTTCCACAAAATGAATAATGAATTGGTGCAAAAACAACTTACGTCATCTTTTGTGTACTTGCGCTTGATCGCTTCTTTTGAGGTGGGGTCAATCTTGGGGAAAGCGGAGAAGAGCTGAGACTCCAGACATCCCAATAGAGCCCAAGCCAAGCCAACCTGCAAAGATAAAATTCATTTTGAATTCAGAAAATAGCTATGATGATTGAAAACAATCACATTGTCCGTAAGTTGAGCAACAAACCTGAGCCAATGTTTCACTTTCCACCACTTCACTGCTTCTGTATTGATGTTCTATAGCATTAAGTACCATAATGAACTCTAGAAGCAAAGAGTAGAAACTTGACAGTACAAATGCCTTGTCTCCAAGTCTTTCTTGGAGTTGTTCAATTATTAAAGTAGCTCTTTCCTGCAAGTTGGATTGATGCATTGGAACTGAGGAACAGCTCTTTTCTAAACTGTTTATAAAATGTTGTGAAGCAGCTAAAATGCTGTTTACTTCAGTATACCTGTAGTTGGAAAAAATAATTTATTAATTGATCTAATATCTTAATTTTGAACCATCTCACCTCTGCAGCAGACTCATACAAACCTAAACGAGAATCGAGAGGTGAAGAGGGTTTGTGAGTTTCGCCAAAGTAAACAGCGCAATCTTGCAAGCAATTTCACATGTTGAGCATGGCGATCGAGTGTCAGCTGAGACAATTGCTGTTTGCTTGATGGGTTGTGACAAAATAGGAGATTGGCTGCTAAGTGAGAGAACACTGGACAGTGTTGGGGTAGAAATTCCTGCAAATGTAAATAATACTTATTATCAGGTCCTAAAATGTGGTACAATAAGATTTGCTAGAAAAATCATGAAATACTCTACCATGTTCATTTCCTTATCACATACTGAGTTCAAATCCAATATGGAATTTGAAATTGCCAAAGAACGGTTGCAGAATTGGAACAACCAGGAAATTCCTTTGCATAACTCTTGGCTTTTGCCTTCTGTTTGAAAGGCTTCAAAATAGCCAATAAGAGCTGCAGGTATGGATGGTGTTATTTTCATTGCTTGTAATAAGACTGAAGCTTCCTCCATGAAACTCAACATCGTCTGCTCTTGGAACAGTTTCAGTAATAAAGGACCAGTCGCGTGCAGGCAAACTGCTTCCATGAAGGGCCACAGCAAGATTTGGAGGCTTATTGGGTTGGGTGGATGTTCAGATTGCTCACTAATTAAAGGGTTTGCCAAGAGACCAGCTTCAGAACAACATTTTTCAGCTTGATCCAGTCTTTCCTCCACTGTAATCAATTAAGTACAATAGAAAAAAAAGCAGCATATGACGAAGGAAAAAATAAGTTACAGTAACACTTTAGTCCTACCTTTGCTTAAATCAGATGCTAAAATAAGGTCCTTCACAGCCACTGTTAATGTTGCCTTTGCTGTTTGCCCCGCAGGGGTGGTGAGAAAGTTAGCCACTTGAGCAAAGTTGTTCTTGTCATTATCACGTTTCCACATATTAATAACACTTCCGACCCTGGAATGGATATAATTTTAGGAAATGCCTTAACAATTATATAAATAAATGAAAATTGATTATAAGGATTTCTTACTGCTGGGCCTTTGATGTCAATGTAGCCTGAAGGTCAGAGGCTATTGGCAATGGCTGTCCAATTTCTTGTCTCAATTTTTTTGCTACTTGCCACATAACACTAATGTTGGAAAAGACAGAGGCATTCATCCTCAGCATTATTTCAGTGAGGAGAGAGGCATCCCTGAAAGTCCAAACACATTTTGCCTTCATAAATAATAATCAGAACAATAATAAGTGAAAATCTGAAAGTACATTCTCAAGTTACTTACAATGCAGCTTCACCAGCCAGGTGAATTAATACAGGAATCGCATATTTAGAAAACCAACGATAATGGACTGCCAACAAATTTGAAATTTCCTCACATGCAGCCTTGTCTGAATTAATAAACACAGATGCCGCCTGGCTCTGGAAGCGCTGTATCCAAAGGAATGCTTTACGAACAGACCACCAGAGCTCATCGCTAATAGAAACCCCAATGGTATTGAGTGCATCACACAAAATACCAAAGGCTGCATCCAAAAATGGACCAATGTCAGTTATAATAGGGTCTGAGGATAGTGTATCAGCCAAAACACCTAACACGGGCAAGAAAAAGAAATTAAGAGGCATACTTTATCAGATATAAGCCACACTAGAAAATAAAAAAAATTAAATTAAATCTTACCTTTGGAAACAGCATGGGAATATTCTAACACAGATATACGTTTATGCTTCTTTATGCTTTTGAAGTCAAAAGAATATTTAGTCCTGAAGCTGTGTGCTGTTATGTACAAAAGCAATGCCACTCGGTTTTCCACACCCTGGTCATCGTCTCCACTCAGCACTGTGAGGGCAGATGAAACATCTGGGAGCCACCTACGGTCCCACATCAAATGGCACTGGGCCAAGTCATCAACATTCACAATCACATTGTGTAAGGCTTTTGACAGCTGAATGATGGTTTCCTCATGACAGGAACCTTCAACAACTTTTTCCAGCCATTTACTTGCAAGGCCGACATCAGCTACTGAACATGTTTGGTAGAACAAGATAGTGAGATTGGCAATGACTGTTTCGAGGTCCACCTTCATCTTCGAAATGCCCAAAAATTCAAGAAGTTCCCATAGATCATGCTCTTGTGCATTGGTGAGTGCAGATAGAACACTAAATCTCTGCTTAACTATAGCAAATGCTGAATCCTGCTGCACTTCTCCAGTTTTCAAAGTACTGTGAGAAATCAATCTATCAAGAGCAAGGGAAGCACTGCCATGAACCCCTACTTTCACTGCTTCTTCAAGAATAGAGAGGTTGCGACGTTTAGTGTCTATGTTGTCATGTAGACGAGATTGTATGTAGACTTTAGTAAATGATGAAACCAAGGAAGGAATGGGGGGCATTCCTCTATGCACTTGCTGAACAAATAAATATGAAGCATGAAGAAGTTCTGTGAGTCCAGGTGGATCTGGGCCTAAGAGAGTTAGGGTAAAATCAGTCAGTTAATTTCTATGAGAAATCGGTACAAAAACTAACACATTTGGTAAAAGTTTACAAGAAATAATACCTTGAACAACATTCGACATCGCCTCATGTACACTGAGAAGCATCTGTTGATCATGTTGACTGTAGATACCTACATCATACATTAAAGAGGCAAGATCTAATGGACTCAAGGAAGTTGCCATATCTTCCTCAGATGTGGTAATGAATATTTCTACTCCTCTATTCCGCATAGCCCTGAAAAATTAATTTCAGGTCAAGTAAAATTGCTGAGTGTAAAACTTACTAGAACTTTGACAAAACATGTACGTGAGAAAGTTGCTTACCTTGAAATTTCTCCATTTCTTGGGTCCATAGTCAGAAATAGACGAAACTCTGGGTGAGGTTGAATGGTGACTAATTCACCATTAGAATTAACTCCTCTTTCACTGACAGTGAGAACACCCTGTGGTTCGAGAAGACCATTAAGCCTGTCGAGTACTGCAGCACTGCAGAGATTAACATTGTCAACCAGCAGCCAGCATCCATCAATCAAACTTTTGATCAGAATACTATCAATCCATTCAAATTTGCCTCCTGCATTGAGACTATTATCGCGTGTGGCAGAATCCTTGAGGCGAGACAACAACATTCTAAGATTTTGGACCTCTTCTTGAGCTTCTACTGAGATGGAATCTTCTGGAATCGACATCAACACATTCAAAAGGATGTCAATTTTCTTTGTGAATGATATTACTTCTGATGCCATTGGTTTGTAACCACCTAATGTGCGGTTTTCTGTGTGGAAACTTTCCCAGAGACACAAAAGACGATTTGATTCTTTCTCTTTTCCTTGCAGAGTGGAATGTTGGATACTTTGGAGCACAATTTTGTGAGCTTTCACTGCTAACTCATCGAAGTGGCGTTTGTAATCTGCCTGCTCAAATCCACCAAGAATTTCAGTAGTATCCATTGCAGAGTTCACAGAAAGGGTTCGCAGTTCATGACCTGTCAACTGGGATAGGAGCTGAATCAAACTAGTTTTGCCACAACCTGCAGGGCCAACTAAAATTGAGAGCCATCCCATAGACACACATCGGGCTATAGATTGTAACATAGGCAGTTGATGCCTCAGAACAAGTTTTGATTTAGAGGTGTTTCCAAAGGCTCCCCTTTGCAAGGTAACATCTCCTAAGTACACTACATCTGGAGTAATGTAGATTTGAGGCACATCACAGGGAAGAGGGTAATCACTGCCAAATGACTGGGTATAGAGCAACATCATTTCTTCTTTATCTCTTGCTGTGCGCATGCGGTCAATATATAAAAGTTGAACAAATCTTCCTGGATTAAGAGCTCCATTTGAAGCTCCCCACACAGTAACTTCACACCACCTAGTCAGGTCTCGTAAATTCATTTCCCAAGGAGCGCCTCTTTGGCCCCAAGTGCCTCCTGGCGCAGTTTGCATTGATGCAAGTTGATTGAAATTCACCATGGACTTTATTAAATTGGGAGGCAAGTTTGGGAAGAGATTTTGGCAAATATACTCCAAATCGTCTGAGGTGAGCGTCTCCATATGAACTTGAGTGAATCGGTTGAGGAATGACTGCGGGAGACCTTTCCTAGCACCACCTTGGTTGAGTGGGTTCTGACAGGCAAATAAGCGAGTTTTGTCAGACTGAATGTGGAATGTGCGTCCGAGCTCCGGTATGAACAGGTCACCTCTATGATCAAGGACAGCATTTAGCCCTTCTAATACTGACTGAGAGGCAAGGTTCAACTCATCCAACAAAATCCAGTGCCCACTTCGAAGGGCCCGCAGAAAAGGACCGTCACGCCATGCAAACTCTCCACCAGACCCACCTTCAACTGGCAAATCAGCTCCAAAGAGGTCTGACACATCAGTTTGGTCTGATAGATTGATTCTTGTTAATTTATATCCTGCGGCTTGAGCTAAAGCAGAGACCAAGCTAGTCTTTCCAACGCCTGGACTTCCCTCCAAGAGAAGTGCTTTGCTTAACTGCAAACCACGAAGAACACGCATGGCATTGATACGAGTTGTTGGTGCACAAAGCAGGAAATCTGCATTGTCCACTATGTCTGGACAGCCTCGAGGTATGTAAAAAGGCTTCATTCCAAATTTCTCCATTGTTGATGTAACTTCAAAATCCTGTGAATTTACAGATAAAAATGATTCTAGGCTTGGCATTTCAGCTCCCATTGACTCCTTCACTTGCTGCATTAACAATTTCAGAGCAGAAACTCGCACACTCTGAACAACTTCTCTGGTCGAGAAACTTGTCAGTCCTGTCCCTAGGCTATCCAGGAAAGTTAGGCAGGCTCCATGAATATATGCTTCACCTAAACTCAAATTGACATTCTCTTTGGTGCAAACATTTATAAAATCAATCCATGTCATAATGTCTCTTATACTTTTGACACACCTGAAAGCACACAGAAAAGAATGAGAAAACAAATTTCAAACATATGATTCAAAGTAAAATTGTAAGTCATACCTATTTCCTAAATCAGTTTGTGAAAACCAATCCAAAAAGTCAACAAGAGCAGCTCCTACACTGGAGGATTCATTTCTCTCATTTCTGAAAACTAGTTCTGGTCTTAAGTTGTGTTCTATCACAGCAATCAAATCTGATCTTTGTGAGCATCCTTCACACCAAATTTCAGTGAACCGATTCCTCAAAGCTGGCGAAAGTTCTTTCTTGCCGTAGTCACCACCAGGGTTCATGGTTCCCACAAAGATGAAACCATCCTTAGCAGTGATTTCACAAGGTTCACCACCAATACCACTGCCTTTCTCAGCTAGCAGCAGCTTTCTTTCAGGCTCTAAAATAAAATGATGATAATGATGATTATTGAATATTATGATAAGTATTATCATTACGGTATATTTTGATTAGGCAATGCATGACTTACCAAGTAGGGAATTAAGTCTTTCCAAGACACTGTCATCTGCCAATGATATTTCATCTGCTAGAAATACTCCACCATTCTGCATAGCTTCGATCAAAGGGCCATCAACCCATTCAAATAACTTTCCCTTAGTCTCCTACAATGAAAAGTTTTCCATGTGCACATAATTTTTTAAAGAACATTTGAAAGGTAAAGTAATTTTAGAATAACTACAAACCTCAGTATGTTCACGAACTGGGCGCAGGCCTCCCAAAAAGTCCGCACTCTCTGAGTGCATGTGACAGTTAACAGCTGCTAAAACTTGACTTCTACTAGCTGCTAAAAGTTGGCAGAGTGTTGTTTTACCACACCCAGTTTCTCCAACGAGTAATATGGGCTCTTTGAATTCACAGGCTTTACCTAAGGAAAATAAAAACAGGACAAGCATTTGAAAAAAGAGTGAAGAATATTGTCTGCACACATTATAAAGTCGCAAGATGCAACAAAACTACTCAATCTATCCACAATTACCAAGAAGAACAGCAAGACGCCGCATATTGAAAGTCCATACTATATGACTGAAACCAGGAGGGGTCTGGTGAATAATAGATTCTAAAATTGACCGTGTAACTGGTGAAGTGTCAGCATTCACTGAAATGTAAAGAATAAGAGAATATGTACTGAAAAGGCTATACAAAACAACAGCAATGGTATAGGTTCAAAGTATGAGGAGCGTACAAGTAAAAAGTTTCTCAGGGCTCACTGAACGTTTGATGTACTTCTTAAGAGATTCCTGGATAATGATCCTCTCTTCTTCTTTTCTGACTCTCCCTGCCAAAATGAGATATCCTGGAAAAGTAGAAAAAAAAATCTTTGAAAATAATGTTTACAAAAATTGTTATTAATAAAGGATTGGAAAAAAAGTACCTTCATCTGCAATATGCTGATCCCAATCATAAAATTTCCCTGCTACTGTCTGTTGTTGAGCAAGGCGATACCTTTCTCCCCATCGGAACAAATCTCTCAGGGTAATAAAACCTTGCTTGCCAGCAAATGCTGCACTTCCTTTTCTACGCACCTAAAATTGTGAAAAATAATCAAAGTGAATCATTATAAAAAACAGGGTGGCTATTGTCAGAGAACAGCTGTTAAAGGAACCTACTTGCAAATCAGACATAACAGCTACCATCTTCTTGCAATAGGAAGGTGGCATATCACAGCGTAAATGCATAATGGTTTCCAATTCAACAGAGGGTATTTCATCAAAATGGAGTTCAATGAAACGGTTCCGGAAAGCTCGTGATAAAACCTGGAGTAAATGGAGAGGAAGGGAAAATTTTTACTTGAGTGACATCTATGAAGATAAGTCTAATGTATCATATAGTGGTTATTTGTACCTTTCTGCCACCATACAGGCCAGGAGGGTTCTGTGTAGCAAAGAGCATAAAATTTGGGTGTGCCTTCACAACTTTCTGTGTTTCAGGAATAAAGAGTTCACGATTGTCGTCCAAAACTCTGTTGAGAGCTTCCAAAACATCACTTGGAGCCAAATTAAGTTCATCAAGAATAACCCAATGTCCAAATCGCATAGCTTCCACGAGTACCCCTGAAGAATAAACACAGGTTCATTAGATGTCTATTCGGAACCAACCAGATCTTTAAATCGAATTGATTGAATTTTGGTAAAGGATTACCTTCTTTGAATACTAAATTTCCATGCTCATCAGCAGCATAGCAGCCAATGTATTCTTGAAGATCAGTATGCTCATGGTTGTTGATACGGAGGCACCGATTGCCTGACACTTGAGCCAGATATGTGATGAGACTGGTTTTGCCCACAGATGTTTCACCCTGCAGAAGTACAGGTAGCCTCGCCAGAGACACCACTCTGACCAAATCTCGCAGATTTTGACGAACAGTTTGTGTCATAATGTACTGTAGAGAAAGGAGAATGCAGTGTTGACAGGTTCATGGTTTCACATGGAGTTAAATGAAACAATAGGCTCTTAAAACATTACCCTTACCTTGTCAGGTGTAATGGGATCAAGAGGTCCCTGGGTAACCCAATAGCCTTCTATCTGAACAAAATTTTTCCCTGTTGCAACAGGAGCAGGGATTGGTTGTTTCATCAGAGACTTTAAATCAGTTGAGTTTCCTGTAATTGCTCTGGAAATAAAACAAAACAAAGGAAAGCAAAAGAAGATTAGTGAAGTGGTATTTTCAGTATATAAAATTCAAAATTACAAGAAGGGAACAGATTGAAGCCATACTTGGACACCAGGTCTTCAACAATAGGATGGGATGAGCGGTCTAGCTGAGTCAAAAAACTCAGTAAAATCCCTTCATACATGGAGCGTGGGACTGACCCACAAGGATTAACTGCTGCTACTGAAAGGGCACGACACAGTGTTCTAAGGCTGTAATGAGGTTTGTGCCCAGTACCATCAGAGAGATGTAACACAGCCTCTTTGCAAATTGTTAGATAAAATTTTACTAGTGCATCCAGCTTAGGTGCAGGTAAAGAGAGGGGTTCCAAATATGAACCACACAATAAGAGAAGATCTTGTCGGTCCACAAGTTCATCTACAAAGAATTCTGAAAACCTGGAATTGCATTACAAATTAATATATCATTATTTCACATCATGCCACATTTGAGATAAAAGGAAAATAAGGTTTTACCTATTTCTGATTCCAGCAGGCAGTTCTTTTTTGCCAACATCTGTTGCAGGATTCATAGCAGCAAATATTCTAAAGTTTGGATGTCTTTTTAATGAATGTTCATCTCCACGTTCCAGAAGATACAGAGATCCAGAGGATCCCTCTAGAAGACTTGACAAGCATTCAAGAGTTTGAGCACTTGCCAGATTAATTTCATCCAAAAGAACCCATTGGCCTAGAACAGCATGAATTTTGAGTAAGGCAGGAAGACAGCAGTAGTGAGAGTATTGAATAAATTAATTAGATTAATTAGAGATTAATAAATTATTAAACCCTAACCCACCTTCTTGCAAAGCTCTTACGAGGCTTCCTTCAACAAATGCAAAGGCAAGAGCATTTTGGGACTTCTTAAGTTGTTCTTCCACTTTGGACAGTTTACGGGATAGTTGCTGCCAAGCATCTTTGAAGGCGGGGGTATACAGTTCATCAGATTTTGTATCTCTATTGGTAACTTTCTTTTTTGATTTGTTGGTATCAAACCGCTTTAGTGCAGCAGTGGTAGTGTGCTTCATTAAGCCTACCAGAGTGGTCCATTTTTTGCGAGAAAAGCAGTTTGCTATGTGACCAAGATATTTTGCATTTTCATTAACAGAGAAGAACTTTCGAAACAAAGTTTCAAACTCATTTCTTAGAGGCGAAATGACAAATTTGAGTTCCACTGGTTTGTATCCGCCCAAGAGATCAGCGCTATCTGATTGTTGATTCATGTTAATGACAGACAGAGTCTGGCCCATTTGTTGGGCTAGGTACTGAATGCTTGAAGTTTTACCAACTCCTGTCTCACCGACCAACAGAACTGGTTCACTATGATAGATACAGGACGCAATCCGTTCTAGAAGAGCAGCAGCTGGACGAGTAAATGAGTAAGTAGATTTAACTCGGCTGGTCAATACTACAGCTTCAGCGATCTTCCTAGGCAAACTAACTCTACCAGCAGTTACATGTGACAAGGAACAAGATATGACAGGTTTATGAATATTGCAGAAATATTCTGCCTTAGTATGAATGATACCCAGTTTGCCAGCCACACTTGAAGCAAGGCTAAGTCTTGTCTCTAAAAACAGGAAAAAGAAGAAACATTAGGGTAGGTCAGACATAGTGTTTTACTGCCAGAAAAATTAGGGTAGGTGAGACACAGTGTTTAAAATTATAATATAGTACAAACCTGGGTTACTGACATTACAGCAAAATATGTCCACAGCATCTTGAAATAATTTAAGCGCAGATTCAGGTGACTTGACATCAAAAGCCTCTTTTGATCTGTTGCACCATTTGATGAAGTCTCTTGTAGAAGGAAGTCTAGTGCCAGCTGCCTGAATCTGAACAGTCTTGGTTTGCAAGTCTGATGTATCTTCATTTCTAGACAATGAAGAGTGGTGGTTTCCGGCCGAGAAGAGCAAAAATACATTCACCATGCGTGAAGCCACAGTGCTTAAAGTGGGGTACAAAGTCTGCACTATTTCAACGAGCTCAGATTCAGACAGAGGCTCCATTTGCACAGTTAACCAGTGCCTTTGAAGCATACTAGTCACTCCAGAGTGGAGTTTGTGAAGACCACTTGCACCTGACACCAACCTAGACAAAATATTCAGATGAATAACTCTTTCTTGTAACAGGAGTTTTAGTTTCACGACAAGGACTCTAAGTAAGCCAAACAGGAAGAGAAATGGAACCTTTCTGTCTCACCTTTGGGTGAAAAATAGTTGAAAGCCAGGAGCAGCATGCACACAATCCTTGAAACCAGGTACACTTAGAGTACCAGTTTCCAGCAAAGATGCAAGAACAGCTGCCACATCAGTGGTGCAGCTATCAATATCTTCAAGAAGCAACCAGTAACCCCCAACAACAGCCTGATAAAAAATTAAAAAAAATAAAAAGTTGGAAACTTTAATTCCTTTTTTTTTTTAATCTAACTTTTAGATAAACAGACCTGCGTCAAGACACCAGGCTTCCAAACAAATTCACCAGGAATGTCAGTACATTGGTATGTACCGAGCAACATCTTGCTGTCTGTTTGGTCACCCAGCTGAACCGAAAGGTATACAGGGGGACTATCATGGCCTGTCAGTTTCGCAAGGTGCTCCACAAGAGCAGTTTTACCACAACCTACTGGGCCCTGAAGACACAAGGTTTTCCCTGTAGCAATGCCAAGGGCAATGGCATGCATATTTGCTAAGGTAGAATTGACCATCACCAAACTTGATTCCAAATTTAGTGGAATCTGAAAAATTACAGATGGGAATTATTGTTTTGCACATTCAATAAAACAATTAAAAAGAGAAGGCTTTGAAATCTGGGCTGCAATAATTAACCTTCGAAAGTGATGGAAGAGTAATGCCAGCAACTGACACAACAGATTCACGATTGTGGTGAGGAAGACCAGAATCAATTGTAGGCACAGAAGTGTCAAAACCTGTTTTGAAAAAAAGGCAAATTTAAGTGAAGATGACTTTAAAAACTTAACAAAATAAATAAAATACTCACATAGGTGTTTGTACTTGTCAAAAATTTTCTTCTCATCTTCTGTACACTTGATTGAAAAATTTACTATTTCTTCATTTGTCAATTTGGTACTGAGAAGCGTTTCCTTCTCTTTACATCCCATTTCAAACAGCAGAGCACAACATTGACAAGAAATCCTAAAGTTCGTGAACATACAATGTAATTATAACTTTTTTAGACACTTCAATGCAATAAGAGTACTTGTTGTGCTACCCACCAACGGATGTATGGTTCAGCATGACTTAAAAATTCTTTTAAAAACAATGACCAATCCCACATGTCTTTAAAGTAGTCTGTTTTAATTTTAAGGAAAGTGTAAGAACATAAAGCAATGTCTTCGTCACTTATTGGTTCCAGGACAGCTGAAGATTGAACTTTCCTTCTTTTGACTTTGGGTCCATCTTCTGCTTCCATCATTTTCCAGTAATGAAATGGTGATGGGTTGGAATTAAAATATTTCAATGCAAATCTGAAAGGCAAAACCAATTTTAAAAATAAATTGATTTAATAATTTAACGCAAATTTAGGCAGTCTCCAAACACTCACGTCATCACGTCCGGATGAATGGGAGCAAGTTTGCCGAGAGCAGCACAGCGTTTCTCATGCAATAATTTGGGGCTGATGTTTTGAGAAAAAGACTTGTTCTGATCATTGTCGCTCAGTGCAACAGCAAGAATTTGGGGGAGCGAATCGGACATATGATCAGCAATGAGTAATGTATGCCTCTGGTTCAAGAGCAACCCAGCCAGAACATTGAGCAAGCTCTGCACATCACGGTCACGGAGCACCTGAAAAAGCAATTATGAAAAAATCAGGGAACTTAAAGAAATCAACTGTGACAGTGAGATAACCTAACAGGTGGACATAGCGCACGTTTAATGGCAATTAACAGTGACTCTCCTGGTTCTTATTATCTTCGTGGATTTGAAGGCACAAAATGAAGGATTTTATTTAGTATAAATAACATGACATCTTTTAAAATACTTACATCGAGGCGAATAAACTTGGAGCATGCATCTCTGCATACTTTGTCATTTGCGCATAAGTCCCGTAAGGTAGATATGACACCAACACAGCCGTTTTCGGCCATGATGATCAAGATATGTTAGCTACTATATGTCAAAATATTAGGTAAAATAACATTCATTGCATATCGCCGCTCCGACCACATGGACTTCACAACCTAAACACGTGCTGACATGTATACATGGATACTAAACAAAGAAGGAAGAAAGAAAAGAAAGAGTGGGAGAGAGAGAGGAAAGGAGACGGCAAGCTTTCGGCAGCTCCGGGTAGAGGGCAGCACCGGGGCATTCGGTCAATGCGGTCTAGCTTCCTCTTCGTCTATTTTTTATTTCGTCTATATTTTCAGAGAAAATGCGTAAACCCCCAAATCTCAGACCGATTTAAGTCATTTTTACTGAATTCAATTAGTTGTTTTAGCCTACAGAAGCAGTTTCCGCGAACACCGGAATTTATGCCGGAGGCGCGGCGTTCTGGAACGCACCCGTACTCAGCAAAACAGTAATGGATCAAGGAATGTTGATGGTGCGCATTTATTATCAAAGTTCGTCAACGTTTCGCTGAATTTCGTGTCATGTTCGTGTCCCAACAGCTTCAATAATGTATTCTTCACGTGTGAAACAATAATTGCACCCTAGTAAGTGCTCTCTTCGAAGTAATCAACGTGCGGTAGGACGGGTGGGCTTGCTGGTAACCAAGATGGCTACACGATGCATACTTATTTGTTTCCCTCTAATCGGCTTTAAATTACTTTTTTGTGCTACTCGCGTTCCCCTTTCGAATTCGTTTCTTCTTTGAAATTTATCGAGCACTGGTTTTGAGCGATCTCTCATTCACTTTCTGTTTGGAAGCAAGTAATTCTCGTGAAGTCTCCATGGTGTCCGTCTATGTACAGTAGCCTCATCCTTGTTTGTGTACATTTGATGTTTGGCTTGTCGTTCCTTGCTGTGTACCGGCATCTATACTTGGTGTCTCGATCCTGTGTGCACATGCCTTTTTTATTTCGATGAATCTGATCCCGTCTCTATTTCTGCTAGAGTACCAACCCGGCCGTCTATGCTTTGTTTTTTTTTTCCACCACTCTTTGCATTTTTAGTTTTGTGTTTGTTATGCCTTGTTATCTCTGTCGTTTTCATTAATTTTGTCCAGTTTTAAGTTGTCTTTAAATTTTTCTCATGCCAATGAATAATGCTTATTTGTTTTGCGTATTATGTTACTAATATTTCCTGGGTTTCCATCTATTCAGAAATCATAAAGCGTCATTATGGCGAGCTCATTTGTGAAGGAGTATACACCAGAGAAATCCTCTGGAGGACCATTTATTGTTCTTGTTAATAATGATGGAACGCTCCTTCCTGACTATGAAATGCTCAATTCCGTTCTTGGTGAGTGTCCTGTGTTATCCATGTCTACTATAATTATTGTATGATAAATATAAATGCGTATCGTATAACATACTAATCATTTGTGTTTTTTTCTTTTCTCTTTCAATTTGTGTCTCTTTTTGTAGAGAGAGAGGCCACTGTTCTTAAAGTTGGTAAACCCATTAGAGGAGACTCTGATGATGATGTCCCTCGGGTCAATATGACAGTAGAGGGTTACTATATTCCATCAGCTGCTTCTTCACAGGATCTCACGGATGGCCAACTAGATGGTAAAGTATTAAGAAGCTATAATTTATTTTATTTAAGAAAAGTATTTTCCACTTTATCATCACACCGTTTTGTTTACAGATTTTGATGAAGATGATGACATTGATTTGAGTTCCCTAGTAATTGTTGACCCTGCATCAGATGCCATTCACATAGATCATTGTTACACTAATCGTCTACGGAACCAACAAATTCTTCAGCTCTCCGTTGGAGAACTCAAATCTGAGCTGCAGGCTCAATTAGAAGATAAAGATGGTGTTGAGAACTGCCCTGCATTCCGTCAAGATGCAGTTGATCGAGGAAAGCTCAAGGTAGCATTTTACTCGCAGCATTTACGTTAAATTTCTCGCTAAGCACAACATCCATATTTATCTTTTTATTAATTTTGTTTAGTTTCAGAATCGAGGAATTCGGCTTTCTAATAAAAAGGACCCTGGTGGCATCAGACGCATTGTTCTCAATGAGTCTCTGGACAGTAATGCCACAACTTTGCAACATATTGTGCTGAAACCTCCACCCAATAGTCCAGCATCGGCGACCCTGGTTCCGCTGGTAAAACCACTGGTGCTGAAGCAGGTAGCGAGGAAGGGAATGAGCAGGGGGGAAGGGAACTTCACAGTGTTGGGAAAGCACGTGTCAACATTAAATCTGTTAAAGCCGCCTCCAAACACTCCTGCCTCCGCATCACTAGTGCCTTTGGTACAGCCATTGGTTTTGAACTCTCATTGTAACCTAGAGGAGTCAACAGAACTCTCAGCTTCGCTTGAGGATCCCAATGAAACACGAGACACCAAGCCAGGCTTTTTATGCATCGATATTCCTGCTGGAGAGAAGCAGGTACAGAGCAGCACTTCTTTAGTGGGAACCATGAATTTGAAAGAAGCTGTCATTGAGGTCAGCAGATTATTTTTCTCTGTTCTGTCAATTAAAAGTAGAGTTCTTTTGACCATGCTACATAAGGCTCCAAAATTTGTCCAAATTTTGTGTCATTTTGTTTCAAGCATGTGATTTATTCATTTGTTGCCTTTTCCAAAATTTTGATAAGTTATATAACAATTCTCAATGACGTACTAGAAAGATTTTATGCATGGTAGATTCATAGCAAATTGAGTCTCTCATCTAATGAATCTATCTGCTGAACTCTTTGCTCAGTTATTATTTACATGATAATTAATTGGAGGGTAGTAAGGAGAAAAGCATAAACAAATAATGCCATTACTGACAATCGTGCATTAAAATCAAACTCCCCCTTCCATACTCAACTCGCTTGCCTTTATGTCCTCATAATTCAATTGTGTTTTATTGCTGTTTGTGCTTTTTTTTCCCTTGAATCCAGTGTTGATTAGTGTTGTCCATTCCCTTCCCAGAGTAGTATCCTTCACATTAACCCTTCTTTTGTATCTTGAAAGCAGGCTGTTTTAAGTTTTTGCGATTTTTCTGTTGTACTCTTTTAGTTTTCTGACATGATTTCAACAAATCAGTGACTAGTTTTATCACGAGTTTTTTTATGTAGTCCTGGATTCTTTCTGTTGACCTCAACTCGTGCTACCTCTGGTCAACTTTTAAAGTACATTTCCTTAAGAACTCTTTTGTAACTGAACAGAAGCTTTTTAAATAATGTATGTCCCCAGTTCTACATTACCTAGGTCACTTTTATAAATTTTGTAGCAACCTAGATTTTGCCTTCAACTGTAGGTTCATTCTTTTTTTTCCTTTTGTGTTTGAGTGTGTAGTGTTGAATATTAGGCATTTTAATTAGATGTAGTTGTAAAACAAAAACACAAAATTATCAATATAATATTTTTTTTTTTTTGCAGTTAGCCTTGAGTTTAGTGCAATGGCTAGTTTTTTTTATGTTTGTCTGATTGTGTGTGCTATTTACAACCTTTTTGAGCCATAGCAAGGTTATGCAGCTTAATCATCAATTTATAGGATAACTTGATAGTTTGCTCTGTTCACTCAGGAAGAAACCTACATGGTGTTCAATCACCCTCAGATTATCTATTTGCAGTTTATTAGCCTTTACTGAATTTATTTTATAAGTGTAACTTAATCCATCAAAATCAGTGTGGGCCCTATGTTGGAACAACCCATTGTAAATTATTTATACTAATTCTTATTTGTTAGTTCTTCACTTCTATATCCTTTGGTGTGGGTTGTTTATTTTACAATCTGTCCACATGGGCTAATCTTCTCCCTTGTTTCATCTTGGCTGGTTGGGGGCTTAGCTGAGTACATACTAAAAACTATGACTTTAAATTGCATTGAAGAAGAAAAAAAGGAATATCAGTGTCATTGAGATTAGAATAAGTTGATCTCCTGCTCTAATTCCACTAGCAGAATGGTAGTCAATCTCATACAGTTTGAAAAGTGAACACAAATAACTACCTCAGATCTATCCCCTTCCATTCTTTCCTTCCCTCCCAGAAAAGCACAAACACTACTTTCACATCCCTGTTCTGGATCATTCTATGTTTATGTTTTTCTGCATTGTGTTGATGGTTATGTACTTTGTACATTTTATTTTAAGGTGTTATGGTTTCACATTTCCAGTTGTAAACAATTTTTTTTTTTTTTAAGGTAGTACTGTTGGATGGGTGCATTTAATTGGGCTTTTTTTTTTTTTAACCTTACTCTTTTTATTACCTAATGTGGATTACCTGGAAGAGGCACTAACCCCACCTTTGCTTCACTCACCAAACTCAGAATTTTTTTTGAAATTTATTTTAGTATGAGTAGAGGTATTTTTGTTGGTCATGTTAAAACTTGAAACCAGCATGCGGCAGGAGAGGAGTTCAGGCCTTATCTATCATTTGATGTGAAGAACTAGCTTTCCTTTGAAACTGCAAAGTGACCCGTCTATAGGGTGTTCATCGTGTGAGCGTGTGGTGTCTTTAAAGCCAACCGGTCATGAAGCGCCGAAAGCGCGGACGCGAGGTGCCACACTATAGCGGGGTTCTAATGTAGCTATGTATGCTTTATTTTTCTTGTTCCATAAAGGACATTTGATATCACACTATTATATTCAAACTTGGTGTGGAATGTTTCTTATCTTTTCTGGAAAAAGTTGCAACATTCTGATTGTTTTTATTTGTTGTTGTCCAACTTTAATATGCTCATTGAACATTTGTTTGCAGTCTGTTGCCGTTCCATCCAGCAGCAGCAAACCCGGCATGATTCCTCCTGGAGCTTCTCAAATTAAGGGACCTGTTAAAGGTGAATTCTCTATGGCCATTTTCTTGTTTTATTTATGAGCTGCATTTCCCTCTACTTAACCATTTCACTGTGGGCTGTTGCTGGAGTAGGATCTCCATTTATTTAATTGATTATCTGTAATTTTGACTCAAGTTCAATTTTAAGAGTGCTGGTACTCCCCTAATATGTTGTAAAGACTTAGGTACATAATAATGATATTTTGGGAACAGTTCTGCTGTCATCTCTCTCAGGGGTCCCTTGCTCATCTGGCGGCGGAGTTGTTATAACTCGAATGGCACCCCTCAGCTTACGTCCCCACTCAGGTTAGCAAAGCTGGGAATTGTCTTTTTCTTATCTGGCTCTCAGCGACTGCTAACCTTCTGTAAATTTTTCTTTGAGGAAAACTAACACCTGCACTGATAATACAGTTAATTGACAGATATTGATGTTTAACCGTCACATTTTAAAATTTGTACTTTCTGTGTTCTCTGCTTGTTATTCTTTTATATACTTATACCACCTTTTTCTCTTCTTTTTAAAAAAAAGTGGTTGTAGCAGCAGAAAATGGCCAATTGCAACAGCAGAAACACATTATACGCATTAACCAAGATGGACAGGTGCTCTCCCAGTCCCAGCAAAGAGTGATGATGGTTGTTCAAGATGACAGAGATGCAACACCTTCATCCTTGACTGACCAACCTTCTCCTCCTCGAGTAAAAGTCACTTATCCCTCAGTTAGGGTAAGTTGCCGGTCCCAATTATGCCGTCTTCATGATGCTGTAGGTTTCTCTTGGTATTTATTAATTGATTTTATCTTTTTCTTATTCAGGCTCGTGGTGGTCTGAGAGGTCGTGGTGGTCTCAGAGCACGTGGTGGAAGAGGAAGAGGACTTATGTCTCGAGGTGGACGGGTAGCTGTGAAAATTCAGGCCCAACCACTGGATCAGGCAATGGAAGATGCTTTGAATGCCATGATGCCTGAAAAAGATGTGAGTTACCTGAATAAATTTGACAATTTCTTAAACGGTTAGGCTGTATCTTGAACTGTCAATTCTTATGCGCTCTTTAAATTATTTGTAGGCTGCCTCACCTTTAGATGAAGAACTAGAATCACCAACGCAACAAAGAAAATTAAAAGTTAAAGTTCAGAAAAACAAACCTGAAGAAAACTCGCTTTCTGCTCTGAAGTCACCTAGAACTTACAGCAAAAAGGCTCAAAATTTAGTACAGCAGACATCAACTGAGTCTTTGTCTGATGATGTTAGCTCATCCAAGCGACCGTCTCTGAAGAAAATGAGCTCTGTTTCGTCAACCAGTTCTATGGAAGTGGTTCCTTCAACTCCTTCCACTCCAACAACCAGTGTGCCTTCTGCTTCTCTGTCACCGACATCAGCACCCACAACCCCTGTGATATCCTCTCCAACCTCAGCTAGTTTACCTGGTTCTGCTTCATCAAAGAAGTACCCTAAAAGGGAGAATCGTAAACCACCGGCACATCTCGCTGATGCATTCAGTGCCGATTTGCTTTTCTCTACTCCTGATATTATCAAAAGAGTAGTGAAAACACCATCAGGTCAACTTCTTTCTTCACCTGGTGAAGTGCCCAGTGCTAACGATGTTGACATGTCAACTGAGTCTTTAAATATGACAGGCACTGTACCTGAAGAGTCACAACAACCTCAACAAACTTCAGGAAAGATTGACATCCTAGGTAACAAAACATTTCATTTAAATTGTCTGTGCTTCCATTTCCTTTTCTTCCCCCTACATTCTCCTTACTGTTTGTTTTATTTGTTGTAATGCATCATAGCAATCGAACCTACTTTGGATGATCAGACAATATTTGACACCATCCAAAGTCAAGTCTCTAAATCTGATGAGGAACTGCTAGATGACGCAGCATTATTCTTGGGGGATTTGGCAAGCAGTATTCCGGCTTTAGATCCAGCTCTAGAGGTAAGTTATGTATCATTATTTTGTACTGTATTGTTTATCCCTGATAGTTGAAGTCATATTTCTCACTCTCAATCCCTCATGGTTTGGGGCCTACTCCCCTTAATTTTCATGAAGTCCATAAAAAGCTGCTTCAGCTGCAAGTGATGTACCATTAGAACTCCTATGTGTGGATAACAGACAATGATATTCTTACCCCTTCAGATTTATACTAATAGGTCGCATTTTTCACCTGTCAAATTAGCTACTTAGACAATTAACAGCCAATGCCAGGCGTGTGCTAGGGTTTTATTGTTAAGAAAATGTGGTTGAATACCTGATGGAAAAAAATGTGTGTGTGTGTGTGTGTGTCCAGTTGATGCTGGTCGAATCGGAGAACGCCATGGATACTGGACACATTTTACAGGTGAACTTTATTTGTAGAATGGTATGCTTGAAGTGATTGTTGCATAGTTCCATGTTTAATATATAAGTAGATGGTGTGCTCCTTGGTTTGGTTTTTCTTCTCTGTGATACTTTATTTTCCTTTTGTGTTGTTGCCCTACTTCAGCGGCATTGACTGCCTGACTAAAAATACTGCTTAACATAATTTCCTTTTTGAGGGGGAGGGGGAGGAGGGGTGTCTAACTCTTGTTCACATGGTGTTTGACTTCGTCTGACAGCGGAATTTGTTGTATCCCTGCATGTATCTCATCTCAATATTTACTATTGCATGATACCTACATTGGGTCTGTTTGCACTTTGATAAAGGAGCTGTTCATGAACAGATGTGATAAAAATTATTTTCTGAATCCTTAAGCATGAATGCACTTTTCTATGATAGCTTTTTTTAAAGCTAAATAATGATCCCTTTCTTACTTTTTATTATTTTTTCCCTCACTATGCTCTCTTGTGTATTTTTTTTTCAACTGTCTTGCAAACTCCTCTTTTATTACATGGGTTCCTCACCAAATTATGTTTTCTTTGTCAATACTGTTGCTCCCTACAGTACTCACAGATCACCTTTAAGCTTTATCTCAAGAGCTAAATCGTTGAATGAAAATGTTTATTTTCAGCTGCCCTTTCTCATCCTATAGTTTCTTTTTCATGCTTTCATGTTTTGAACAAGTGGAATAACTTTTTGTTGACAACTTTTTAAATTTATTGTTATTCTTTTAGGATAATGCAATGGATCAATCTGCACCTGTGCCACAGCCATCTGTTGTCCAAACATCGCAGGGTCTACTAGATACTCCAATTAATGATTTAGTGAGTTCTATCTCATTCTTTTTTTTCACCCTTCTCTGTAATTGAATCTGGCTTATTGTTTGTGTTTTGTGAATTTTCCAGAATGATACCTCTATCAAGACTATCCCAGATATTGAGAAGCAGCAGGCACAAATCAAATCTGCAGAAGTACAGCAGCAAATGGCCATTGATAAGAAGGCATTGAAATTGGAGGAATCAGGTCGGCGCAAATCAAGTGACAAGGCAGAAACCAGTGGTAGACGAAAGTCCATAGAGAAATCACCAAAGAGCCCTCGGAGGAAGTCGGGTGATTCTCAAGCTGCCGAGTCTGGTAGAGGCTCCCCTGAGAAGAAGCTCACACCAACAAGGTTAATAAGCCACCTGTATTTCAGTGTATTTGAACTTGGACTTTCATTTAATATGCATTTGACATTCATCTGTGTGCCTTTTATCTCAGGAGGCGTTCTTCATCTACAAAAACTCCTCCAGAAGATGATTCTGAAGGTGAAACGGAAGGTGAAAATGATGATGATGATGAAGATGATGATCCCACCAAATTGTGGTGCATTTGCCGGAAGCCTCATAACAATAGGTAGAGACTTGACTCCTGGTTTCGCAAACTTTTTTGACTACAGCCACACATAACATTTGATTGTTTCTATTTCAGGTTTATGATATGCTGTGATGTGTGCGAAGAGTGGTTCCATGGCATCTGCGTGGGAGTTACTCAAGCGATGAGTAAGTTTGTGCAAATTTACTACACTTTTGAACCACTCCTTATTATTTCATTAACTTTGAATGTTCTCTCCAGGTGTAAGAATCCCTGAATACACTTGTCCCACATGCCAAGGAGACAAGCCAAATGAGAAGAAGCCTGTCTCTCCTAGAGGGGCAAAATCAGGCCGAAAAGGATCTGTGTCAGACACAAACACTCAAAAATCTATTTCTGTACCTAGCAGTAAAACAAAACAGCTTTCTATTAAAGCTCTCCTGCCCCTAACCAAACAATCAGAGCCCAGTGACTCAAGAGAACCTCTATCTCCTAGTAAATCTGTCAAATTTTCCAAAGATCTTGTATCCAAATCAGGGAGCAAAACTCCCTCTAAAGTGGTGTCATTTAAAGATGTACCAAAGTCTTCTAAAGAATCCTCTCACTCTGAGAAATCATCATTCACTGATAAAGATGCCAAGTCTTCAACCAAAGAACCTTCATCTAAAAGTTCTAAAGAAGCTGTAATTAAACAGTCAGTCTCAAAAGGCAGAACACACAAAGAGCCATCTGAAAAGGAATCCATATCATCTGCTTCATCATTCAAACCCTTACAACCTGGCCAAACAGCCTGTTTCAAATGCAAAAGGGCAGCTGCAAGATCTGGCCAGTTGTATTGTAGTGACAGTTGCATAAACCTATATGCAGAAGAGACTCTTAAGGCCATGACTAAACCCGGTGAACAACCCAAAGAAGGCCAGTGCATTCCTGTGATTGAGAAGAAAACTGGAAGAATATTTGCTGGTTCTAATGCACCCTTAGCCATTAACTTAGCAAAATGGCTTGTTGAGAATCCCACATTTGAAGTTGGTGCAGTTTCAGCAGCTGCAGGTTCAACACCTCAACGTTCTGGACATGTTTCCTCCAAAAAATCTAAATTAAAACTTGTGAAGAAACCCACCAGCACATCAGCTTTGAAGGCCCATCAAGCAGCTTTAGAGCAACAACATAACCTAGAGCAGAGTAAAGCTGCTGCTGTCAATGCTGAAATTCCTTCAAAAATAGTAAGTTTGGAATAATTTGCCACATTTTTGTTTCACAGTCCTATAATTTTAAATAAAGAACCTTTGACTCACACATTTTACTTTTGTAGGCTAAAGGTAAACTGGGCTTCCAGTTGCCAAAAGCTCAGCAAGGGCTTCAAGGGCCTCTTGCAAAGGCCCAACCTGTTGCCAAAACAGAAACCCCTCACAAATCTGCCAATAAGGCCAATGGGTCCAAACAATTGAAGCAGACACTCCTGGTGTTGACACCCAGTGCAGCTTCTGCTGGGTCTTCATCGCAATCTGCCAAATCCCAGGTACTGACCTCTTTGTGATTGCTTTATCTACTTGAATAAATTATTATTGTCTTTTACCAAGTTTAATGTTGTTGCTGTATCTTGTCCATAGACACCTCAGTTGCATCGACAGTCCTCTCAGAAAAATGAAAGCCATAAAACACCTGCCGCAACGTCTGCTACACCAACAACAAGCAAATCAAGTTCGGTCTGTATCTAGTCCATTGATTGATAATTGTGCCCTTTGCTTCATGATCTAACCCAGTTTTATTCTATCTGCAGTCTTCAAAGAAAATTGAAAGGAAGTCCAGCACGAGTGACTCAAGCAGTCGAAAGAGCAGTGTTGATGATACACCAAAGGAGAAAGAAAAAGATAGGGATAAGGATAAAGGGGAGCCTATTCGTCTAACTGTGAGCAAATCACTGCAGGTATGAAAAATTTCTTCTGACCTTTTCAGTAATATTTTAATTTGATGGAGCTCCGTTATGAACTTAAACATTTGTGCACTGGAATTTCAGGAAGCCTTATTAAATCGTTTAAAAGACTGCAAAGATGTCACTCCTAATGAGGAATCTCTTCAGAAAACAGCAGTTTTGATTGAAGAGGAAATGTTCTCCCTATTCAAGTAAGATTTTGTTGTATCTCCACATTTCTAATTAAGTCCAGTGTTTTCTTGGTCTTGTAAACTAAGCACACTTAATCATATTTTTGCAGGGATACTGGAACAAAATACAAGGCAAAGTACCGTTCATTAATGTTCAATATCAAAGACCCTAAAAATCCATCTCTGTACCGTCGCATAGTTGATGGATCTCTTTCTCCCAGTGAACTTGTACGCCTCTCTGCTGAAGAGCTTGCTTCTCAGGAGTTGGCTAAGTGGCGAGAACAGCAGGCACAGCACCAGTTGGAAATGATTCGCAAGAGTGAACTGGACTTACTTCAATTGCCCAAATCAGTGGTCATGAAAACTCATAAAGGAGAACAAGTATGATTTATTCTCTTCTTGTTACATTTTTATTGCAGGATTTGATGTGACAAACAGTGTTTCATCTCTTTTGTTTTTTTCCTGCAGGAAATTGAAACAAATACCTCCGAAAATGTTCTAGAGATTGATCCTAACACAACGGTAACTGATCTTGTCACTGCTCTCAATGATTCTGTAACATCAACAACTTTAGAAGAGACAGAAAAAGTAGAACAAAGAGAACTAACTCTGAAGGAGCGTGAACAAGCACGTCGTCAACGGGAAAAGGAGAAACAGCGAAAGGACGATGAAGAGCATGACGGCTCAAGGAGCTCCCATCACAAACACCACAAAGATAAAAGTGACAAACATCGTAGCAAACATCACAGTAAAAAGAGCAAAAGCAAGGACAGTGAACGAAGCAGGGATCGAGACCATGATTCCACCAAAGAGGGTAGAAGTCGAAGCCGAAGCAGAAGAGATTCAAAGACTATTGAAAAAGATAGAAGCCACAGGAGTAGTAAAGATCATAGCACTAGTAGCAGCAGCAGTAGCAAAAAAATTAGCGATGTCAAAACTGAAGCATATGATCCCTACGTTCCTGAATGTGTTCCTCTTGAGCCAAAAAAAGATGAAGTTGATGTGTCTGATCATGAGCCCAGCTCAACTGTAATAATCAAAACACCTGAAATTGGCCTGGAGGAAAGTACTTGGGTTGAAGAAACCAAAGCGGTTTGGCGAGGATCTGTTCAAATGTTGGATGTTGCTCGCTTCAATACAGCCTTGGAGTCAGTGTCGGGAGATACATCTGAGCTTCACAAAGATTTGACCAATGTCATTGATTGTGTTGGACGAATCTCAACTCAAATGGCATGGGAATATATTGCTAAAATAAAGAAGTCAAAAGATATTGCTGTATTGCGCTGCCTCTGTTCTGAAGACAATGAAGAACAGAAAAAAGCCTACATGAAACTATATTCCTACCTCAGTAATAGAAATCGTTTGGGCGTTGTTCAAACATCCTCTAAAAATATCAAAGATTTCTACATTTTACCACTTGACAAAGATGCTCCATTCCCACCTGTTTTAGGTCCTCTTGATTGTCCTACTTTCAATGAAAACAGGTGAGGTTCTATTCACACTTTTGCTACATTCATTTTTTCTAAAATAATGTCACTGATTTTTTTTATCTCACACCCACATTGTCCTCTTACAGACCACACCTTCTGCTTGCAATTGTTGTGTGGACCAAGAGGAAGCGAAATGCTGCTGAAGCTGGCCTGACCCCTCTGGCTCCCAAAGGAACTCCTCTTGCTGGCAAGGCGCTCCGATTAACTGGAGATAACTCCAAGAAGAGTTCTGTGACGCCTTCTTTGAAACCTTCTTTACTTATTTCTGAGTCAAAAGAGCGTAGTTACACTCCACCTCCTCAAATGAAAAAAACTCACACACCTCCTGGCTCACCAAGGTTTGTACTGTATTAGAACTAATTTATTTTTTCTGATATTTTTGACTTCACAGGGTAGCAAAAATGACTCATTCTTTTGTTGCAGTTTATCTCCCAAAGTCAGTATTCCTTTACTTGGTGATATTGATGATGACAACACTCCCTACTCTCCAGGCGATGGTGAAAGTGAAGATGAAGATGAACGTAGGAAAGCGGTAAGTACAGCACTGACAGACTGAAGACTGATTCATGCATGCCTTCTTACATGCCTTGATTCAAGATTTGAAACCAGTCAGTAACATGATTTCTCCCTTTCATCTCAGGAACTGGATCGTAAGATATTTGAAGAAACTCAGCGTATTAAGTCATTGGAGAGTGTCATCACCAGCTTAAATCCCAGCCTTCAAGTTGACAGTGAAGAAGATGATAGCAAGCCTTACAGCCCTTCAGGTTCTTTCACACCTCCAAGCTCGCCCCCTCCACCTCATCTTTTAAGCTCTAAATTGGTGAAAGGAGACAAGACATTGCTAAAAGCTGATCCCATCGTCCAGAACTACGCCGGTCTAGACCAGTCTCCTGAAGTAGATGAAGGCCCGTCCTTCGTGCCTTCCGGCTGCAGCGCGTCCTTCTTCGCCACGCCCATGGCCTCCATGGCCAGCAAGTCGCCGCCCTCCAGGTCGCAGACACCCCCCAGGCAGCCCTCCAAGCCGAGGGGCTTCCTGGAGCGGGCCTTCTCCAAGAACGCCATGAGCAGCTTCATGTCCGACGACATCTCGCAGCACTCGGACGACTCGAAGGACGCCCCGTTCTCCGCGTCAGACCACGTGCGCATCCCCGGCCTGTGCGAGCCGGCAGAGCCGCAGGCCTCGCCCGCCATGTCCCTCGACACGTCGAACGACACGTCGGACGAGTCGCAGCCCCTGCCGGACATGAGCCAGCCGCCGCCGCCCCTCCACCAGCCCCTCGGCCATCCTGGGCAGCAGGCGGTGCCGGAGCTGCTCTCCGAGCCTCTGCCCGACCTGACGCAGCCGCCGCCGAGCATGGCGCCGAGCATGGCGATGACGATGCCGCGGGCGTCGCACGTGCTGTCCCCCGGCATGCCATCATTCCCACCGCTGGCCAACCCGCCCGCGCCGCTCACCCCCGTGGCTCTGATGAACCCACCGCCACCTCACACGCCGTCGCCGTCCGCGCCGCTGCCGCTCATGTCGCAGCCGCCGCCCAGCCTCGTGCAGTCGCTGCCAGACATGTCTCTGCCGCCGCCGTCCACCCCCTTGAAGACGCCCTCCAAGGCGATGGCGCAGCCGCCGCCGCCAGGGATGGAGGACGACCCGTCGTTCTGCGACGAGCTGGACCTGGAGCCGCTGGGTGGCTACCCCACCAGCGCGACCAGCGCGGAGCCCAAGCAAGCCCCTGTCCCAGACTACCTGGCGTACCCCGCCAACCCGCCCATCCCCAGCGGCTCGCCGCCCATGCCCTCTGCGGCGCCGCCGCCCCCGGAGCCTGAGAGCAGACCACCAGAGCCGGCCTCGTCGCCGCCCCCAGACTCGCCTCCGCCGCCGAACTCGCCGCCGGCAAGGAGGTCGCCTCTCCTCGCCAGGAACCCATCGCCGCCGGCGCACCTTTTCCGCAATCGGTCGCCGTCCCAGTCGCCACCCCCTGCGAGGCGCTCTCGGTCCAGATCGAGATCCCGGTCAGCGTCGTCTGACTCCTCGTCGTCCGCGTCGTCCAGGTCGGCGTCCTCGCGCTCCGGCTCCTCCCGGCGCTCGCCCAGCGTGCGCAGAGGCCCACGCAGCCCGCGCAGTCCGCGCAGCCCGCGCAGCCCGCGAACGCCGAGGGGACCCAGGAGCCCCTTGAGTCCGCGCCTCTCCAGAAGCCCACGCAGCCCTCGCAGCCCTCGCAGCCCGCCGCCGTCATCGCGCAACCGCTCGCGGTCCAGGTCCAGGTCGAGGTCCTCGATGTCGCGCTCCCGGTCGCGGTCCAGGTCCATGTCGCCGCACGCTGCGCGGCTGGCCAGGCCGCCCACGCCGCCGCGGCGCAAGCGCAGACACTCGTCACCTGACGACGCCAGCGACGCGCCAGGCGGCAGCAGGAAGGGCCGGTGGAAGGACAGGCCGCCCTCTCCCGACGACTACTACAAGTCCAAGTCCAGGCGTTCGCGCAGCCGCAGCAGGAGCAGGAGCAGGAGTCGCAGCAGGAGCAGGAGCAGCAGAAGTCGCAGCCGCTCCAGGACGCCGTCGCGGGGCCGATCCTACGACCGCCGCGACAGGGACCGCGACCGAGATCGCGACCGGGATCGTGGCAGGGACCACCGCGGGCAGGGCCGGGACAGGGGCTGGGACTACAGGGAGAGGGAGCGCTGGGACCCGAGAGAACAGCACCCGCACCCGCACGGCCCGCCCCACGGACCACCTCACGGCCCGCCCCATGGCCCTCCTCACGGCCCACCCTACGGCCCACCGCATGGCCCACCACACGGCCCACCAGGCATGCGGGGCCGCGGCCGTGGCGGCTGGGACAGAGGCAGGGGCAGGGGCTTCCCCAGGGGAGGCTTCTTCCCGAGAGGCGGACCCGGGCGGGGTCATTTTAGAGGGAGGGGGCATGGCCCTCCCGGACATGGACCTCCCCCCCACGGCCCACCTGGACACGGCCCCGGAGGACCGCCTGGAGGGCCGCACGCGGCACCGTCGCACCACCAGTACCACGCCGACGTGCACGACCACTCTCAGTATGAAGGCGATATTCGCAACTTTGAAGAGAAGCAGAGGGAGAGAGCCTTGAAGATAAAGCGGAAAGAAATGAAGAACAAGAAACCATGGGATTGATGATGCTGAGGCAAAGTGTTTGTGCTCCTAGAGCGTTTGAGTTATGTCTCATCCTTAGGTTATGATATGGACTTTTTAAGCCTGACGTTTGTGTGATGTTCCTATGACACAGCATCTGTGCAAGGTAGTTCTGTGTTTCTGTTATGTGCAATACTAGCTTACTCACTTCAGCAGTCCCTCTTAATTTACAAGACACCATGTTGTAGGCATTTTTTTATGAGATTGTGAATTATTGTATGGGACCCATTTTATTCCAATTTTAAGTACCTTTCAAGAGCAGGTCTTTGCTTTTGTTCAACTTTGTTTTCATTTTGAATACCCATTCAATACTGTTAAAATCCATGGATGCTTTGGGGATGGTGCTGTTACGTTCATGTTTTGTATTTGTGGCACTTGGCTGAAGAAGTTACTTTTCTGACTGCTTCCTTTTCACCAGCTTCCTCTTTTATAACTGATTTGTTAAGACCTTAGGGTCATATTTTATTTTCTAGCATTACCCTTTTTATAATTATTATAATTATGCTTTGAACCAGTGTTATAATGCGGAGTATGAATAATTGTCACTCTTTTTCATTCACATTTATTTACCTTTCACTAATGGGTGTTGTTAAAATGGGCCTACTCCAGCACATTGTTTGCCAAGTTTGGTTCAGCACTACAAATTTTGCCATTACTAGTAATGGTTGAATCTCAATAGTGATATTGTGAGGACACAGTTTGATTTTGTAGTTCCTCCTCTTGGGATTGTAAACTTTCTCAGCCATTGAACTTTTTAGTTTGGTAATGTGTGATAATGAATGAACTTTGTGAACCAAATTTGGATTTGGCAGTTTGTAGTTTAGGTTGCTTTGAACCCACATTATTGTATTCAAAATTAACAGCCACTACATGTAACAAGCATGATAAGGTACCCATTTATTTGTATCTTCTTTGAATTAACTTTTGACTATGACAAGACTCAGAATTATTTCATTCCTTAGTATGCTAGTACCTGTGAATGAGTTTGATTGTGTATAGATATTAGTTCTGTATTTACTAGTGTATTATGTGTGTATGTATGTAAAATATGTATACTGGCACCGGATGAATGAATTTTCTTATTGTGATATGTAAGGAGGTGATTCTGAGTCTCTGTAGCAGTTCATTGTTATTTTCCTTTACTTTGTAGAGCTCTGTCTCATTGTTTGCTATACTTGGACAAGTAATTGTAAAAATTGTACATAAAGATGATTGCTGTACAGAATTTAGGCCCTGTAAAATGAAATCAGACATTGGTGAATAATATATATCATTCTTATTTACTGCATAAATCACAATATTTTGCGCTCTGACTTCTGTTTTGTTGATCTCCAGTTTTATGTGTAATAAAGCACAATCATCTGCTTTCAGATTTATTTGAGTATGATTATTTGGGATGTGCTTAAGCATGCTAGGCTTAATCCCTTAGTAGCACTGTTGATTCCTGGAATCTTGTGTCTTATTCAATAATGAATAGAACATGTAAATTATAGATTTTTTTAAATTAACCGGCTTTTGTTTTTATTTTATTATTGAAACCACCACCCAACAACTTGGATCGAAGTTTTCCTGAAACACATGCGTATATTCTCCACAAACACACGTTAATCAGGGGAACTACAATAATGCGTAAATACTCCAGGACTCAAGACTCACAATGAATTGCAATAGGAATGTGACGTTTTGTGTCTACTCGGGAGTGGCGAAGCACCTCTTCCGGTTTCCCGAGCGTCTTCGGGTTGCTTCGGGTTTTCTAGAACACTCTCATACGCTCACGACGGCGACGGCGCCGCGGCGCATCTCTGCTCGGGTCAAACCGTGCCGTGCCGTGCGTGCGGAGATTTGTGTTCTGCTGCGCCCGTTGTCCCAATTTTATCTGGTTACCTCCGTAAATAGCCACTGTACGTCGAGTGTTTGGAGTTTCTTTCGTAAGTCTGTCTGCTAACCATCATTCCTGTGGCAAATCGTCTCACGACCCTGGTGAGTTCCATGACAAATCCATCTCTTCTGCTCACGCTCTGGTTCTGCTTGTGGACCAAACAATCTGCATTTCCACTTCAACGCCAAATCTATGAATGGAAAACATCTTGACGTTTAGCGTCTTGGAGATCCATTTATTCTGCATTTAATAATGCCGTAGGCTCAAGCTTCCAATCGTTCAATACACGATTAAGTTTGTGCCGGTGATGACTTTTAGTAACCTCAACTACAAGAATTCCGAGGTCATGCTCTGTATTTTTATCCCTCTGAACCCCAATCCTGCATGTTGGTCATGGCAACCCGTCATATTCTTATCATTTGTCTCAAACATCCTTCCGTCTGCCCTATTAAAGGTCTGTGTAATCCCATTCAATCTAATTCTATGTTTGATTTCAGTCCTAATTTACTACCATGGCAAAGTGGGGCGAAGGTGATCCTCGCTGGATTGTTGAAGAACGTCCTGATGCTACAAATGTCAACAACTGGCATTGGTGTGTATTTTCATTAACTCTGCATCGCCATGGCATTTCGAGAACAATCACTTTTAAATTTGAGTACTGTTCTGTGCAGGGCTTGAACGAATGAACCATGTTCTGTCAAAAGTTTTAAAAGTGCAAACTATTGATGATCTTCATATTTCCTAAAATAAGCTCGGCTCACTTGTGTTTTTGCCTTTCTGCTGTCACAGGACGGAGAAAAATGCCTGTCAATGGTCGGAAGACAAATTAAAAGAACTACTGAAGAATTTAAAGATAGAAAATGACAACGCTAGCTGTGAAATCACTGAAGTGGAGAAATTAGAGGGAGAAGCTGTTGTCAATAACCGGAAAGGAAAATTGATATTTTTCTATGAATATGATATTACTCTGAAATGGCGAGGTTCCATGAATGATAATGATGAAGAAGCTGAGGGAAAGATAAATATACCAAACTTAAGTGAAGAGAACAGAGTAGATGAAATTGATGTGAGTTGCCCTTCTTTTTAAATTTATGTATTTGATAATTGTACTGTATCAAATGTATAAAAATGTGGGTTGTTCTTCCAGGTGAGTGTATCTTTAGACAAAAATACCGAGCAAGGCTACAGAGTAAAGGCTTTCATGCATAGTGTTGGCACTGTTAAAATAAAAGAGCAGCTTGGTAAATACATCAGCGCATTGAAAGAAGGTGAGTCAAAGTTTCCATAAACAGTTTTAATCAGGATCTCAATCTAGTTGTATTCTTATATCCCTTAATGATTCTTTGTTTTTATCATAGAGTTCTCAAGAGGAATGATTTTACCAAAGAAAGGTGGGGACTCTGGTACAATCAACACTAATGATTCCTCTGTCAATAATTTATCTGCTGGATTCAACATAAAGGTTTGTTTTCTTCAGTTAATTTTGTATTTGCACATGATGTACATGATCAAATGGATAACTATTTAAAATTTATTTCTTTAACAGATGCAAATGAATACTGTTGCGAAACCAACCACCAATACTGTAGGTTGCAAAATAGACACCACCACAATTACCTTCTCACATGCCTTCCAGTGCACAGCAAAAGAGTTCTACAATGTTCTCACTGTAATTGAGGTAAGCTTTCAAGTTACTTTTCTTTTTCTGATCCGTTTTTTAAAACTTAATTGCCTGAAGGAGGTAATATATTTTCGCTTTTAGATGGTACAAGCATTTACACAAGGACCAGCAAAACTTGAAGTTAAGAAAGGTGGAAAGTTTGAGCTATTTGGAGGAAATATTCATGGAGAGTTTCTTGAAATAGTGAGTATTTTGTATTCGACTCTAGTGTTTTTAATATATCTCAAGCATGTTACTTAAAATGCGTCTTCTTTACAGGTTCCTGATCAGAAGATTGTGCAGCGTTGGAGATCCAAGCGGTGGCCTGGAGAACATTATTCGAATGTTACAATTTTGATTGACCAAAAGGATGACCATACAAGTGTGAAAGTGACTCAGACAGGAGTACCTTCAAGGTAATAACCCTTATATTTGTCTTATTTCTCATAAAGCTACCAGATGTAAATCTGTCTACCTTCTGTAGTATTTTTCTCTGATATTGATAATGATCCTGTTTTTCTTTCAGTGAGGCGGATGGAACAAGAGAAAACTGGGACCGGTATTATATGGATGCCATTAAGCGAACGTTTGGGTTTGGATCATTTATTGGTTAAATAAATGTTTTTTTCTAACTTATGCTGAACCAGTAATCTTCCTCTTTTGTTGATTTATATTTGATGCCTCAGGTCACAGTGCATAATTGTTTTAACTTGTTTTCTGGGAAAAGGGGGAATTTGTAAAATCCTTACTTCTACCTGAAGGGTACATCCATCTTACTTCATTTTGTCAGTTGGATGTCTACTTAATTTATGTGTCCTAATTTAATTTGTGATTATGTTAGTTGTACCGTCAGCATGTGGTGTGATGGCTGAAGGGATTATGAACAAATGGAGCTTATTCTTAAAAGATGAATCCAATTGTTGCACATTAACTGAGATTTGAATATTAATTCATTCTATTGTTTTTGAAGCATTACCAGAAACTGCCAGTTGTCACGCCTTTAAGACAAAACTGTTATTTTACAATAATTTTTGTAAAGTCTTATTGTGATAATAAATTTCTTCAAGAGGTGAAACCTGTCTTGTGAAGATGAGCCTGCTTTAAACATGTCTGCTTGAAACATGTTTCATTCCATTCATTGATGTTTCCCATCCCACATATTTGTATGTTGTCAGAAAAATCAGCATTTTGGCTCAATTTCTTTCTCTCTTTTTTTGTTGTTTTTTTTTGTGAAATTGTGTATTCTGACTGTGTCAAATATAATGCCCCATGCTTTCTAGAATAATTTTTATATGTAAATTGTGATTCTGTAACTTTGTATCTTCTGTGTTTGAATGACTGAAAATTTGAAATAATAAGAAACAGTTCAATCATGATAAAATTGTAACCAACAGAATCCACACCAGTTTGGTTTGTAGTGATGTAGGAAAAAATGACTTCAGAGGCAGTAGTGCCAAGTGTCACAATTTTTTCTACTTTTATTAAGAAATAAACGATTTGATGCATTAAATGCACCAATCTTCTGTCACCCGGAGCACATGAAGTTGCTAACTGTAATAAGATTTCTCAGGTTGTATTTGTACCCTCCAAATCAAATCAATAAAACGCATCTAAAAGTTCATGCCGCTTTTTTTTCTTTTTTTCCTCAACAAAACCGGAACTATTGCCACATAGCGGACATTCGCTGAAGCAAAGCTAAGCAAGGGAAGGCCATCTGCCTCTCGAGGGTGGTTCAGTGAACTAACGGTGATTTGGGGATCATCCACGCATTGCAGGCATTGAATGAATGAACTCAGTACCGGCCCGTAGGGAACACGCCGATTTATGGGCCGGGAGCCCCGACGCACGGATGAGTGCCTGCCCAGACACTGGCATGGCATCGCTATGCTCAAAAACGCAAATAAAATATGACGTGGATACTGTCCTTTTTTGTGGGGACGGGGTCCAATGACCCGGTCCTCCACCTCTGGCCCCTCCGGCCAGCCCTGCGACGCAATGGGTACCATAGCCAACCCTGTCCGGCCTCAACCTGGAGGGGCGGGCTGGGGCTGGCGTTGGGGAGGGCAGGGGCTGACCAATCGAAGTGCCTGGGGCTGGAGGCACCTACGCCGCTACGCGGCACAGGAGGGCCCTGGCAGCCCGGCCCGGCCCAGCGTGTTGGCCGATACAGACATGGCCCCATGCCCGTGCCCCGCGGGCCCGGCCCAGCCCAGCCCGGCCATTCTGCCAGTCAGTCACCCCTCACCGCGCCAGGCGCCTCGCCTCGCCTAGAGGCTCCTGCCTCGCCCCGCCGCGCGACCTAGGCCCCGGACCCCACCTGGCGGACCCGGTGGACGCGCCGCGCTACCCCAGCATCTCCAGCAGCGCCAGCAACGGCACCGGCGCCCAGCGACCGGATCAAGATGCTCCGGCACGCCGCGCGCCCCGACTTGGAAATGAAGCTCTCCTTTGTGTGCGCCCGGCCCCGCTAGGCCCCACCAGGCCCCGCTATAGGCCCCCCCAGGCCCCGCAAGGCCCCGCAAGGCCCCGCAAGGCCCCGTCGACCGACAGGCCGACAGGTAGACGGACGGAGAAGCATTGTTCTTTCCAGCTCGCTCGGGCCGATTGGCCCGCCGGGCCGTCCCGTCGTACCGCCCCGCCACACCCCGCCACGCCACGCCACGCCACGCCACGCCACGCCACGCCACGCCCCGCCGGTCGCCACGTGATCTGCATGTCAGGCGGGGGCGGCGGCGGCAGCAGTTTCCCGCATCGCCGTGCCCGACGTGCTCGCCGTGCTCCGGGCTGGGGAATGCTGCAGGTGAGGATGGGCAAGAAGCTCGCCAAAAATAAGGGGTGGCTTACTTCGTTTAGTGCAAGGGGACGCGTGCTGGACGTTCTGGACCAGAACGCGATGCCAGCCTAGAGAGGCTTGCCCAGTTTTCTGGACGAGGAATGCCACATGCGGGCTGTCTTCGTTGTTGCGCCCCTCAGCACGAGAAAGTTGATGAAACTGGACGGTTGGAAATTGGATCTCCCAAATTGCTTCCCCTGTGCACCGCTCGGCACCGCTCCATGCCCTGCACCCAGCAATTACTACCCCCAGTACAGCCCGACAATAATCGAGAGATTGGAATTGAGAGGGGAGGGGTGGGTGGCTGCCGCGCTGGCTGCCGTGGTGCGGCGAGGATGGCGAGGATATTACCTGGATTGGCCCGGAAGCCCACGGAGGTGAGATAGACGCCGCTCCGCCACTGCTAAAGGCTACGAGTGGCGTAGTCGCGTAGCCATGGCGTAGCCCGGCCGGAACCAATGCCGTCTGCACGACGCGGCGCGCGGCTGCCTGGCCCGCCCGGCCCGGCCTGCCACGGGAAATTGCATAATTAGATTCCCTCCCCCTCCCCCTAGCCTTCCCGCTTCACCCACTTCGCCGGGGCGGCGTTGTGGAGTGAGCAACTCATTTAGCGCGTTAACGGAGAGAGCTGAAGGTTGAAGCGGAGGCTGGCGCTGTGCCGCGTAGGCAACACTGCCGTGTGACCTCCTTGCAAAGTCACCGTCGAGGTGAATCGAGAACAGTGAAGCTAGAAAAATAGGCGAAATAGAGCCCAAACACACGCTGTGGAGAGCTGCCTAGCGAGCAGGGTGAGATATACAGTCCGCCGCACACCGGCGCGGTGGGTTTACATGCATTTTAGCACCACCAATTAAGAATAAGTAAGTCAATAAAACGCCAGGGGCCATTCGCGTTGGGCAACCCACTCGCGAAACATCCCCGCACGACTCCGCGTCCTCACGGCGTGGGTCTGCCGTGCGAGGGCGCGTCCGCGTTGACGCGGTGCGGCGAGGGGAAAAGGGGGGGGGGGGCTCGTGGCGGCCGGGCGGTGCTCATGTCTAGATGAGGTAAATCAAGTCGGACAGCTGTCAAACGCGGCGGCCCGGCAGGCCCGAGGGTGCCCGAGGCCAGGCCGGGCCGAGCTCGGGTCGGGCGACCAAAGGGACGTATCCGCGGCCACGCCGCGCGCCGGTTGCGTGCTTCTGGCTTTGATGGCCCTCGCCGCCCTCACGGCCCTCGCGCGGCCCCCGCGGACTCGGGGGCGCATTTCGCCTGGAAGGCTGGAAGGAGGGCAGGACAGCCACTTCCGGTCCGCGGCAAGGCAAGCCAGCAACACCGGAAGCGAATTGATTTCCTCTCCGCGGCGTGACGCATGGCCACCACGCCACCCTGCCACCATGGCCAGCATGGCCAGTCACTGCAGACGCATTCCAAGAATCCGTATCCGTTGCTCCGTTTTTGCCGAAGACCGCGAAACACACCGATCCAGCCCAACGGTTTTCAACATTGGGGTCGTGAAAATCTATCAGGCCAAGAGCATTTCGCCGCGCGAAGAGCATTTCTCCACGCCAAGAGCATTGCTAGTCCAGAGTACTTTCTTCCTATTGAAGAGGGTTTCGAGATTTGCTGTACTTAGTCTCCACCATTCAGTCGCGTTTGCAACCGCTGACCTAGCCCACCTGGTCCAACCTCGGGCACCTCGGGCCGGGTGCGGCAACAGGCAGCAGGATGAAGCAGGGCGAGAACAGCCCTGGCTGCTTCGCTGCTTCGGCACCGCAGCGCGGCGGCAGCCGGATGTGCCGCACCGCGCCGCCACGCCGCCACGCCTGCCAACGTGGCGACACGACACGCGCCGCCGGATTACGTTGCGGACGCTGCGGCAACTTGAACACGGCCAGCATCGCTTTCGTCGCTCTGTCTCTCTCGCACTCATGGCGCGGTCCGAAGGGGTGCGAGAGAGACAGACAGCCTCAACCCGACAAGCGTGGACAATTTCACATTGTTGCGCCGTTTTTCTTCCCGTTTTTGGCGCGCTTTTTTCACGGTGCAGAATGCGCTGTTTGCACGTCCGTAAATAAATATTCTGTTATTTTGGTGCCTCAGTCTGTGGAGACGGCAATCACTGTTATCAGCTGGAGGATCGACGCGACACGATGCGGACACACGCACGGCCGCGTCTGTGCGTGTGTGTGTCGGTGTGTCTGTGACTGAGTGTGTGTGAGTGTGTGCGCGCGCGCATGCGATTCTTCCACCCCCACACTCCCACACTGTGTTTGGGGCTGGCCACTAGAGAGTTCATTGCCCGGCCTACTGACGACCCTTCCATTGGTCACTGCTGGTCAAAGAGTTGCGGTCGGGGAAAGGGGAGGGGGGGGGGGCTACTTTACGACTTGTTTCATTTCCCACCGAATATACTATGCTGCATAACTTTGTCGCCCCCCCAGACTTTTAGGAGTGCGTTGGGGTGAGTATATTGGTGGGGCACTTTTTCCTTTCCCCCCTTTTTTTACGAGAAAAACCAACAGCAGTGTGGCCGGTGGGTGGATCGGCGACTGGGGGTCAATACCTTTACAAAGCCGACACACGAATCGAACACTTTAGCGGGCGGGCCCTGCGGGTGGCGGCCGGGCTGGGGGTACGGCACGGCGGCACGGCGGCGCGGCAGTGCGGTGCGCCGCGAACGGGCGAACCCCGAACGCGAACGCGCCGCCAAGGGGAATCCGCAGACCGCGTCGTAAAAATACTGACCGCTTTACTGCACTGTTACGCTCGTGCTCATTGCAGGCAATGAATGGAATGCACGGGACAGACATAACTCCAGACGCTTTTTGAGCTCTAGAGTCGCTACACAGCACTCGAACCGAACGTGTGACCCCACCAATCGATTCCTCGTGCGGAGAGGAATCCATTGGTGGGGTCACACTTTCGGTTCGAGTCCCATTTGGCGAGTCTGAAGCTCAAAACGCGTCCGGGACTTTGACCGTCTCCTCCGGTCTTCTGGCCCAGGGCCCAGGTCCCAGGCTGGCGACGCTGCACGGCGTGCCGAGGCAGCGAGGCACCGAGGCGTGGGCCGGGCGGCAGCATTGCGCGGGGCAATAACTTGTCGCCCCCACTGCTGCCCCTCCCGCCGCCCCGGGCTTCACCCCCCACCCCCAATTCTTTGACTAAGTTTCAGCGCGCCGGGCACGCGTGCAGTGTCGCTCGGTTCGGCGAGGGGCTCAGGGGGGTGGGGAGCAAAAAACGACCAAGTCCTGGCCGGCCGATGACATAAAACGAAGATTGGGCCAGGATGTCTGTGATAAAAACAATACGACCGCTTTCCCGTGTAAAAAAAAGAAAAACGCAGCGATTCCGCGGTTAACCTGTGGAGTGGTACGCAGCGGTGAAGTGCTGCAGGTGTCGTTGGGCGGCGTCGCGGCACCCGGGGCACCGAGTAGCTGGGGCACATCGACCAGTGGATGTAGTCGGAGCCTCGCCCGCGCTCGCTCGCGCCGAGATCGAACTTTGCGTTTTGTTGCGTCGGCGGCGGGCCGGCAGACTTGATTCGGAACACCGCCTTTGTCGCGCCGTCTCTCTCTATCGCACGGAACGGCCCATGAGTGCGAGCGAGAGGGGCAGAGCCAAGGCAGAGCGACGCAATCGATGTTCGCAATGCTGATGACGACTTGTCACGCGGCCAATCTATGGCATGTAAACGGGCGTCGTCAACTGCACTGTCGTAACACGTGTCTATTTTTCGAATTTCAACTTACCTCAACTCGCTCCACAGGGCGCCAGTTTAATGTTAGCTGAGACGTCGTCAGCAAGAACAAAGAGCTTCAATTTTTTTTTAATTTAAAAGATAGCTTAGTTTTTAAATTTGAAAAAAAAAAAAATTAAAAAATTTGAAGCTCTTTGTTCTTGCTGACGACGTCTCAGCGAACATTAAACTGGCGCCCTATTTGTGGAGCCGCGTGGGATTTGGCGGCCGTTCCGGAACGAGGACGGGGCCGTCGAGGCCGTCGAGGCCGTCGAGGGCGACGAGACGAGGGCGGTGTTGGATTCGCCGGAATGGCTTTTCGAGTCGCGCGCCGCGCACGCCGCGCACGCCGAGCCGGCTGATGATATAGGACGTGGCGATATCAATAAATGTCAAAGATGACATGGACCCGACCGCCTGTCGCGCCAGTCTCCGATTTCCTGCACCGTTTATGGCGTCGTAAGGCCCCTCCCCCTTTCCCCCTCCCCTCCCCGCGTCCTTCCCACGCTCGTCCGTCGCCGTTACGCGCGGCGTTCTCTTATTTCTGGGAATGGATTATTATTGTATATTTTATTATTTTATCTGGCCGGTGGCGCGCGGGTTTTCCCTCGCGCTTGGCGGGCAATGCGCGCGTTCCGGAGAAATCTCACCGTCAGCAACAAGTTGGAGTTATGGGATTTGAGAATGTGTGTGTGTGTGAGTGTGTGTGCGTGTGTGAGTGCCCCTGTGTTGGTGTGAGTGGGCGTGGGCGCGTCCAAGGCGCGCCGATCGGTCGAAAGGTCAGGCCGTTCAGCCGGTTCAGTGGGAAACCCCCGCCGGCCGGCCTGGCCTGACTCACTATGTGGACTGCGAGCCAAGCGGCAGCCAGCCGTATTGTTTTTGTTTTTGTTCGGTTGCAGGAGCGGCGCCGCGGCTAGGCCGCGCTAGGCCGGGCTAGGCCGGCATGGGGTGCGGCTCGTCCAAGGGCTCGGTGGTGCCGCTGGAGGGGGGCTTGACCGGCAACGGCGTCGCCCCGCACGCCCCGCACGGCCCGCACGGCCTGCCCAGCGCGCGCGTCCCCGGTAGCGGCCAGTCCCGGGGCCCGTCGCGGGGCCCGTCGCGGGGCGCGGCCAGCCGCAGGGCCTCGCTGGCCCCCGCCATCGTGGGCAAGGACCCCCCGGAGGAGGACCTCCCCAAGGAGCTGCCCGAACTCAGAGAGATCGTCCGCGCTGGTGGGTGCACGCTCAGATTCGTACCTGGAAACGCGCCAACGCGCGTGGAATCCTGGAAAAACTTGTGCCAGCACGCGCTTTGGTGTGTGCGAGCGGTGGACTGGATGGCGCGTTTGCTGCCTTTGCGTTGCAGCGGGCGGCAAGGCCATGGCCTTCGAGGTGCCGCTGTCGGACCTCCCCGCCGACGGCGAGGACGGCGCGCCCCGAGAGTCGCGGCGGCCTCCGCGACGCCTGCAGCGCCTGGAGGACGCGCCGGTGCCGCCGTCGCAGCGGCTCACGCACCGCCTGCTGGACGAGCGGCAGGAAGCGGCGGAGGAGCGCCGCTCCCAGGTCAGTCTGCATTCACAGTGTGGCCAACGTGGAAGGGAAAAGGCACCACGAGCAGGTGCCGATAGGGTGGGGGGGCATTTGTCTTGAAAAGGAAGTGAAACTTTGCCTTGTAAGTAGGCAAAGAGTGCTGCTACTTTGCACTGGCGAGTGCCAGTGCAGGCGAGCTTGAGTCGCCCCCGAAACGGCATACGATCATGTGTGTCTGCCTTTGTGGTAATGGTGCATGCTGCCCGTATGTCTGTCCCCCTGCCTGCCGACAGCCTGCGGCCCGTGTTGCATGTCCCTCTTCTGTCCACTGCGCTCCCTCCCTGCGCCGCTCGGCGGCGGGGACTGTGAGTTTCCGCTTCGCTCTGTCCGAGCAGTCGGTCCGACTGTTTTGTCCGCTGTTCCGCCTGTCTGTCCGCCTGTCTGTCCGCCTGTCTGTCCGCCTGTCTGTCCGACTGCATGTCTGTCCGACTGCATGTCTGTCCGACTGCATGTCTGTCCGACTGCATGTCTGTCCGTCTCCAGTCCTACTCTGACCCCGCCCTATCTCACTCTCACACAGCAGCAGCGTCGGAGGGGGCTCGGGATAGTGCGTCTGAGAGATGAGCTGACTGCAGGCAAATACTGGTCTGTGTGTGTGTTTATGTGAGTGTGTCGCCCCGTCTCCACCTGCACGTGACGGGAGGGGGAAGGGGGTGGGGGTGGCCCAGGGACGCGGCAGAGGCCCCATCTCAAGAATAACGCGTACGCGCCTGGAGGTTCCGAGCCCCCCGAGCCCCCGAGCCCCCCGAAGTCGGCGCACACGTACGGGGCGGGGTGGGGCCCGCTCCGGGGCAAGGTGTTGGTGGAGTTTATGGCCGGGGCGTTGCGCGCGACACGGCGGCGCGGCAGGCGCGCCAACAGAGGGACTAAGACAGTGGGAATGCCGAGCTGAGGGAATAAAGCATTCTCCACTCAGACGGAAAATGATAATGGAGGAGGGGGGGGGGGCTGGAAAACTCGACTGCGGGGGCAAAAAAGGAGGAATTTTAGCGATGGTGTCCCCTTTCCCCCTCCGGCCCGCGCCAATCTCTGTCGGAATCTGGATGTAAAGTGCAAGACGGATGCACCGCACGCAGACAGTGTCTTTATCAACGTCTCCACGGCTTCTCCCCCTCCAACCAACCCGCCTCTTTTGCAGTGCAGGGGCACTCTAAAAAATTGACACGTTTGTTGGTGGTCTTCGACTTGTTTGTTTCTTTTTTTTTTCAGATCCTGTCGCAGCGAGTGCAGTCTGCGCAGCCGCGCGCCCCGAAGCGGCGGGGCCGCGACGCGGACGCGGACAACGGCCTCAACTCCAGCGGCTCCTACATCGACTCGCTGGCCAACAGCAGGGACAGCAGGGTGCGTCCGTCTCTCTCACACTCACGGGCGTGCAGTAGGGGTGCGGGAGAGACACGCTCTTCACTCACTTTTTCCTTTCCAGAACGGCGAGTTCCGAGAGATGCTGGCGGGCAGGCACTTCCCCGGAGCGTGAACCATGGCCGCGAGGCCACGGCCAGGACGTGCGTGCGAGGCACTGTAAGGTGCAGGGACCAAAAAAGAACCCAAGCTTTCCAAGTTTTACCTTATCTTTATTAGGACTCTCCATACTGATAGAAATATTTTTGTTATTTTGTAGAAGTTTGCTTTAGGAAGGAACTAGGAAGGAAGTGATAAAATAGCTTTGTTATTATTCTTGCCGTTTTGTCTTTGCACCGAAGGTTAGGTTAATTGGTCTGATGTGTTAGACCATTTTTTTCACGTCGAGTTGACGTAGTCTTAAAATCTTATAAAGAGTACAGGTGGTTTTAATTAAATTGATAATTAGTAAAGTCTATGTAAAAAACAACATTTTTATTCACATAATATTTAATACAAATGTCGGTTTACTTTCATGCACTGACTGCTTTAGTACTGCAAGGATTATCTTAAATAAAACTTTGGCAGCAGATCACACAACATTGATTTTCAAGTTACATGGTTCTCCATGGTCACAAAATAGTTTTGAGCCCCGATGAAACTTGAGCAAAAGTTGCACTTTTCATCGGGAGAAGAAGTCTCTTCCGCCTCATTCCACTTTAAGATGAATAAAAATGAGGACCTGTGGAGGAATCAAACTTACAATAGCGATTAAAAACGGGTGAAACAGATGAAATATTTAAATGGAAAAACACATCTTCAAATGAAAATAGACTATTTTAAATTCATGAAAGTTATTTTTGATTTAGGACAACATTAAGAATTATGTCAAGGGGTTCACTGGCTTAAAAGGTGGTACCTAATGACACATAACATCGAAACTTGTGCGACAACGCATTGTTTATCTTTAACACAATTCTCTTATATCTAATGGAAGTATAAGTGCTATGCTTTATCTCAGACCACTGCAGTAACATGTCACCACCACAACCATCTTAACAATATTCTTTAGTCTTACTAGTCTTGTGGATTCTTTGCGATGGAGCTCTGCACTCAAATCCCTCTACATTAGTCAATACTGGTGGTGACTCATCAATCGCCAGTCTCCATACTCAACGCTTTTCTACGGAGGAGCCACAGAGAAATTAAAGAACAAGTATTTAGTCGAGATCACATCATGATGAACATAGGAGAAAAGAGGTACTTAGAGGCTAAACACTTAGGAATCGCTTCCGTCGCCCAATTGGGAAAAGAAACTAAAATATTTAAATAAGTGTGGTTGTATCACAGTGCCAACTTAAGTCATTCTGAGAACTCAGTCACACAGGCAAGCTTCACGGCCACACGAAACAGAAACATTTTCACAGAAACACATTAAAAGCCCTCATCTTCGACTCTAGCTTTCGGGAGATAGGACTGAAACGGATAGAGATGAAAAACATTCTCAAATTAGAAAAATGCTATTATTTCCCCAATACAAAATTTGAAAGGCTAGCTAGATGTTTGGAGGAAGGAGGTAGTTTGGAGTGCCTAACGCTATAACGAAGAATGTAAACACGAGGCATCGACCTCGGCCTCGACACCGTGGTGACACCGTGGTGACACAGTAGCACGCACAGGCCTCGCCAGAAAGACCCAGCAGTGGACAAGGGGGTCTCTCCTAGGAACACTAGTCGCTACGGAGTGATGTGCCGCCACACACACACACACACACATTCACGCGCATTCACATACACAACAAACGCACTCACACAACGCAGGCACACGCACACTGACAGCGCACAAAGAAAGGGATTAACAAACACCGACTAGACGCATCTACACACTTAAATGCTGGCGGACAAGTCCTTTTTTCCATTTATTGTTCTTTGTTCATCGACAAGGCTTAAAGGAAGGGAGGGACGGCCCTGCCGGTCCCAAGGCCCAGGCCAAGGCCCAGGCCGCCCAGGCCTATGGCGCCTATGGCAGTTGAGCTGGAGGCGGCCCGCCGCCCTAGCCTCACTCCATTCAAACAAAAACAACAAGCCCGGGGGCGACTAAACTGTGCATTCCCTCCGAGCGTCAAAACATCCCCATCAAAGTAGATGGGGTCGCGGCCGTGTCCAGTAAGTTGGTTGCTCGGGCCTGCTGCCCCGGACTTTGCCCTGATCAACCCGCGGGGCCTTGAGGCGCCCCTTGCGGCGCGCCGTGGGCCTGCACACTGTGGAGCAGTCCGAGGCAGTCCGCCCGAGAACGCGCGCATCACCTGCAGAGTGACTCCGAACACCGATCCCGTTTCTCTGTCCCTCTTCGCACTCATGGGGCGTTCCGGGTGGGTGCGAGAGAGACAGAGCGACGGAACGTTGCGAAGAATCAGTCTGCTGGGATGGGTGGACCGTCATGGGCGCCGTGGGCCGGGACCAACGATCCAGCACTGGCCCGGCCGCCCGGCCCCGAAGCCACTCCACGCCTCGGCAAGCACAAGCAGAAACACACAGGTACAAATAATATAATTAAGTCTACGTCACATTGAATCCAAGTCTATGCCACAGTAAAAAACGCTAAAAATGTCGCGCCACTGCGTCGGTTAATGAAACTAGTCACACACTCATTATAATGGTATAATGCTATTTAAAGCGTACAGGAGCGGGTATCGACAAGTCTGAAAATTTGGAAGGGGGCACGCGTTAAAACACCGAAAGAAGTAAGATAAGTCTCTTCTATTACGATATCTGACTGCTGCACCTAATACCTTTATAAACATTAACACTAAGAAGGCATTAGTGTTTACCTACGCTACAAAATGCTTGCACAAATTTTGAGCGCAAGTTAAACCACCGCTTTATGTCAGACAGAATGCTATGACGAGGTACACTCCTGCATGAGAAGCTCTGAATAAGAAAAGCCACAGTCCAAACCAGACACCCCACAAGTTGGGTAACAGGCGAGAGGTGCCTTCAGTACCGTCCGCTTCCCCAAAAAAAGAAACTGAAATTTTTGAAACTTTTTTTAGATGCTAGGGTTTCGCCCTGAAGTAAAACAATTACAAAACATACATTATGTATGTTCACGTTCCGACAGTAAATACGCGAGTTTTTATCATGCGGCTTCTCAACGCCCCAGTAAAAATAGCGATATCTTTAATCAGTTAGTTATTAGTCATCATGAAATTGAAACAAAGGAAACAACAACATCAACAACAAAAACACAAGCGAATGACGTTTGGCATTGGTCAAATGTTTTCATTATTGTGCCAGTCAGGAAAACGCTCACAACCGCTGTATTGCTGAACAGACTTTTAAAGTGGTTGGTGCCGGCGCTGGGGTGCCCCGTCCCTCACAGGCCGCACAGGCGGGCTTCTTCAGTCAGCGACTAAGATCTCAACGGCGTCTCCCAGTCGGCCAGTCAGCCTCCGTGGCCGACGTGATTGTCAAGTTGAGCCGCGGAGGGACGCGGGGACACCCAGGCTCTCGTCGCAAGCACTCCCACGCCAAATAAAAACACGTAGTACCCTATGGTGCCCATGGGGCCGCCCCGTCCCGTCTCTCAATTTGAGCTCATGGATCTCTTTTCCATATATTAGAACTAGACACTTAGGATTACTGATAGGTAGATTACGTTTACATATATGTACGTATACATATACGAATAGCACACGTTGATTCATTTTTGCACTGTCGGGCAGCGTCTCTCTGGAAGCACACTTCACTGCAAGGGGTTTATTCGCTCTCGCCACACAAACAACAGGACGCAGGCCTTCCCGGCTCTGCTGCCTTCACTCATCGGGTTCGCTCCGTCGAGTTGATGTTTCAACTAACTCGGTGCCGCGGCGCGGCCGCCCGGGTATCCGCAGGGGTGGGGGGTTATCGTGAGAAAAGTCGTGAAAGAGTGGAAAAAAGAGAAAAAAGATTGAAAGCGACAATAAGGCCGGGCCGAGCCCGGCGTACAAGCATGGGCACTTCTAGAAAGAGCACAAACATTGTAACCCCTCCGAACCCCGAACGCCACCCACGCCGCGGAGAACGAACCCGCGCTCGAGGCGCGCGCGGTTCAAACCTTAAAACCCCGGCTCGATGAGAAAACTTGTACCAAGCTGAATCGGCGCGAGGTTTCTCACCGGGCCGGGGGTTCGACTCCCGCCGGAGTCACGCGCGCCGCCTCGGCCTACGCAACGCGCGGTCGACCTAACCTAGAAATCGTTGAGGTTGAGGTCGCCGTTGGCGCGCTGCGCTGAGTTGAAGGCCGCCCCGTTGTTGTTGCGGGCGAGAGCGGGACCTCAGTTGTAGAAGCCGCGGTTCATAGCAGTGCGGCTGCGGGTGTGCCACTTGCACTTGAGGATGCGCACGTAGGTCCTGCGGAAGGACGCGTTGCACAGCGCGTAGCACATGGGGTTGATGGTGCTGTTGATGTAGCACAGGTAGTAGAAGAAGTCCCACAGGCCGGGCGGGATGCAGTCCGTGCACGCCGTCAGCGGCTTGAGCAGCACCAAGATGTTGTACGGCGTCCAGGTGAGGATGAAGGTGAGCAGGATGGCGCACAGCGTCTTGGCGGCCTTCTTCTCGGCCTTCTTCTCCTGCGTCTTCTTCTTCTTCTTGACGGCCTGCGCCTTGCCCGCGCCCAGGTTGGACAGGATCGCCCGCGACCTGCCGAGCAAGAGTGAGCGGTTAAACCATGGACAGTCGGCCTGACGCGGACGTCGACGCGGTGTCGGCCAGACGGCAGGCGGCTTACCCTGAGGTGGCGCCCGAGCCCAGCTTGGGGACGCTCTTGGCGTTGAGCGGCATCCGGACGTCCGGGATGTGCGAGGGCCGGCGCACGGCCGAGTAGTACGAGTCGCGCTCCGACAGGCGGCCCGTGGTCGTCTGCATGGAGTGCGGCAGCAGGTCCGACAGCGGCACGTCCTCGGTGATCATCTTGATGGAGGGCGCCGAGTCCTCGGCCGTCTCGGGCGGCAGGCGGATCAGGATGGTGTACACCTGCGACACCAACACCAGGGGGCCGTTAGCCACGTCAGCGAGGGCCCGGGTTCGACTACCAGCACGTGCATCACGCACAATCATCAATCATTCTTTTTTCCCGTTCCCCCGCGCCCTGCAGGGCCCTGGCACTCCAAGCTCGTCGCAGAAAAATCAAGTTGTGCTTTTATTGTTTTTTTTTTGTGGCCGAATGAGTGCTACGCCACTGGCTACGCCCGCCCGCCTCGCGCTGGCCCGAAGGCTCGCCCGAAGGCGGGATACTTACCGACCCAGGGGCTGGATCATGGATCCGATGGCCAACCTGGAGGAAACAAGCAAACATTTCCACAGTTATGGAGATGGATTCCGCTGTGCGCGCGCTTGCACTGCCCTCGCATTCACAAATACTTGACAAAAGGTTAAAAAATAATTTCTGAACCGACAGAGAGAAACAAAAAGAGAGGCAGTGTTGTGTTGTGAAGCAGCAAATCCATTTCTCAGCCCTTCTCAAAAAGGCGCACCCAATTCCTTCCGCCTGTCAGGTTCGGAGAAACACCAGACGCAAGATCGCCATCGGCGTACCACACACTCAAAGGGTTTTTCATTCTGCCATGGTGTGAGAGGAAAGAAGAAGAAGAGGAATAAGAAGAAGAGGTAGAAGAGGAGGAAGAAGAAGAAGAAGCATGGAAAGTGAGTAATGAGAAAGAGAAAGGTCATTTTTAAGATTGCGAGACAGGAGCAAGCGGCGAAGCGAGGCGAAGCGAGGCCAAGCCTGCGGGGAGCGCGGGAAGCCTCGCCAGCACGTCACCAAAGCCATAACCGGGAAAGGGGGCGACAAGCCGCAAGCGCGGGGAGAGCGAAGTCAAGTTGAGCCAAAATGAGATCGCTCCTCCCCGAGCTTGCCGCTTATTGCGACTAGTAGTAGAAGGTGATGATGATGTCCATGACGCGAGGCGAGCATGCTGTGTGAGGCGGGGAACGTCCAGCCAGCCAGTGCCGAGGCGCCGAGGCCAGGGGGCGTCAAACCAGGTGGCAACCCTACACTGCGTCAGCCGAGGTGGCAACCCTGACTTGCGTCATCAGTGCCCTCGGTCGGCAGTAACCATGCGGCCAGTCCGGTGGCAACCTGTGGGCCGCGCGGTGGCAACCCTGCACTGCTCACCCCGCTCACCGAGTCCGTGGACAGCGACCGGTTGGCCAGCCTGGAGGCCGGCGGCAGCGAGCGCGTCTCCCGCTCCGCCACTGCCGAGATGGAGTTGACGGGGTGGTCTCGGCGCAGCGGGTCCCGGATCACGTTGAGCGAGGTGCAGCGCGACACGGAGCTCTGCAGCGGTGTCTCCACCGAGACGGGCGTGGCGTAGCCCATGTCGCTGGGCGTGTCCTCGCAGTCCTCGCCGGGGTCCTCGCGTCCGGAGTGCCACCACGTGATGCAGGCCTGGCGCAGCCACGCCCACGTCAGCGGCCGCGGCTTGGGCTGCAACACAGAGACACTGTAGTGCAGCGCAGCACACTGTAGGGCGGGCTGGAACACGGAGACACTGTAGGGCGAGCTGCAACACGGAGACACTGTAGGGCGAGCTGCAACACGGAGACACTGTAGGGCGAGCTGCAACACGGAGACACTGTAGGGCGAGCTGCAACACGAGACACTGTAGGGCGCGTTGTTGGCGGTGTCGCTGCGCGTGCTGGGCTGTGGGCCTGATTACCCGCCGCCCTTGTCATCAGGGCTGTGCTCAACACAGTGTGTTGGCTGCCTGCCGTTGGCTGCCGTTGGCTGCAGTCCATTGTGTGCGTCCAACGGGCTGAATGTATCAGCGTGCACCATCCCTGCCTAGGCCCTGCCTAGGCCCTGCCCCTCCCGGCGTCACTCTGTCGACGTCGTCCCCTGCCCCCTCTCCTTCCTTTCCGACCCATTCCGACCCATTCCGACCCCGCCGGCCTCGCCGACCCGTCCACGCGCCGCGCCGCGTCCCCACTCAAAGCGCAAAGCGCATGACAGATTTACGGGAAAGGGGAATGCAAGGCTGCAGCGCGAGGCAAGGCCGGCCTGGCTGCGCCTGACTGGGACGGGCAGCATGCAGCAGACTGAGAGTCGCTGTCGTCGCTCTGTTTCTCTCGCACCTATAGGGGGCGCCCCATGAGTGCGAGGGAGACAGCGACGAAAACGGCCCTCGAAATGAGTCTGCAGGCAGCCGGGCGCCATTCGCTCATTCCGCGCGCTCCAGCGCCGCCAACGTGCCGCAACGTGCCGCGCGGAGTTTCTCGCGACACCGCAAAGAGTTTGGCTGCAGCGGGTTGGTTCCGGCGGTAAAGTCTCCCTCTCGCACTCATGGGGCGACGAATGCGAGCGAGAAAGACCTCCCGCAGCGCACAGTCGGACCAGAAGACCGGTGGAGGCGGCCAAAACTCTAGACGCGTTTTGAGCTCCAGAGTCGCTTAACAGGCCTCGAACCGAGAGTGTGACCCCACCAATGGATTCCTCGTTCGGAGAGCAATCCATTGGTTCGGTCACACGTTCGGTTCGAGTCCCATTCAGTGACTCTGGAGCTCAAAACGCGTCTAGACTTTTGGCCGCCTCCACCGGCCTTCTGGCCCACTGTGCAGCGCTGAGAAAACTGGCCCGGTCCTCCCCGGAGAGGGCACGGTCACAAAGACCCTGGAAGGGGCATCGGAACGAAGCCCATGACGACCTCATTGGGGAGGGGAAGGTGGAGTGTGACAACAAGGGGCCGGCCGAGCAGCCCGCCAGCCCGGCGAGCCACCCTTCGCGTAAAGAACGGCCTGAGGGTCGAGGCCGCCGAGGCTGCCGAGGCCACTGTGCCAATGTGTTCGGGGCGGCCAGGCCGGGCCGGGGCGAGAAGGAGAAAGGAAAGGAGGTGGCGCTCCACGCGCCGCCCCACGCCGCCCCACGCCGCCCCCTCGAGCCAGCCGAAGATATGAATGGCGGCAACGCGGGTGGCTGGAAAAAAAGGGTGCAAACAGGCTGTCCAGCTCGCCTTGCGATCTCCACTGCAATGAAGGCGGCCGTGCGTTCGCCACTGCTCTGCCGCCGCCGTGCCGCCGTGAACCGGGGCTGGAGGTGGCTTGACGCGGCCAACGGCGCCAACGGCCAAATGCAAAAGATTAATAGCCTGTCGAGGGCCTCGGGGCCGTGGGGTCCGGACGGTCCCGGTGCGTGGAGTCACGGCGAGGCACGGCGAGGCGAAGCACCAGGTCGACGCGGCCCTCGGCGTGCCAGGCCTTTTCGGGGCTCGGTGGCGGTAGGGGTGGAGGCGGTGGTTGTCGTAGCGGCAGTGGCGGCGGCGACGGCGCTCTGGGTCCTCCGGGACTCCACCACCCCGCGGAGCCCGGAGAGCACGACGGCGAGGCGCGGCGGGGCGCGGCGCCGAGGCAGGAATACGGTAATGAGGCTTTCCGGCGGCCGGAAATGGCAACAGCGAAACCCAAGACGGTGTGTCGCGCGACCTGGGCCACTCCCCACCCCCAGGCCACCCCCTCGGGGCGCGCAGACCCGCAGTTGCCCCCCCCCTTCGCCGCCACCCGCAGACTAATTCTAATCGGGGCGGCTGTATCGGCAATAAGTCGCTGAAGAAATGAGCCAATTAGCTGTGTTTGTGAGTCGCCTCAATGCCTGCAGTGAGTGGCCGTCGCGGCTGTCGCGGCGCACTCTGTTCCGTTTCCGGCCGCCCCGTTCCCGCCCCGCTTCCGGCCTTTGGAGCACTTGGCGGCACTGTTTTCGCCCGGCTTTGTGTTTCGCTTCGCCCTTTCTGTATCATTTTTGCACGTTTCCTCTCAAGCGAAGGCGGTGGTTTCGAACGAAGGCGCGCATCTCACAAGCGGCGAGAGCGAGCAAGCGGCGCGCGAGATGAATTTAGCCGAGTTAGCCTCGGTTAGGCGGCCGTGCGCAGCGCGCCTTAGCGTCTAGTCTGTTTGCAGCTCGGTCATTCCGAGAGCCGTCTCCGTCGTCTGTCTCTGTCGCACTGGGGGACGCCTGTGAGTGCGAGAGAGACAGAGCGACGAAGACGACTCTCAGAGTCAGCCTGCGGGGTCGCGGTGCTCTATCCGCTGAAATGGAGGAAAATGCTTACCGCTCTGTCCCGGGCGCCCTGCTCGTAGCGGAGGTAGCCGCCTTCCAGGTCGTCGTGGCCGCCGGGGCCGCCAGACTCGGACCGCTGCCGCCTCCAGTCCTCCAAGTCCACGGCCTCGTCGCTGTGAGGGCAGCCCACGCTGCGTTAATAAACAGCCAACGTGAGAAACGAGAAACTTGAAGCCGATCCAAACCCGCGCCGCAATTTTAACACATGACTCGTTTTAGTTCAACTCGTTTTAGCATGAGACATGTGTTGAAATTGTAACGCCAAACTCCTCGGAGACGACGAAGTGAGACCAGTGCAGCGAGTGCTTGACGGCGCGACGGTGGCGGCAAGAAAGTGACGCCCCGCCGTCCAACTTTGGCGACCAACACTCTTTCCCGCTCCTTTTTCCTCAGACGGATCGGGACTTGTCAGGAGGCGGTGCCATAAAGTGTGCCGAAAGTACCCGCATGCGAACGACCTTGACACAGATTCGCTGGTGCCTCGCGGCCCCCGCGGACGCCGCGGGAAGTTCTCCCTGTGGCATTCAGACCGCCACGCCGCGCAGTGGGCCAGAATACCGGTGGAGGCGGTCAAAGTGCCGGACGCGTTTTGAGCTCCAGAGTCGCTAAACAGGACTCGTACCGAACGTGTGACCCCACCATGGATTCCTCGTGCGGAGAGTAATCCATTGGTGGGGTCTCACGTCCGGTTCGAGTCACATTCAGCGACTCTGGAGCTCAAAACGCGTCTAGAGTTTTGGCCGCCTTTGCCGGTCTTGAGGCCCAGCGTGCGCCACCCTCGGCCACCCTCGTCGCGGCAGGCAGGCAGGCAGGCATGCGGCACTAACCTTGAGTTGGACCGCTTGGAGCTGTCCTTCTTGCCGGCCTGCAGGTTCGGCAGGTCCTTCTGCCTCTTCTCCGTCTCCCGCCAGATCCGCCAGTAGAGCCAGCACATGACGGACACGGGCACGTAGAAGGCGGCGATGGCCGTGCCGAACGTGATGTAGTGGTTCGTCTCGATGAACTGGATGTAGCACTCCGTGTCCGGGACCGTGCGCTCGCCCTCGATGTAGGGCCACGAGTAGATCCACGGCGTCCAGAGCAGCAGCGAGATGCCCCACGCGCAGCCTGCCGACCAGAAAAAGGGCACACTGTTAATGGTGCTGTTTCGGCCATGCGGAAACACAACAAACGAGCAGCCGTAAAATAAAAATAAAAAAAGCTTTGATTTTTAATCCGATGCGGCGCCCGTTCCGTTTCCTGAAAAGAACCGCGGCCGTGTTCGGCGCGCACAAAAGCGGGCGGATTACGATGACAAGCCGGATCGGTGCGGAAAAATGGCCGGCCGGCGGAAGGGGGGGGGGAAGGGGGAGGGCTGCCGATAATGTCGCCCTAAACGAGTTTCCGGCGCCTTGTTAATAAGCGCAGTGTTGTCCGCAAAAAGTTGGGCCGACACCCCTCTCCGTGCAAGGCGGCCGCGAGGAGGAGGAAGAAGAGAGGAGAGGGGGAAGACGCCCGCTGCCAACTTTTCGAGGGGTGGGGGAAGGATGGGTGACACCATCAATCAAAACGAAACATGATAGGAGCCGGTCGGCAATAACTGCACTACATGGAGAGACAGCGCTGCGGGGGCGGAGGCTGGAGGCTGAGCCGGGCCATGCAAATGCTTGGTGGGGGCGAGGTTGCCGGCCGGCTCGGACAGGCGCCACCACTGTAAGCCCCTGGATCGGGACTTCTTGGGCCTCTCGATCGCACATGATGACGAAGAAGAGGAGAGTGTGAAAAGGGGAGGCCTTGTTTGCGGCGCGTGGGTGGGCTGCTCACATTGTACGACACGGCGCGTAATGAAGTGAGACAGAGCGAGACAGAGCGAGACAGAGCGAAACGCCCACGCGGCCGGCTGGAGCGCCCCGCCACACCCCGCCCCGCCCCGCCCCGCCCCGCCCCGCCCCGCCCCGCCCCGCCCCGCCCGCCCCGCCCTCCCACCACTGCCACTGCCCACGCACGACAAAGGCAGGGCGGCACGGCCATGTGCTAATGAACCGCTATTGTGCTCTTGGCCAGAATGCAGGCAAAATGCACAATTAAACATGAGGCGGGGCGGGGCGGGGCGGGGTGGGGTGGGTCGTGTTGGGGCGGGGCGCGGTGGGGCGGTGTAAGTCGGTCTGACGAGAGACGAGACCGCCGAGAGGGTACCGCCGTGCCACCGCCGCGGCCGCGCAACAGCAGGGCGAGCAGGGCGAGCAGGACTGCGGAGGGAGAGCGCTGCTTTCAGGCAAAGTGCGCCTCCAATTCTCTGGCGCGCCGGAGAGGCAGCGGCCCGACTCCGCTGCCTCTGTCTCTGTCTCTGTCGCACTCACGGCGCGCACCGGGGCAGGGCTGCGGGAGAGACAGAGAGCGACGACTCCTCTTGGAATCGCTCGGCAGAGGAAGCGCCTTTCTTCCCCCCCCCCCAACCGCTTCCTGGTTCCTCTCTTATTTCCCCCTCGCGCGCGAGGCGTGCCGGCCCATTCAGATTGAGGTCGGCGGGGCTGGCGGGCCGCAGCGGACCGCAGCGAACTGCAATGTGCAGTACAATCGAAAGGCATTGGATGCGCTCACGGAAGGCGTGACGTTATCCTCAGCGTCGCGTGTTGGAAGCACCGCGCCGGGGAAGCCGAGCGGAGGGCCATTGCCATTTCGTGGACCACTGAGTGGCCGGAAGCCCGCGCCATGCCGCCACTTGCCTACCACACACTTCAACAGTGCTGCCAGTAGAGGGGAAAAAATTCCCACAATGCATCAGCGTCCAAAGCGGGATGGCCGACTTAGTCCGCCTACTGAGGCGACATCGCCTTGAACACGGCCCAGGCGGCCTGGAGCTGGCAACCCTTTCAGCACTGGTACACGAGGGGAATTTTCGCCTTCTCTAGTGGCAACACTGGACGGCGAAGCACCAAAAAATACCCGGACCAGCAAACAAATAGCCTCGCCGAAGGAAAGCAAACTTTGCTCCTCTCTGCCTTGCTTGCTCTGGGCTGGGCGTAGACCGTCGAGCATCCATTTCGTTGAGAGTGTGAGAGAGAAGAGATAAACTGGGGTTAAAGTCTTTCCCAGGAGCACGGCGATGCCATCATTGTCATGGAAGAGTCGTGTAACACCGAGCCATATAATACTCTTGTGGAAGAATGTCCGTCTTTTCCGACTAGCTCTCTCCACTCGCTGCGAATCCGCCGAGTCTGCGCTGCGGAGCCTGCAGTGTAGTGGCACGGCGGGCACGGCGGGCACGCACGCGCTGGCTGGCGCCGCTGGCACTGCCGTGGCACCGCTCGGCATGTCTCGCAGGGTTGACGAAGGAGGACGGGAGGGGAGGGGCGAGGAGCGCAGGTATGGGATGGCAAGTCAGAGAATTTCAGAAGAGGGGTCTCCCACACGCCCACATCATGTGTGTGTGCTTTTGCACCGCAAGGTAAAGAGGGGGCAGGGGGAGGAGGAGGTAGCAGTGACGTCGCTTGACACCCGCATGCGAGGGAAGTCCGTGCAGGAACTACAAACCGCCACCCGTCTCTGTGGCGGCAGCGCCCTCACCGTTTTCCGCTTTCAAAAGGAAGTATTTTGCCCACTGCTCTGCACGGACTGGGCGATTTCGTAGCTAGGTGTCTTCCTCGCTCTCATCTGCCCCATACAGTACAGGTGCGAGACAGAAGGAGAGATGGAAGCATGGAAGCAGCCCACGGACAGTGTCTACTCTGACGCCTGAGTAGTTCTGAAAAGCGGCTCTAAAGCCCCGTTGATTACCAACGCTCGCCCAGCCAGCCGAGTAGTTGTGTGTTTAATTTCGCCCAATTTGGTGCCAGTGAGCGAACGGGATTTGCAGCTGCCGGGTGGCCAGCACAACACACAGAGCACACTCAAAAGCACACACAGACGCGCATACAAACACGCACACACAGGCGCCCAGGCGTGCCCGCACACACACATGGACACTGCAGCGGGATGAGTTTTAATCTGGCATTGCTGACATCAAACGGAAGCCAAGTTAGCCGTGTTAGCAGAGTTAGCGCGGGCGTCCCATGGGCCACGAGCAGAGGGAGAGAGAAAGACGGATTGCGAATACCAGTGCGAGCTGGGGGGGGGGGGCGCTCTGCTGATGGAAATCAAGAGGCAAGAGCCCGAATGCCTATGCCCCCGCACGTCGCGGCTGGGACGAGAGGAGCCCCGCCCGTTTGGATGTGCAAAGAAAGGGGTCCGGCAGTGCGGAGTACACTGCAAGAAAAAAACACAACAAAAGTACACAAATTACTGGCAAATTTTTTATCAGGAATTTATTGTATTTTCAAAGTACAACAATCGTTGTACAAAGTACAATGGAACCGGCATGACGAGTGCTGGGCAGTCCAGGCCTCGTTGTGGTGCTTTGCAGTGTGGGTACCCGACGCCCACTGGGAATCACGTAGCGCTGATGAGGCTGTTCGACGTCACATGCAAGGCCAGCCGTGCCGCGCCGCGCCGCGCCCGGCTGCGCCACACACAATAGGCAACTTGAAACCTTCCCACCCTCGAAACTCACTGAACAGGGCCTCACCTTCCTCGCCTCCCGCTGGCTGCACACAGTGTGTGCGAGAGAGAGAGAGAGAGAGAGAGAGAGAGAGAGAGAGAGAGAGAGAGAGAGAGAGAGAGAGAGAGAGAGAGAGAGAGAGAGAGAGAGAGAGAGAGAGAGAGAGAGAGAGAGAGAGCGCACACCGCGAAACCCGCTAAGTTCCCAATATACGGGACTTAGGCCAGGCCCGGCGCTACTTAACCAACTAGCTGGGGGTCTTTATCTCGTAAACGGCCGGCAGAATCGCTTAGCGTTAAAATTCAATTTCAGATTCAAGTTTTTGGTGGAGGCGCGCGGGCTCTCCTGGAAATGAAAAACGACGTCGCGTTTTCTGCAGCAGTGCGTCTGGAGTTTTGGCCGCCTCCACCGGTCCTCTGGCCCACTGTGCGGCGTCTTGCGGAACGCGGAGTGCGACGCCGCGCCAGGCCGCCCACGCTCACGGCGAGCAGGAAAGTTGGTCTAACGAAGCCAACCAGGGACGGACGGGGACGAGCCATCCCATCAACTACTTTCCACAAAGCGATCGGAGCGGACTGCGAGCCGACACTCCCTCGTGTTTCAGTGTGCGAGCGAAGCAAGCGAAGCGAGGCGACGCCGCCGTTTTCTAGTTCGTTTTATTCATTTGCTTTTACACTCGTTGTTTCTTTTTTCCTCTTTTGTTTCGACTTTGTTTTTCTTTTTTGCGTCTGGTCGGCCTGGCGGGAGTCTGCGGGTGACACCGCCGAGTCGCGGCACACTGGCACACCGGGTGGGGTGGCGGGCCGTGGCGTGGCGGCGTGCCGGGCACAACACGCCGAATAAAAACGTGTTTTCTGTCCCACTTTGTTGTTCAACAAACACCCTCGCGCAGAAAGGGGAGGGAAAAGGCTTTGCTGCTTGTCTGCGTTATTATCTCGTTGCCTCTGAACCGAGTGTCGGATTGTCAACTCGGTTTTGTCTCTTTGATTGCAACGGACTGAGGGTAGAAAGAGAGAGAGGGGGAGGGGGGTCTTCCCTCTGCCCGGCGACGCGGCAAGTGCTTTTCGCTCCGCCACTGTGCGACGGCCGGCCCTCCTTTACACCGGCTGGGTCCATCCGCCGCGCTCCGCCACAGCCCACGCCAGGCCCAGCATCAAGCCCGCGGCTTTCAAACTCTTGCTGTTGTTGCTCGTGTTGTTGTTGAGAGAACAGAGGCGCGCGCACAACGGGGATGACGTCATGGCGAAAAAACCGCGCATACGGGGGGCATGATGATCGAGATTTTGGCAAAAGAGGAGGGCGTGGGTGTGGCCGCGCGGCCTTGGGCTTCGGGTGTTATCCCGCATTTTGGGCGGGGGAAAGGTGAGGGGTCGGGGGGCTGGCGCAGGCAGATAAATGGTGAAAAATGGAGGAGATGACACGCGACGAAGACGAGGCCGGGGCGGAGTGAGACAGAGACGGCCTCGCACGCGTTATTGCTTCCTTAATGCCGCCTTGACCTCCGCGCCATCGATTCCGCCAAAGCCTCAAATTGGCTTACCATAATAAATCGCGGACCAAGCCGCGACGCCTTGGGGCTCCAGGCAGAGGG